GTACCTGATAAACGTTGAAAAAAAAATAGTCATCATCCCTATTGTATAGACACGATTCTCACTTACTAGTTCGCGTTAAGAGCGCAGAGCAACGCACATTACAATTTGCTGAAGGAAATTGAAACATCAACAAAGTAGTTAAGTTTCTTTGCATGCGGAACCAAGCGGCTGTAACTAGCGGTGCCAGGCGGACAAAGCCGGACTTAGGCTTTTTGATTGAGTGGCCGGCCAAAATAAACGGTGTCAGGCTTTTGTTGGGCTTTTTACATTTCGCATTTCGCAAACGAGCGAGAGCCGAGTGTGACCGAGCGCAAGCCAGTTGAGTCTGTCGATTTTACATATAACTAGCTGACCCAGCGAACTTCGTACGCCCCCTAAAAAAATAGGGGTTGTCCAGCGGACAAAATTGTGAATCTAAACCATTCTCAGATCCCCTTGAACACACACAAAAAATTTCATCAAAATCGGTCCAGTCGTTTAAGAGAAGTTCAGTGACATACACACTCACAGAAGAATTATATATATAAAGATTATTTGTCGTACCTGATATTACTGGGCCATAAAATTCTTAATAATGTAGGGTGTCCGGCCTTTTTGCCCAAATGTCCGGGATAACTGGCTGGTCTGTCCGGGTATAAGGTTAAAATTCAAAATTCAATATCGTTTATTCAGTCTAGGCTGTTACAAGCACTTGTGAATGTCGAAAAGCTACGCCATCGGTTCGCAAATCTACGGTGGGAGACCTTGTACTGAGAAGAACCGGCAAGAAATTCAGCAAGGGCTGTTTTTTTTTCTCCCTGTATTATATACGGAGTCGTAAATTGAAAAATAACTTCAATATGAGGTAACTCATAAAGTCACTTTCCATTACAAATGCAAATAATATAAAAATTATGACTATAAAATAAAAAAATATAAAAGACTGCTTTATAGTTTAGGAATGCCGTGTCCTACTGTTTAGGCAAAAATATAATAATAAACGATTAAAGTTTAGTACAACGATTAATAGTACCCAATGAAGCAAGAGCAGAATCATCTCCGCTGGCAGCACCCGTTCACGAGCATGACGCATGAACCAGCCATCGCTTCGCTCAACCATACTTTAGGGAACGCAACGACCCGCATCACACGACACCACCGAAGAGATTTTTAAGAGAGCATGACTACTCATAACCACACATGGATACTATGTTACAAAAATAGAAAAAAAATATATAAGTACCAGTGTACATTATTATAACAAACTTTAAACACAACGGCAGGCGGCACAACACACGGCGGTTAGGCGACCTGGCCAGCCTAGCTGTAACAGAGTACAAGCGCAGCCGGTAGACTTCATAGCTGTGTGAATTGCATGCAATCAAGGTACTTTTTCGATTTTTCAATTTCCTGCAGCTAATTGTAGGAAGCGCCGGTAAGTAAGAATCGTACATTAATGATACATATACATACATACAATGCGTCACTTTTTTACGAGAATTAAGTAAAACTCAAAAGAAGTCAAATTAAAGATCAGATAAAATAATAATACTCAAGGTTCCATTTCTCTTGTATGATTTCAAAACCAAAACCAAAGAATATATTTATTAATGATTCTTTTGACGATTTAATAATTATAAAACAGGGATGAATCCAAGCGCTTCGATGGATTTACCCAATAAAATCCTAACTGAATTTGATATCGACAGACCAGATGAAGTTGAGAATAGTTGAATTTGATCTCGATATGCGTCAAATATCAAGAAGTTCTGTATAGAAGATTTTTAATTCTCGTTACCTCCACATATAACTTCTTGGCATTTGACGCTTATCGATCGATTCGACAAAAAGGAAACCTTCATAGTTTTAAACATTAACTAAATGCATATTATATTTATTTTCCTAAGTATTTGTGTAAAAAATACTTTGCACTCGCATATACTATAAAATCACAAATCATCATTTTTATTACAATTATAAATTTGTATTACAATACGCATTCTTATTTATTACAATAATAATTTATAAGTTAAAAATAAATATTAAAAAGCACAACATAATCATCTCTAGTAAAGAATAAAAATACAAAATATCACTTAATAGGCTATTTGACAAGTTTGCATAATGGTCAGTGCATTCGCCCGGATAGCCAAGGGTCCCGGTTCGAGTCCCGTTTGCCTGGTATTTATTTATTTTATGTTATAGGGGGCATACGAGCAGACGGCTCACCTGATGGTAAGTGATCACCGTCGCCCATGGACACTTGCAACACCAGGAGTATCACAAATGCGATGCCGGCCTTTAAGGAAGGAGTACGCTCTTTTCTTGAAGGTTTTTGGGTCGGATTGGTCCGGAAACACTGCTGGCGACAATATATTCCACAGTTTTGTCGGATATCGGATGTCGGATAGCCACGCATCAAGATGATGGGGATGATAGTCCGCGTGGAATCTTTTTATAATTCTATGTTCAATGTATATTTTTTTTATGTATGTTCACCAAATTCTCCGTCAATTGTGGACCGATTTCCAAAATTCTTTATTTATTCGAAAGTGCACTCCCGAGGTGGTCCCATTGGAACCAAGTCAGGATCTGATGGTGGAATCAGGGGAAATCGAAGGAAACCTTCAAATTTCAAAGGCACGCACGCTGTTTTTTATGCATGTTCACCGATTTCTCCGTCAATTGTGTGATTGTTTACTTGGACGACGTAATTTTCACTAATATGGATGAAATAAAAAAAAAAACAAAAAATAACACCCATTTAAAATCGAATATGGAACTAAAGGGGCCGTTCAAGTATTACGTAAGCAGATTTATTACAATTATTACAAAAGTAAGCAAAGCTCTTACTCCCCCCCCCCCTCACGTGCTTACGTAAACATTGGTACCTATATGCATTTTTCCTTTAATGTATTCTGTTTTTTTTTATTCATTCATGAGCTTTCATGAACTTCATGAGCAGCAGTACTTAAATAGCCTTAGGATAGAGGACTTTAACGCACATAATATTCATTGAAACAAACTTTATGGACACAGTATTCAACATTGAGTAAGGTCCTATTACGAACAAAGCCAACTTCTTTCGAATTTTTGGGTATATGTATACAATCTTCAGTCCATGACACCCGAATCCATGATGCTGACGTAAGCACTATATAGACCCCCCACCCCCATGTCATCAAAAATAAGCAATGCAAAGACCCCCCTGCCCCCCTATAGTGCTTATGTAATACTTGAACGGCCCCAAAAAGTAAAAAATAATATCTGGTTAATGATTTGGAAGTCGAACGGGTCCAGATTGAAAGCAAATTATTTGTTTCTTAGGTTTTCACGCACATCACTCATTAAATAAAACTAGTTTTTACGGGTTAATGCAATAAAAGTTTTATTCTGACGACGAAGCCTGTAAAGGCTACGAAACGTCAATAAATAAATAAAGTTTCGTGCATTAACCCGTAAAAACTAGTTTTATTTAGACGTATTATTACCGATCAGAAACGAAAATCTATATAATGGTTCAATCTTGACCCCGCCCGACTTCCAAATTCCATTTTCGATTTTGAAGCCGGTTTTCTAGTAACATTTTCTTTAGATCTCAACACCTAGCAGTTGAATGCTTAAAAATATATATTAGATATAAGTATGCCTATGTTATTAGTGTATAGTGACTTCATAAAGAGGATATTTATAATTGTTGCATAAATCAGTAAAAAAAAAGGAAAAAATTTTTTTTTTCAAATAGCCGCGGTACGTTTCTCTAGCCATAATGGCGTCTTACAGGCAGGTGACGGCACACGGCTCTCATTTAAACGTCAAACATTACAAAGTAATGCCACTTCGATACTTTTTTTAAAATTATTTTTAGTTATATTACAAACTACTTTTTTTTCTCAAAATAGCGAAATTGCTCCTAATATTTGCATGCCAATATGTTAAATGCACATGCCAATAATAGGTAGGCACTTGATTTTTCATGCTTTTAAATAGCCAATTAAAATAATGTTATTGTTATTATTGAATATAAAAACCTATTTATACGAAAAATGTGATGTTAACATAACATCATATTGAAGTCCATCCTAAATTTATAATAAAATGCTATTTCAATCGATTTATAACTAATATTTATGACAAGGTTAGTATAAAGGGAATTTTTAACAAAATCCACACCACAAGTATATTTTTGTGTTGCAATCTCAACATTTCCAATTTCATCTTCTATAATACAAAAGCGAGATCTAACAACCCTAAGTTTATGCCAGATATTTACACTAATAATTCTACTTTATACTAAATAGGCGACTATAATTAATTATTATTATATTCTGTCCTTGTGATGCTTGGAAAACCCATCCAATACTCGACTATTGAAAAGAGTGATTAACTTTCATAAAAGTATTGCAAACTCGTTAACCACTATAGCTTGACTGCAGTAAAGTCGACCCTCCCATGGTCTATGGGACAGGGGAGAGGAATGCGCCATAGAGGTAAAAGAATAGTGGGGAAGGCGGTTCTGAAAGTGTCCGTCTAGTAGAAAGAGAAAGAAGATGAGAGACGGCTAGCTATCTCTCTCTGATGTGACGCATGGCATCACATCGAAATAGTAAGATGCTTACAGTTGCCAATGCGCATGCGCGATTAGAGAGAAAGCTAGTCTGTCTCTGTCTGTCTAGCTGTCTCTCATCTTCTTTCTCTTTCAATTAGAGGAACAAATTCGCTCATTCATGCTCGCTCATTCTGGGTTATCTACTATGCGAAGAAATAGCGCTGCCTTGCAGCTTAAGAATGGCTAGAACAATTTCGACGCGGCCGTCAGGGCCGCAGTAGCATAAGTGGTCAGTGCATTCGCCCGGATTGCGAAGGGTGCGGGCTCGAGTCCCGTCTGCTGCCTGGTCCGCGTGGAATTTTTTCTAGTTATATTTTCTTTAGATTTAAACATTATTTTAATTAGAAATAAACCCGCGTAGTCAACCCACAAGCAATTACATTTGACATTTCGGAGACCTCACGCTACACAAGCGCCTCTAGCGGCGGATTCATACGCGATAGCCCTCATTGGGGATAGTTTTGAGACTGATAGACAAAGGACAGTTTATTTCCCAAAATTCATCCTTTAAGGGGGTGAAAAGGTGGAAGGAATGTGACTATATTTTATTGCGTTGAAATATTTTTCCATTGTTAGTCTTCCATATGCTGCATGGCACATTTATGCCAGTCCTCCTGCATATCTCTGGATTGTCTCTGGCCGCGGGCCCGCTTCGGCCACGGTTTCTTCAGGTGCACGTGTTCCACGTGAGCCCTCTGCTCGCCAGATGTGGTGAAGCATTTCCCACAAGTATCGCATTTGAAAGGCTTCAGGCCTGTGTGGATCTGTTGACAAGGTTTTTGATTAGATGAGAGTACAACCCGTGTGCATTAACATGGCACTTGGCTCGAATGAAAAACGTTTAAAGTACGGAGTTAAAAAATAGTTTTAAATTTTATTTTAGTTTTTTGAATATCAAAATTTATTTTGCGCTAAGTAGTTTCTCATAACATACTTCTTTACGATGCTTTAAACGTGACAATAAAAACTATTTAGACATACTTTTGTTCTTGCCATACTTATTTATTTGTTTGGGCTTGAATGAGATTATATATATATTTTTTTTAATAATAAATATATCTTTATTCAAATAAGGTCATACATTGCATAATAATACTAATAACAATATAAAGTACAAAATAATGGATGCCTGAACTAGGTTACAGTTAAAATTGTACCTGTATTTCAGGCTTTTATGATCTAAATAATATATTGAATGATTAATAAATTAACAAATTAATTAAAACAGAACTTAAAGTGATCATTGTATAAATGTTGGTAAATGTATATTATTCTCACAAGCTTAATTCTCGGAAAGGATTTCAAAAGAGATAAACAGCAGTGACTAAACATAATATTGTTATTGTTGTCAGCGTCATAATTAAAAAAAGTGACATTAAAAAGACCTAAAACTGCCTAAAGCTGAACCAATTCCCAAACTTTGAACGCATTATAAATAAATTATTATACTACTAAATTAAAGAGTAGTAATAATGCGAATCATTTACGTTTAAATGTAAAATTTTGTAATCAGTCTAGTTATACCGGCCATCTTTACCTCTTTTTTCCTCTAACTAACTCTACCCTTAACTTTTTATCTATAATAAAGGAAATAATAATAATTTATTTCCAAATTTCACAACAATTTTACAGATTTCTAGCCCCCACACTAGGCTTAGCCTGTCCTGTGGGGATTCTATGATATATAGCCATCTTTGATCTATCATACAGAATTTACTTTTAATTTATTAATCTCTCTGTCTCACTCTAGCTTAGTCTGTCCTATTCTTCGATGGTCTACTGTCTCACTCTTATATAGTGTGTTTTTACTAAAGCCTGATCTGTCTAACCTGGTCTGTTGATCTGTCTCACCCTAACCTGGTCTGTGTCATTCTAGTCCCACTCTAAACTTTTCTATGTTATTCTAGCTTAGTCTGTCTCACTCTGTCATGGTCTGTTGGTCTGTCTCACTCTAATTTAGTCTGTCTGGAACTACCCTGGTATGTGTTACACTAACTCGATCTGTCTCACTGAAACCTGGTCTGCGTCACTGTAGTAGTCTGTCCCGTTCTAAAATTGTCTGTCTCACAATAACCTAGTATGATTTACTCTAACCTGGTCTATCTCACCCTTATATACATACATCGTGTACGTATAGATATTCTATATGAATACTCACAAACGTATGCCGCCTCCGGTTATTGAAGAAGGCAAAATGCTTTCCACACAAGGGACATTTTTTTTTATAGATAGGTCCGACAAATGACTCCACCCTACCTGATATTAAGTGAAAGTGAAGTCCAGACGTGAAGATAGCTGAAACAGCAGTTCTACCTGCCACACCAGCCATCCTCACCCTGCCGGGCTGCATGTTGCTTCTTCACGCCTCTTTTAAAGAATCCCAGGTTTTAAGAGGGAGGGAACACGTGAGCAGGCAGAGCATTCCATTTACGGATAGTGCAACAAATAAATGAGGCAAAAAATTTCTTTGTACGCGTTGGAATTGTGGCCACAGTTAGACGGTGACAACGTAGGCCAGCGCGCGTGGTCCTCTGAAGGACTGAATGAGTATACCCTAATTTACTACTCTAAATTGGTCTGTCTCACTCTAACAACCTGGTCTGTCTGATTCTAACTTCTTCTACCATGAGTCTACCACCATCTACTTTATCAATACCATACCATGTGAAATAAAACAGGAAGAAAAAACCAGCCCTTGTTTAGTTTCTTGCCGGTTCTTCTCAGTACAAGGGCTCCCGCCGTAGCTTTGCGAACCGATTGCGTAGTTTTCGACTTTCAGACGTGCTTGTAAAAGCCTAAACTGAATAAATTATTTTTGAATTGAACTGAATATCTACCCTCGGCCATCTTAAGTCTACCTTACACTGCCTTTGGTCTACCCTTGTCTGCCTTACTCGAGGCATATACCTTCGTTCTATGAGGGTTTATATACCTTCGGTCTACCCTACTCTACCCTCATCTACCTTACTCTACCTTCCTGAAACTAAGTAATTTTCACACAATCTCAGTATACTCACAAACATATGCCGCCTCCGGTTATTGAAGAAGGCAAAATGCTTTCCACACAAGGGACACTCGTAGGTGGGTCGCTGAGCGCTGTGCACCCGCATGTGGAACACCAGGTTCGTCTTCTGTGTGAAGCTTTTGTCGCACGAGGAGCATTTAAAACGTTTCTCGCCGGTATGGACCCACATGTGGTCTTTTAGCAGCGCCATACTCTGGGAAGGCAAAAAGTATAATATTTACGCTATTGTGATTTATAAATCTAAAGAAAATTTTACTAGAAAAAAAAACGACGGGTTGCACTCCGGGAGTGCCGGCAGAAGTGAAAACTTTAATATTAACGTTGTGCATTTTTGATATATTGGAATGGTTAGGGAATAATTTTGCACGAATTGCTTTAATTATCAGTATGAAAGTACTATAATGTATGTGGTAGAATACAATATTTATTTATTGCGCTATCGTACACAAACATGACAATTTATATGACATTAAAAAAGTTTATCTCTCAGAAAAATCAACTTTTTTTTTTTTATAGATAGATCCGACAAATGACTCCACCCCACCTGATGTTAAGTGAAGGTGAAGTCCAGACGCGAAGATAGCTGATACAGCAGTTCTAACTGCCACACCAGCCATCCTCACCCTGCCGGCCTGCATGTTGCCTCTTTTAAAGGATCCCAGGTTGTAAGAGGGAGGGAACACGTGAGCGGGCAGAGAATTCCATTTACGGATAGTACGACAAAGAAATGATTCACCAAATTTCTTTGTACGCGTTGGAATTGTAGCCACAGTTAGACGGTGACAACGTAAGCCAGCGCGCGTGGTCCTCTGAAGGAAAGGGGAAGGTGGAATAAGAGAGAATAACTCCTCAGAACACTCGCCGTGGTACAGACGATAGAACGCGCTTAATGACGCCACGTCACGGCGTAATTGAAGAGGCTCGAGGTGTTTAGTCACCTCCTCATCGCCTATGATGCGGATTGCGCGCCGCTGTAACCTATCCAAAGCATCGAGCAAGTACTTAGCGGAGCCATCCCAGAGGTGCGAGCAATATTCCACGCAAGACCGCACCTGCGTCTTATACAACAAGCACAGTTGCTCGGGCGTGAAAAAACGCCGCACCTTGTTCAGGACTCCGAGTTTGCGTGAGGCTGTTTTTATCACACTTTCGATGTAATTCTTTGGATTTAAGTCACAGCGAATCTCCATACCGAGCATGGTGATACTGCTCTCTAGCTCCAGTGGTGTGCCCTGAAGAGAAGGACATAAACTTACATGAATCACGTTTAAGCGCACTTAGCGACATCTATTGTAAAGAAATCAACTTACATGAATCACGTTTTAGCGCACCTAGCGACAACTATTGTAAAAAAAAATGCATTTTCTTCGCAATAAAGCTGCCAAGTGGACGTCCTAGATAGAGACTTATTATTATAATACGATAAAATAAAATATCATGATGTTTCGTCCAATATATTGAAAGTCAACAACCTTTCCAATTTTATTGTGTGTCATGATGCGATCAGCCCACGTATTTAACCTGACGCGAGTTTAACATTTTTTACCCATACAAAAAAAAGTGTACAACACCGCTAAAGAAGTTTTCACTTCAAAAATCCAAGCGTTCCCAGGCAACAGTAGGGAGGGACTCCAACCTGCACCCTCCGCTGTCCGGGCGGATGCACTAATCAAAAGGAATGATGGCAAGGTAAACTAAACTAAATCATATTTAGTACGTCAGTTAGATTATCATAAAATAATGGCCACATTATCTATTGTAAATCAACCAAACATTATCTATTGTAAATCTACAATAAGAACTGCTATCCGAATTGTATAAAAATCGATAATAAATTACCACGCTTGATAACGGAGCTTAGTTTGCCTATATTTAAAAGGAAGTTTAAAATGTGGCTAATAACGAAATGTTTTTACTCAGTTAGAGAATATTTAGAAACGAAAATTGACTTGGAATAGAATAAGTAAAATGACATAAGTACCTATAAATTTTAGAATTAAATTAAGTTTGACATTCACATGCCCTGTCGTTGGCAAAATGGACGAACTAAATGAAAATCACCACCAAAATGTATCTACTCTGTTTTGATGGAATAAATAAATTTCATTTCAAACAATAAAAAATTACAATGAGAAAGCTCGTCAAAGTTTGGGAGAGGGGGCTAGTGACGTCACTATTAAGAAAACATTGTACCAAGACGTGATGTCCTGCGACATTTCAAATCCATATCTCATATATAAAATTATCGTGTCACAATGTTAGTTACCATACTCCTCCGAAACGGCCTGACCGATTTTTATGAAATTTTATATGCATATTCCGTGGGTCTGAGATTCGGCTACTATCTATTTTTCATATTCTTAAGTGATAATGGTTGTCCACCTGTAACGTAGTGTTCTGAAACCTACAATGCGCCTTCACGCCAAAATTCAAACTATTGGGTATTGTAACGTAGTGTTCTTATATGGGTTAGTTAGGAGGAATGTTATCCCAGGAAATTGATAGAACACTACGTTATCCACGCCTAAGTTTTTTTTGGACAATATTTATTTTTTTACAATGTGGTATTAAAAAATACATACAACCCTAAATTTTCTCTTCTACAACCTGCCCCTATTATGGCGGTAGAAAGTTCGCTTGGTCAGCTAGTATCTCTGTATTTCTTTAAATAATGCGTGTCCAATTATTTTTATAATCTACCTAATGGACGAAGAAAGCTAAGCTACCGCGGCCTTAAATAGCTGTGTCGAATTTCCTCTATTATTTCTTAAGCTGCAAGGTAGCGCCATCTCTTCGCATTAGTAACCCACAATGTTAAATGGATTCCTCTACAAGAATTAAACATTTGAAAGAAGAAACAGCAATGATAGTTATCTTTATTTTTTAAGCATTTTAACTGCTAGATGTTTAGACCCTAAGAAAACTTTACCAGTAAAAGCGATAACGGATGGTGCGAGTTCGAATTCCGTCTGCTGCGTGATCTGCGTTGAATATTATCTAGAAAAATGATTCTTCCCATTTCAACATCTTTCAGTTAAATGGTAAAAATATTATAAATATAGTAAAATACCTGGTATATTCGGGGGTACTGGGTGAGTTCTTCTAAAGTGCAACAAACAAACAAACAAGACTATAGGGTGTATTCCGAAATATACATCAGTATACTGGCCAGTGGTAATGACGTCACGAATCCGACGCCATATTGTACTGGTATGCTACCATATTTTTACCGGGAAAACGAATATGACGTATGACGGAGCGTTAGTGAGATGCATTCGAATTTATTTCTTTTATATTTAAGGAACAATAATGGCATCCGAACAAAAAGAATTCCTTTTAATTGATAAGGTGAATAAAAAATCTTCTTTATTCGCACTATTTTTAATATTTCGTCGATTTATGACGTCAGTGCACTGGCCAGTATATTTCGGAACAATTAACCAGTATAGCGTCGATTCATGAAGTCATTAGCACTGGCCAGTATACTGGTATATATTACGGAATACACCCATAATAGCAGCATTTTACCTGAAATAAAATGCATATTAAAATACTTACCTCACTGAAAGCTTTATATTGAGATAGCACTTCCGTTTCCCGTCGAATTACCATCAGTTTCCGTACTTTTAATTACCTTATATCCGGTCCAGTGGCGACACCTGGCAGAAGCGCGGCCATTTTTGTTTTCCTAAGTTTTGACAGCGCTATATTAACTCATTGGCTCAATTATTTCACCAGGCAGAATTTAAAGTGAAAGCTTTCAGTGAGGTAAGTATTTTAATATGCATTTTATTTCAGGTAAAATGCTGCTATTAAACTACTTGACCGTCACTGAAAGCTTTATATTGAGACCTGTTTGTTATCGCCTGGTGATCGCCACGTACATAGATATATACGCCAATGTGACAATTTATGATAAATTTAAATATTAACATTTATCAGATTATATGAAACTGTATAAAGAAACGAGTAAGCTTAAAAATGAATCAAATAATATTATTTGAATCACGCCTTTAATTTCTTCAAGCTTACGAAGCTGCTTAACTCGCGAAGTATATATATTTGTTTTGTTAATGACCGGACGCTTCCTTGTGTAGCATTCATTTGTATTTTTGTATATCACAAATAAGGCGTACGAACGAGAGAAAAAGATGTAAAGTTGTTCGATACTGAGTCTTACATTTTACAAGACTGTACTTTTTACTTAAGTACCAAAAATCAGGGTCCCACTTACGATTACCATTATTTGGTACAAGTCACCAATCGGATTGTCTTAAACTACTTTCACCTGTTTTGAACCAAAACAAGGCTAAACTAATCTTCGTCGGTACAAATACAATGATTCGGGATAATTTGAAGTAGGAACAAGTCATGTGTACCACATGCTGAACCAAATAATACGCAGCATAATTACTGTATGACGTTCAGAACAACATATATGACGAAGTATTTGAAACAGATCATTATGATGTAAAGAGTACATTATTGAAGAAAAGGAAATAAGTTAACTTATAGACACAGAATAGTAGGTTACGGACTGATTCTTTAAAAACAATCGACTTCATTATATGTGTTTGCCAAGACAGGTGAGCTTAGGTAATAAGACTTATCATCCATTGGTATATCATGTAAAAACTACTTACTTATTTAAAATAATGGTACTTATTTTAAGATAAGTCACGAGTTAAAAATAAGTCTCTCAAAAATCGTGTTAGTTCAGAGCCGAGTCCACAACTTGCGGGATTATTCCGATAAACATTCTTGTTCCTAGACCAATGCAACCACGCAAGCCAGCGTTTCCGAGCCATCTCATAGCTGTTTTTAAGACAGAGCTGTCGCTCTTTGTAGAATATGTTGAAAAGCGTAGTGCTAGCATATCGTGCCATGTTCTTCAACTATACTTCCCAAGCTTTCATATTAGATAGGCGGGAAGTGATTGCAAGGTCGATTGCAGTGAATTCATAATTATTGTTAGAAGTAGGGAGTGGTTGATACAACCCCACGGAATAACAAAAATGTTGAAACCGATCAACTTCTGAAGTTTACGTTTTTACAACGAAATTCTCTGGTATAGTTTTTATATTGTTGCTGGGTTGCCGTGATAAATTATGCTATTCCGAAGTTCAGACCACATTTTATGAAATTCATTTGCCATCCTGGAATCTATAATTGATTGTAATTTTTCTTTTGTTTTTCAGTTCTTAGATCCGAGTCATTTATATGTATTACTTAATACTAAATAAAGATTTAGTTATTTATAAGATTTACACAGCTTACATGAGGTGTGCATGTACTATGCGTAGGGTTTGAAGTATATTTATTCCAGACAGTCGTCGCAAGGTTAGAAAGCGTAAGTTTAATATTAAGAACAGTTTTCAGTAATTTTTACTAAAATAACATAAAGGGGATAATTGCATACAATGATCTTCAAAACCTTTCAAGAATTTGGTAGATCGTGCGATCTTTCTTCAGTAACTAGCACCACTTATATATCAAAATGATCAAGTTGGCCACCTCAGACACCACATACACGACATTTCTAATATGCAAGTTTCTCTCATTACGCGATCAAAAGAGTGAGCAACCCATTTGGTTTACTTTTGTTATTTTCAAGAGAAAATATGTTATCTTCTATTTATCTGGCAGATAGTCTTTAAATTGCAGAAAACTTAGAATTCTTTACATATTTATAGTGTACTGCACTTGAGATTGGAGTTTGATATATATTGGATTTAGATAAACAAGCTTTTGAATGGCATGCGATACCATTAAATTTATTTAAGAATTATTTATGGAGCTCCCAATTTATCAACTTACCTGCACTAAATTTTTTCAAACATTAATTGTTTCGATATTCCTTTTTCTTTTGAAATGTATTATATATTATGGTAGAACAACCTTAGTGATCGAGTCAACAGTTCACACCAATTAGCCTAGCCTTATAATGGGCATTGAAAGGCTTGTGTTATGGGCTAACGCCTGGAAATGCATAATGATGATGCATAGATTAGAATTTATTAGATTAGATTTTAAACTCATATTTGTTAATAACCAAAACTTAGGCACAGATGCTCGTTTTTATCATACAATGATTTGCCCCACCGGGGTGAACCCAAGACCTCGGAGTATGCGACACCTTAAAAACCACGTACATTGCACTTCCCAACGGGGTACGTCAACATTCGATGTTCGATCTTTATAGTCTATTAAGAGGGTAGTTTATAGCCGATACTTATGTGTGTACGCAAGCCATGAGCGGGTATGTTGCGTTGCGTCGATGTATGGATTTCCACGCGATGGAAGTAATGAATTATGTCAAGCGACATTTATTATATTTTCAATTTACTTATTTTTAATGTTTCGAATCGTTTACACTTTTACAGACCCCATGGTCACAAAAATAAATTATGAATCACGAATAGACTACATGTTAAATTATGCATAATTTGCTCCACTCGAGTGTCGTATGTTACCGGTGCTTACATAATAGTACGAACTCCATAAGCGAACATGTTCTAAGGAGAACATATATTGATATTCACGTAATGGAAATAATATATTATGTGTGATATGACCCTACAAGGGCGATTATAAAATTTATGAGGATATTTCTCTATCAACGATGTTTTGTTACTGATACTTGTATGTGTAGGCAAGCCATGGAAGGCAAGTCCTTATTCATAATGAGTTCCATACGAAGGAAGCAAATTATACATAATATGCCCCCGCGAAGGGCGGTCATCAGAGTTTTGGTAATATGCACGCCGCGAAGGTGGTTTGCTACCGGTACTCGTATATGTAAGCAAGGCATTAGAGGTATTTCATAAGGTTTCACGTAGTGGAAACAAATTGTATATAATATGCACCCCGCGAGGGTGATTTGCTACCGGTACTCGTATATGTAGGCAAGGCATTAGAGGCATTTCATAAGGTTCCACGTAGTGGAAACTAATTGTACATAATATTCACCCCGCGAGGGTGATTTGCCACCGGTACTCGTATATGTAGGCAAGGCATTAGAGGCATTTAATAAGATTCCACGTAATGGAAACAAATTATATATAATATGCACCCCGCGAGGGTGATTTGCCACCGGTACTCATATGTGTAGGTACGCCATGGGAGGGCATGTCCTGACACGCCTTGGGCTTCATGAGATGAAGCTTATGAATATCACTTGCCTCTGCGCGTGTTGCTCATTAGGTTGATGAAATGTCAATCACTTAAATCCATGAAAAATACTTACTTAATACGATAAAAACAACCTCATAGATGGTATCTTATTAAGTGGTGCTTCATCACAGAGATCACTAACTTCTTGCAGTGCTTTAGTTTTTACTTTTTAGCTTTGTGCTAGCTGTAAAAGACCTAAGAAACGATTCTGTTATCTTATCACTTTTGTTATTAAAATTAACTGAGCAGGTGCCTTCCCGCAATGATTCATTTTTATTTTAGAAATATGCAATTGCTGAAAGAAAATTAATGTCAGGAACGTGATATATCATAAATTATCATCATACTTCTTTACCTCGTTGTTTGTTTCCAGGTTGATAAAGCCTGGACTATGTTTATAATTTTTAATTTACATCAGCATATCATTTAAAATAAACGTTGAATGTCTTTCGAACAGAGCGTTCCTTTATCCTAGTTTAGTCACACGACTCATATGAGAATTTTTATTACGTGTATTGGTCAGTAAAAATGTTAGAACTTTTTATTCATAAGCCTTTAGATATTGATAGCTGGCCATGTTCAGAAAACGGCACATCGACATTAGAAATACCTTATTAAGATTGTACATAGTTCACTTACCCCTCGAACAATCTTTTAATAAAAGGGCTGGAATATCAAGCTCGCTTATTTTTCTTGAGGCAGCGATGCCGCTTTCGTTATACCAGAAGACGACAAATTCAACCAATTATTACTGCAGCTGTTTGAAGAACAATAATGACTAGATCCACACATCTTGCTGTTTTTGCCAATAATGCCAGTCAGTCGGCGGCTGAAACGTCAATATTGACCGATATTCCTTCACTCTAAACTGTAAAATAATTTAATTAAGTATTTTGTAATACATTTACCAATTTACTTTCACATTTACTTATACGGAAACATTAATTGAATACCAAGAGAAAACACTCTTAAAATAGTTTTTATGATAAACGACCAAGACAAACGTAAAGTATTGCAAAGTTTACTTTAATGTAGGTACTTTAATTTTTTAAACAAAACGCACCTTGAATTGCCGTTAAGTTTTACTCACGGCTTATTATTACTTTTTCAAACAAGCGTATTGCACAATTTAACATATTTGTTTTAAATATTCCTTATCACAAGGGCTGCAAAAACTATCAAAAAGAATAATAGTTTTACTTACGATTCCTTCACTTTTGACACGTAAAGTACCTATTTGGAATAACACGAACGGCAAAAACCGTTAAAATAAAATAGTTTTACTTACAGTTTTATCACTTAATAATAATAAAACCTTTAAAATCTCACAACGATCGCTCAGATTGAGGACGTGTTGCTTCGACGGGAGTCAGAACGCCAATGAGTTAATATAGCGCTGTCAAAACTTAGGAAAACAAAAATGGCCGCGCTTCTGCCAGGTGTCGCCACTGGACCGGATATAAGGTAATTAAAAGTACGGAAACTGATGGTAATTCGACGGGAAACGGAAGTGCTATCTCAATATAAAGCTTTCAGTGACGGTCAAGTAGTTTAATATCCTGCTTTCATGGCGGGGTACTAGGGTTCGATTCTTGTCCGGGTGCGATCTTCCCATAGTGGATCGAACAACAAACAATGGCGGTTACCAACAAACAAACAACACCTAGAATATCCTGCCTTCATGGCGGAGTACTTGGTTCGATTCCTGTTCGGGTGAGCTTCTAAAGTAGAACAAACAAACAAAAAAGAAATATAATATCCTGCTTTCATGGCGGGGTACTAGGGTTCGATTCTTGTCCGGGTGCGATCCTCCCATAGTGGATCGAACAACAAATAAACAACACCTAGAATATCCTGCCTTCATGGCGGAGTACTTGGTTCGATTCCTGTCCGGGTGAGCTTCTAAAGTAGAACAAACAAACAAAAAAGAAATATAATATCCTGCTTTTATGGCGGGGTACTAGGGTTCGATTCTTGTCCGGGTGCGATCCTCCCATAGTGGATCGAACAACAAATAAACAACACCTAGAATATCCTGCCTTCATGGCGGAGTACTTGGTTCGATTCCTGTTCGGGTGAGCTTCTAAAGTAGAACAAACAAACAAAAAAGAAATATAATATCCTGCTTTTATGGCGGGGTACTAGGGTTCGATTCTTGTCCGGGTGCGATCCTCCCATAGTGGATCGAACAACAAACAATGGCGGTAACAAACCAAACCATTAACTGGAATATCCTGCCTTCATGGCGGAGTACTTGGTTCGATTCCTTCCGGGTGAGCTTCTAAAGTAGAACAAACAAACAAAAAAGACCTATAATATCCTGCTTTCATGGCGGAGTACTAGGGTTCGATTCTGGTCCGGGTGCTATCCTTCCGTAGTGGATCAAATAACAAACAAATGGCGGTAGCAAACAAAACAATAACTGGAATATCCTGCCTTCGTGGCGGTGTACTTGGTTCGATACCGGTCCGGGTGAGCTTCTAAAGTAGAATAAACAAACAAAAAAGAAATATAATATCCTACTTTCATGGCGGGGTACTAGGGTTCGATTCTGGTCCGGATGCGATCCTCCCATAGTGGATCGAACAACAATCAATGGCGGTAACAAACAAAACAATATCTGGAATATCCTGCCTTCATGGCGGAGTACTTGGTTCGATTCCTTCCGGGTGAGCTTCTAAAGTAGAACAAACAAACAAAAAAGACCTATAATATCCTGCTTTCATGGCGGAGTACTAGGGTTCGATTCTTGTCCGGGTGCGATCCTTCCATAGTACAAAACAAAACTATGGACACTTTAGTCTGAAATAAAATTTTATTATTATTATTTATTATTATTATAGTGGATCGAACAACAAACAATGGCGGTAACAAAAAACGAACAATACCTGGAATATCCTGCCACACTGCTCGCACATACACGGGGTCTTCATTGCGGGGTACTTGGTTCGATTCTTGTCCGGGTGAGCTCGCCTAAAGTGTTGAGCGTAGAGTCTTAAATCGCGAAGTTGGATACCGCACTGTAAAAGGAAGACATTAAAATAATATATGTGATTAAGTTTTTAATAACATAGGTGTTAAATGTAAAACTCATGTTGTGGAGCTCGAAGGAGCGTCCGGTTGCGATCGATGAAGTTAAGCAACTTTCGCAGTGGTCGGTCATTGGATGGGTGACCAAAAATCTTCTATCTCGACTTCCTCCGTGCTTCGGAAGGCACGTTAAGCCATTGGTCCCGGCTGCATCTGCAGTCGTTAGCACCCGCCAATCCGCACTGGGCCCACGTGGTGGGTCATGGCCCAATCTCCCTATTCCATCCATAGGGAAGGCCTGTGCCCCAGCAGTAAGGACATTATTAGGCTGATGATGATGATGAAGTGTTAAATGTAGTGGAATGTACGAATTTTATCGCGATAAAACCGTTTGATGTGCACCAATTTACCGACAGCCACGCAAAGGGATTTTTTGTCGCGACATAACGAAAATTAATAGTTGGCCAGTTATTTCGCGACAACGCAAATCTTGGTGTTATCCACATCACTCTACCGTTGTGTGCGTGTTTATACGAATGTTTTATATCCTTAGATATAGAGTAAAACAACGCGTGTTTCTGTATGAAGCAGGTTTTATTGTTATAATAGCGGGTGCTCGCGGCTTCTTCAATGCGGAAAAATTGGTTTCAGATACAAATTTCCAACACCCATTTACAGCCTCTAAAAATAGATGCTATTCGTTTGTGTTTTAGTTTTTATGTTTGTGTATTTGTATGGGTGCATATTTGTATTTTTGTATATTTGTAGATTTTGTATGTCAGTGCGTTTGTGTATTTGTGTGTTAACGCATTTGTATGCCAGTTTATTTATATGTTCACGTATTTGTATGTAAATGTATTTGTGTGATTGCGTATTTGTATGTCAGCATATTTGTGTGCTTGCGTATTTGTATACGAGTATATTTATATGTGCAAATATTTGTGCGTAAATGTATTTGTGTGATTGCGTATTTGTATGTCAGTACATTTGTGTGCTTGCGTATTTGTATGCGAGTATATTTATATGTTCACGTATTTGTATGTAAATGTATTTGTGTGATTGCGTATTAGTATGTCAGTATCTTTGTGTGATTGCCTATTTGTATGTCAGTATATTTGTGTGTTTGCGAATTTGTGTATCAGACACGGGCCCGCTGGGTTGAGATTGAGTTTGTGTTTGCGTATTAGTATGAACATGTATTTGTAAAATTCAATGTGTGTGTACTAGAGTATTTGTGTTTACGTATTTGTATGTCAATATATGTATATATTTTTCTGATACACAAGTATATGTAGCGGGTGCCCGCTACTTCATCAGTGCAGAAAAATTAGTTTCCGATACATATTTCCAGTTTCTAAAAAGATATGTATTCGTTTGTGTTGAATTATGTTTGTGTATGGGTGCATATTTGTAGATTTTGTATGTCAGTGCGTTTGTGTTTTTGTATGTCAGTTTATTTGTGTGTTTGTGTATTTGTATGGGTGCATATTTGTAGATTTTGTATGTCACTGCGTTTGTGTTTTTGTATGTCAGTGTAATTGTGTGTTTGTGTATTTGTATGGGTGCATTTTTATAGACTTAGTATGTCAGTGCATTTGTATATTTGTATGTCATTGTATTTGTGTGTTGGTGTATTTGTATGGGTGCATATTTGTAGACTTAGTATGTCAGTGCATTTGTGTATTTGTATGTCAGTGTATTTAGTGTGTTGGTGTATTTGTATGGGTGCATATTTGTAGACTTAGTATGTCAGTGCATTTGTGTATTTGTATGTCAGTGCATTAGTGTATTTGTATGTCAGTGTATTTGTATTGGTGCATATTTGTAGACTCAGTATGTCAGTGCATTAGTGTATTTGTATGTCAGTGTATTTGTGTATTTGTATTGGTGCATATTTGTAGACTTAGTATGTCAGTGCATTTGTGTATTTGTATGTCAGTGTATTTGTGTGTTTGTGTGTTTGTGTATTTGTGTGTTTGTGTATTTGTATGGGTGCACATTTGTAGACTTAGGATGTCAGTGCATTTGTGTATTTGTATGTCAGTGTATTAGTGTGTTTGTGTATTTGAATGTGTGCATATTTGTAGACTTAGTATGTCAGTGCATTTGTGTATTTGTATGTCAGTGTATTTGTGTGTTTGTGTTTTTATATATTTGTGTATCAGTACATTTGTGCAAATATATTTGTGTATATGAATTTATAAATCAGTATATATTAGTGTACTTGTACCCACTGACCTGTTCACAAGTCACCGGCCCGCTGGGTTCAGGTCTTCTTTCCCTGTCTCCGGGATCCTTGGGGTTGATCACTGGTCTTCGTTCAATTTTCCTCATAACTCTACCGTTTCGTTCGGTGTTAATGCTTTGAGAATCGTTTCTGATGCGATTGCTGATGGAAAAAATGGAAAATATGTAATACCTAAATACATACAATATACAGTACAATATAATATATTATTATTATATATACAGTACGAATACCCTTCGCGTTCCACAACATTACCACACGGAGATTAAGTATATTAAATATTGAAGTTCGGATATTTTACTGAAAGAAGACATCATTAAAAATTTATAATAAGAAGAACCGATTTCACAGATTTTCAAAATATCGCCTGCCGCAACCGGTAATCAAACTCGTGGGATATGAAAAAAACGCATGACGTATTATACAGATCGTACTGTTTTTGCGACGATTGTAATGCAATGTATTGTCTCTCTTTAGCATATTGAATTTTTAAAATCTAACTCATTACAGTAATAAATACAAATGAATCGATTATATTTTTATAAATCGATACGGTTGTTACAAAATGGCAACACCGAGCCGAGGAGACAAGTGTCAAAAAATACAAATGTAATGAAAGTGAATTAATTACTAATTTATTATAGGAATAGTTGTTCGGCGAAGAAATGCCTAATTATTTAACATGGTTTTGTGAAAATTAAAAGCTAGATTTTTTATCTAAAGAAAATATAACTAGAAAAAAATTACGCGGACCAGGCAGCAGACGGGACTCGAACCCGCACCCTTCGCTATCCAGGCGAATACACTGACCATTATACTAACGCGGCCCTGATGGCCGTAGTATAATTGGCCAGTGCATCCGCCCGTATAGCAGAGGGTGCGGGTTCGAGTCCCGTCTGGTGCCTGGCCGGGTGGAATTTTTCCTAGTAAAATTTTAAAAAGTAATCAGTAAGTCTGTTTCAACGTTAGACAGCTGATATACATACGGATCATTATCACTGCTATGCCTTGAAGATAGCTTCAGATGTCGGGAATGCGCTTCTTCCGATACAAAAGTGACATCGCAGACACAGCAATACGGGCCGTCTACTGGAACCTGTGAAATAAATATTTCTATCATTCACGCAGCAGCAATTTAATCTGAATTTATGAAAAAACGCATATACAATATATACATGTATGTACATAAATACATATTTGATTTACTAGCTATAAGAGAAAGACAGAAAGAAAATTGCTTTCTCTTGATTATATCCCCCACTCAACTCCCGTTCGCCTCGTCCGAACACACTTTTCGTAACGCGCAACGCAATTCGCCAGCTTTCAAGTCAAGCGTGCGTAAATAGGTTTCACTTCAAAAAAGTGTATACTATTGAGGATATAAAGAATTAATTTCAGACAAAGAGACGTTGTTTCGCTCTGTGAAATAATCAAAATAACTCACTGTAACGCCACTTATCGGGTAGATTTGTAAGTTAAGTTTACGCCAAAAGGCTATTTGACAGTATGAAGATAAAGTAACAATTATTGGCATCAGTATTTAACTCGAATATTGAGAGCGATCGCACTGCTTTGGGGGCGTTCAAGTATTAAGTAACGCAAATTTTGAAGATTTTCGAGACCCGCTCCCCCCATATTGCGTTACGTCATATTTGGAAGAGCTAGATGGCGCCGGTGGTTAGCGTTCGGCTGCGATCGTTGAAGTTAAGCAACTTTCGCAGTGGTCGGTCATTGGATGGGTGACCAAAAATCTTCTATCTCAAGTTCCTCCGTGCTTCGGAAGGCACGTTAAGCCGTTGGTCCCGGCTGCATCTGCAGTCGTTAGCACCCGCCAATCCGCACTGGGCCTCGTGGAGGGTCATGGCCCAATCTCCCTATTCCATCCGTAGGGAAGGCCTAAGCCCCAGCAGTGGGGACATTAAGAGGCTGATGATGAACGCCCCCTTTGACAAAAAAAAGTTGGTGATATTTACTAAATAGGTATCATGAATATTGGCACGTGACCGAAATCGCCTGGGATTGGCGTAGACTAAAATGACGTCACCTGCTTGTAACTATAATGTCGAAGTGACATTGCTTTGTACTGTTTGGCGTTTTAATGAGAGCCGTGTGACGTCACCTGCCTGTAAGACGCCATATTTTCTAGAGAAACGTATCCGCGGCAAATTTGAAAACAAATCTATTATTTTCGTTCTTTTACTGATTTACACAACAGATTTATAAATATCCACTTTTTATATCACCAACAAATACCGTATGAAGGTTTAAAAAAGTGCCAAATAGCCTATTCAGTTTAAAAAGTGTATGTTAGCCAAATTTTATCCAAATTCGCTTAGCCCTTTTTGCGCGTTTTAGCAACAAATGTACAAACTTTTATTTTATTAGTAGTGGCCCGCCCTCGCTTCGCTTCGATGTAGAGCTGTAGTGTAGAATTCGACTTTCTCACCTTATAAACCTTCCCTAGACCACCACGAACATTTCAAGACCAAGATAAGATAAATCCGTTCAGCCGTTCTCGAGTTTTAGCAAGACTAACGAACAGCAATTGATTTTTATATATATAGACTAGCTGACCCAGCGACCTTCATACCGCCATAAAAATAGGGGCAGGTGGTAGAAGAGAAAATTTAGGGTTGTATGTATTTTTTAATACCACGTTATAAAAAAAAAAAGTCCAAAAAAAATTTTAGAGGTGTGTAACGTACTGTTCTATCAATTTCCTGGGATAACATTCCTCCTAACCCATATGAGAACACTACGTTACAATACACAATAGTTTGAATTTTGGCGAAGGATATGAAAAATAGATAGTAGCCGATTCTCAGACCCACGGAATATGCATATAAAATTTCATAAAAATCGGTCAGGCCGTTTCGGAGGACTATGGTAACTAACATTGTGACACGAGAATTTTATATATAAGATGATATTAGTATGATATTGGTGTCGATTCTGGCATAATTCTCTAAACTTAAAACTAAATTTAATATCAGTCTTTCCTTTTCATTATGTATAGAGAATGACAAGGATGCACTGTTGTCAAATTTAAGTTTAGGTTTAGAGAATCATGCCAGAATCGACACCATTGAATACTTTACTCACTGTTTTATCAGAAAGCCTATGTTTCTTCTTCTTGTGAACTTCGATGCCCTTCTTACTGACAAAAGTGAATCCGCACAGTTCGCAAACGAAATCCGAAACATGCTTTATCCTTATATGACCCATGTACGTAGTGAGTTTACTGAAAACCACACAAATTGTTAAAGGAACGTGCCGATACTACGTGACCCGTTCAGGGGGGAGAGTTAGGTTTTCGTTACATATAATGCGATTCAACTAAGAATCTAAGAATAGGACCGACTCGTCGCCATATTGTGATGTCATAGCTGTAAATTCAAACCAACTAGGTAGAGTGGGCAAAAAAAAGTCAGGGGGGAGGGAGGTCTTCAAAATACCACGCTTAGTCATAGGGGAGAGTTAGGTTTTCGTCACATATAATGCGATTCAACTAAGAATCTAAGAATAGGACCGACTGGGCGCCATGTTGTTATGTCATAGCTGTAAATCCAAACCAAATAGGTAGAGTGGGCAAAAAAAGTCAGGGGGGAGGGAGGTCTTCAAAATACCACGCATAGTTATAGGGGAGAGTTAGGTTTTCGTCACATATAATGCGATTCAACTAAGAATCTAAGAATAGAACCGACTGGGCGCCATATTGTGATGTCATAGCTGTCAATTCAAACGAAATAGGTAGAGTGGGCAAAAAAAAGTTTTCATTTAGTGAAACTTATTTACTAAGATTAAGTGAGAAAAGGCATTAGATTTTTTTATTTACTAAGATTGAGAGAAAAAGAAACACTGATTTTAATAATATTTATTTTTTAGACTGTGAGAAAAAACATTAATCAGAATCTAGCTCTTCTATTCCGCTCATCTCTGCATTAATACCGGAGTAGTTATGAATAATCATGCACTATTACTAGGACACATACGAACATGCATCCTTTATGTAAACGAAAGTTTGAAATCGAGTTTCTGAACGCAGCTTAAAGTGACATTTGGTTGACGATTTAGGTTATCAACCATGCATGGCCAAAGCACAATAAGTAAAAAAAAACAACCGATATTAATTATCAATATTTGTTATTGTTTGTTTACAAATGTTTGGTTTTTATTCTTGAATTAGCAGTGTGCTAAAAAAGGGTTCCAAGATATTTTTTTTGCAAACCGTACTTTTCAAGCGACATTTGACAGATGGAGGTCATTGGCTTCCCTATTCTTGTTTGAATTGCATTATAGTCGATATTTTAAAGGAAAATTTTCTTCTTGATAATATTTTGTGAAATGATAACTGCTTATGGGAAAGTGAACCGCTTTGTTACGACGCCATTCTGTCCGGCATCAATGCGCAATATCTTTTTTTTTTTCAAAAATAATTAAAATAACTTGCTTAAACTTGGAATCGAACCGGTGCAATGTAAAAAAAACAGCCTGTACTTTATGATATGACCAACGGAAAGAGTCATTCATAACGATCAATTTGACGACCTCCGTGGCTGAGTGGTCTGTCGTTCAAATCCAGCGTGATTGACTAACAAATATACAGACATTGAAATTAAGAATATCAGTAAGATATACAGATGTGAGGAGCTCGCAGGTGGTTAGCGCGATCGGTTGCGATCGTTGAAGTTAAGCAAATTTCGCAGTGGTCGGTCATTGGATGGGGGACCAAAAATCTTCTATCTCGAGTTCCTCCGTGCTTGGGAAGGCACCTAAAGCCGTTGGTCCCGGCTGCATCTGCAGTCCTTAGCCCCCGCCAATCCGCACTGTGCCCGCGTGGTGGGTCATGGCCCAATCTCCCTATTCCATCCATAGGGAAGGCCTGTGCCCCAGCAGTGGGGACATTAATAGGCTGATGATTATATTGATAAAGATTAGTATAAAATATGGATTACATACTCAAATTCGCTGGGGCAATGTGGACACTGGTACTTGGTGCCTGCATGCCATTTTTCATGCTCTCTTGCTACACCCCTGTATAATAAAAGCACTTTAGTTGATTCACAAACGCTTGTATGAAGACGATCGTGGCGGTTAAGCAACTTTCGCAATGGTCGGTCTTAGGATGGGTGACTAAAATTTCATTATCTCGAGCTCCTCATGGTCCATGACGACCTCCGTGGCCGAGTGGTTTGTACGCCGGGTTTCATGGTGTCGCCGACTCGAGAGGTCCCGGGTTCGAATCCGGTGGGGGCAGATGTTTGTGTGATGATTACGAGCATTTGTACTCCTCATGGATGTTTAATATGTATTTCTATATAAATATACTTATATATGTACTGTATATGTATTCTATCCGTTACCCTAGTATCCCATAACACAAGCCTTACAGTGCTTACTTTGGGGCTAGGCTAATTGGTGTGAGTGTTAGAAATATTTATTTATTTATGATTTTTTTCTATTTAATGTAGACATTTTCGAAGCTGTTACCTCTAAAAATATAGTAGATGACAAAAAAGTAGTATGTGGTTAAAATATTTACTTTATTGTAAATATTTTAACTATGTAAATATATATTTTTATATATTAATTATATATTTTTGCTGCTCTATACCTTAATACTTCAGTTTTTATTTTAAGAAAGCTTTTACTGGCAAAAGTCTGCTTTAAGCAAAATAAATATATATTTTTTTAGGAATATAGTATGAGATCCTCTGATATAGTAGGATAGAGTCTGTGCGGAAAGATAATGGGATTTAGATTTGAGGGAGCTGTAGTGCTTACCTAAATACCTATCTACCGTATTTGTAAGGTTTTACCCCTTTTAGACATGATTAAATACAAAAAACAGAAAGAAATTACAACAACAAACAAATCCGTATCAATACAAAACTTTGACGTTTGTCAAAGTTTTGTATTGATACGTCAAACCCCTAAATGTTAAGGGTAATCCACCCCTTAATTTTTCTTTTTAATTTTAGATATTTTTTTTATATTTTTTTATGATACATCATACAAAAACACATACAAGACTAAATTTTCACCCTTCTACCACCAACCCCTATTTTCAGGTATATTACCCTAGCGTAACAATTTCATAAATCCATATCCTAAGGTATATAGTATTTTGTTGCTATTTTGTGCCGCAAGAATTGATTTTGTTGCTCCATGATTTCTCCGAAAAACGCCTGTTACGCTAGCGAAACCACAGCGATAACTCGGAGGCAAAAGCAGTTAGAGAGATCAGATGAACGGCATATTTTGTTGCTATTTTGTTGCTGTAAGATAAGCTGGTTAGATATGGAAAAATTCCCCCCCTTCATGGGGGGCTAACTACCCTTATTCTTAGATATTTCAGATTTTTCGTATCTCGTGAACTAAAGCAGCTAGCGGCACGAGACAAACGGCGTATTTTGTTGCTATTTTGTTGCTGTAAGATAAGCTGGTTAGATATGGAAAAATTCCCCCCTTCATGGGGGGCTAACTACCCTTATTCTTAGATATTTCAGATTTTTCGTATCTTGTGAACTAAAGCAGCTAGCGGCACGAGACAAACGCCGTATTTTGTTGCTATAAGGTAGGCATGCTGCGTACATCATAATCACAACCCTTATCGGGGTATGACCAACCCCCGACCTCAAGACACCAGATAATTCGTATCTCGTGAGCTAAAGCAGCTAGCGACCCGAACCCAACGGCGTATTTTGTTGTTATTAGATAGGCATGCTGCGACCATCATAATCACAACCCTTATCGGGGTATGATCTACCCCCGACCCTGAAGACACCAGATATTTCGTATCTCGTAAACTAAAGCAGCTAGCGGCACGAGACAAACGGCGTATTTTGTTGCTGTAAGATAAGCTGGTTAGATATGAAAAAATATCAACCCTTCATGAGAGGCTAACTACCCTTATTCTTAGATATCTCAGATATTTCGTATCTCGTGAGCTAGGCATGCTGCGACCATCATAATCACAATCCTTATCGGGGTATGATCAACCCCCGACCCCGAAGACACCAGATATTTCGTATTTCGTGAACTAAAGCAGCTAGCGGCACGGACAAACGGCGTATTTTGTTGCTGTAAGATAAACTGGTTAAATATTGAAAAATTCCCCCCCTTCATGGGGGGCTAACTACCCTTATTCTTAGATATTTCAGATTTTTCGTATCTTGTGAACTAAAGCAGCTAGCACGGCGGCACGAGACAAACACCGTATTTTGTAGCTATTTTGTAGCTATAAGATAGGCATGCTGCGTACATCATAATCACAACCCTTATCGGGGTATGACCAACCCCCGACCCCAAGACACCAGATATTTCGTATCTCGTGAGCTAAAGCACCTAGCGACCCGAGACCAACGGCGTATTTTGTTGCTATTTTGTAGCTATAAGATAGGCATGCTGCGTACATCATAATCACAACCCTTATCGGGGTATGATCAACCCCCGACCCCAAGACACCAGATATTTCGTATCTCTTGAGCTAAAGCAGCTAGCGACCCGAGACCAACGGCGTATTTTGTTGCTATAAGATAGGCATGCTGCATACATCATAATCACAACCATTATCGGGCTATAACCTACCCCCGACCCTGAAGACACCAGATATTTCGTATCTCGTGAACTAAAGCAGTTAGCGGCACGAGACAAACGGCGTATTTTGTTGCTGTAAGATAAGCTGGTTAGATATGAAAAAATATCATCCCTTCATGAGAGGCTAACTACCCTTATTCTAAGAAATCTCAGATATTTCGTATCTCGTGAGCTAAAGCAGCTAGCGACCCGAGACCAACGGCGTATTTTGTTGCTATTTTGTAGCTATAAGATAGGCATGCTGCGTACATCATAATCACACCCTTATCGGGGTATGACCAACCCCCGTCCCCGAAGACACCAGATATTTCGTATCACGTGAGCTAAAGCAGCTAGCGACCCGAGACCAACGGCGTATTTTGTTGCTATTTTGCGACTATAAGATAGGCATGCTGCGTACATCATAATCACAACCCTTATCGGGGTATGACCAACCCCAGACCCCAAGACACCAGCTATTTCGTATCTCGTGAGCTAAAGCAGCTAGCGACCCGAGACCAACGGCGTATCGGGGGTTGGTCATACCCCGATAAGGCTTGTGATTATGATGTACGCAGCATGCCTATCTTATAGCTACAAAATAGCAACAAAATACGCCGTTGGTCTCGGGTCGCTAGCTGCTTTAGCTCACGAGATACGAAATATCTGAGATATGTAAGAATAAGGGTAGTTAGCCTCTCATGAAGGGCTGATATTTTTTCATATCTAACCAGCTTATCTTACAGCAACAAAATACGCCGTTTGTCTCGTTCCGCTAGCTGCTTTAGTTCACGAGATACGAAATATCTGGTGTCTTCAGGGTCGGGGGTAGATCATACCCCGATAAGGGTTGTGATTATGATGTACGCAGCATGCCTATCTCAGAGCAACAAAATACACCGTTGGTCTCGGGTCGCTAGCTGCTTTAGCTCACGAGATACGAAATATCTGGTGTCTTCGGGGTCGGGGGTTGATCATACCCCGATAAGGGTTGTAATTATGATGGTCGCAGCATGCCTATCTAATAGCAACAAAATTCGCCGTTGGGTTCGGGTCGCTAGCTGCTTTAGCTCACGAGATACGAATTATCTGGTGTCTTGAGGTCGGGGGTTGGTCATACCCCGATAAGGGTTGTGATTATGATGTACGCAGCATGCCTACCTTATAGCAACAAAATACGGCGTTTGTCTCGTGCCGCTAGCTGCTTTAGTTCACAAGATACGAAAAATCTGAAATATCTAAGAATAAGGGTAGTTAGCCCCCCATGAAGGGGGGGAATTTTTCCATATCTAACCAGCTTATCTTACAGCAACAAAATAGCAACAAAATATGCCGTTCATCTGATCTCTCTGACTGCTTTTGCCTCCGAGTTATCGCTGTGGTTTCGCTAGCGTAATATTACGCTAGCGTAACAGGCGTTTTTCGGAGAAATCATGGAGCAACAAAATCAATTCTTGCGGCACAAAATAGCAACAAATTAGCAACAAAATACTATATACCTTAGGATATGGACTTATGAAATTGTTACGCTAGGGTAATATACCTCCTATTTTCTAATATATAAAATTCTCGTGTCGCGGTGTTTGTGGTTAAACTCCTCCGAAACGGCTTTCCCGATTCTCATGAAATTTTGTGAGCATATTGGGGTAGGTCTGAGAATCGGACAACATCTATTTTTCATCCCCCTAAATGTTAAGCTAATCCAACCCTAATTTTTTTTTTCATTTTAGATTTTTTTTTTATTTTTTTATGATACAGCATTAGTAAATACATATAACCCTGAATTTTCAACCCTTTACAATCAACCGCTATTTTTTTACGGCGGTACGAAGTTCGCTGAGACAGCTAGATTCTATATAAAAATCTTAATGTTAGTTCCGTTTTTCGCCACGCCCATTCTCTTTACGCACAGACTCTACTATCTTATTTAGTAGGGTTGGCATCCCTAGTTATGACGGCCATTTTGCTTACATAAACGAGGGCATGGAGGTTAGAGACAAGGAGAACGATCTCTACGTACTAAAACATTATAGCCCGCTATGTCCCTAAATTTTTTTATAATTTATCTAAAATAAAATAAAATCACAATTTATGAATATACATAATTTGAAATGGTCCAATGTTACATGCATGTCAAAGTAGATTATAAAAGTTGTCATACTAATAGTCAAATTTTAAATGGAAAAATAAGCAAAATATGCATCTCATCTCATTTGTTTACACGGATTGTGTTATTTATTGTACGTTTCATGAGCGAGAATATAGCCGATTGTTTGTCGCTTTCTCGCCGGCGGTAGGACCATGGAGGTTAGAGAGAAGGAGAACAATCGCTACGTGCTAAAACATTATCGCCCGCCTGTCCCTGAAAATTTGTAGAATTTATAGTTCATTTTTCAGCCACCAGCCGCGCTGCCGTCGGTAAGTAGTATCTGTGAAGTTAGCTGTTTATGAGTACAAGTCGATGAAGTTAGATGAATATTGTACAAATTTTCTTCGCGGCATTGGTCATTTCAAATTTGCCCGCTTTTATTGAGACAACTTAGCGATCGCAGCGTCTCACTTATTTTGTCCATATTTCTGGGACACTATTTTCTACAGCGATCGTCCTCCTTCTCTCTAACCTCCGTGAGCAGACCTTTCGTCTAAGTGCTGCCACCTAGCGCCCGTCATTTCAGAAAATATACATTAGTAGATGAGATTATGATATACTAACAGTATAATAATAGTGTAGACTTAAAGTGTAATCATATGTACTGTTGCAAGTATTTAATTGTATAAATTCTATTTTAAGTAATTATTCTGTAAACTTCGTTTTACCACGTTTAGCCCACATATTTAGAGTTACAGATTGGTTTTATAATTATTGTAATTGTTTTTTTTTTTAATATGTAATTGTAGCTTGGTTTGTGAGCTAATAAATAATAAAAAAATAAGATATCCGTGACTTTGTCTGCGTAGAAAATTTGGTTTTTCCCATGCAAACTTCCTTAAAGCTTGATTTCTGAGATAAAAACTATTCTTTGTCCTTTCCTGGCACTCCAACTCTCTTTAACAAATTTCATCTAACTCAGTTGAGCGGTCAACAAACATTCCACCTATCTGAAGTGAAAGTCTCTGAAATTACGTGAACAGGTGACAGACAGACAGACATACTAACGCATTTATATTAAGGCACATTGATACTAGCATTCTATAGACTATATAAAATTGGCTGAAAATAAATTATATTCTTATTAATATTAATGAATCTTAGTATACAATATTACTCACCGATTTCTCGTGACGAACGGACACCCCTTACAACTAAACTTTTCAGTGTGTTGAGCGGTTAAATGCTTCCGTAGAGCTCTACCTGTCTTTAGTCTAGTTTTGCATATGAAACATTCGAATGCACCGCTTGCCTAAAACAAACATTAAACCTTATATTAAAACAAAGAGGGAAGATACGTCACTCGCGGCTCAAAAGTGATCCGCTTAAATTGTGGTGCATGACCACAATTCGCTTTAATCACAATTGGACATTCAAACACGCTGCAGGTGCACTCATTATAACAATATTGCGTATATTCTGTTATAAAGATAAAACAATGCATTCGATGCTTTTATAAAGAACACAAATAGTTTGAAATCAAATAACAAATGCCTCGGCAACACTTTTCATTCGTAAAACTGTAAAAACATTATTTTCTCAAAAATCAAGGTTTGTCGTGAATGTTATTAACGTAATCGCCATTTTGTTATCAAGAAAAAGACAACAATACAGTACCCCTAGCACGAACCAATTTTGAATTCTTAACGTTTGCGAGTCCGAAATGTCATGTCAAATGTGTACTGATTTTTAGTTCCCGTTACGTTCAAAGTGGCGCTGCTGTTCAAGTTTCCATACAAAATTTGACATTCACATTTCGGTTTGCAAACTATTCGAATTCGATAATGGTTCGTGCTAGGGGTACAGCTCAGCCCTACGGCCTCGGAAGCAGGCTCGCCGTCTCGCTCGCTCTGTGTGAAGTGTGTGAAGCGTACAGTTCTGTCTCGCTCGCTCGATTGAATATTTATATACAGACGTGTGCGTATGTGAGAGTTGCTTATGTAGTTGAGTCGGATCATATTTTATTTGATGTTAGTATAAGCGTCCCTTATCTTCCCTTTTTGTTTTAATCTAAGCAAAACACATCAAGTAAAATACTTATAGGAGGGGGCCCAGGCGGAGGACAACAATGACGTATAATATATAGACAGGTTATACGCTAACATTATTGCATTTTAATATGGCACAAGTAGTCCCCGATTAACTTAACCGAATAGCAGCTACTGGACACGTTGATTTGATAATTAGACAATCTTAGACAGGAAGCGACCAGCGGGCATTTTTAGCATCAAACAGCAACGATTTTAAATACCCTAGATACACCACGTGCGCTCAAAATGTGTCCCAATCAAGTGCTTGAACACCACTCAAGCACTTCTTGGTTCACAGTCACGCACGGACCGTTAAAAAGTCAACATACCTCCGAACTCTGTGAAAAAAATAATTATAGTACCTATATGTCGTTTTTTCGACAGGTATCTAATCAATGTTTGGTTATTTAACGCGTTTGAAGCAGTTTGTTTTAATACTTACTATAAACGGATTTAATAGAAAATATTTGTGATATTCAAATGCATGGTCGGTTACAAAGCTGTCCCTCCTCGCGGTCCGTACTTGCTATATTAATAACAACGCATTCTGAAATGCGCGTAGAGTCAAAGAAATAAGGTCTATATTCTCCCGAATATAGCAATAAGTCGTAAATTTTACTAGCTTGCATTTCAAACTGTCCTGTCTCTTTGACGCATGCGTTTTAATTAAGACCTTAAATAGTATTCATTTAAGGTGATTTTCAATGTTTAAATAATGCCTTATATTGCTTTTGACAACGCGATCATCCTACGGAGCTCCGTGGATCGTCCCATGTACCTTTTGGACAGGTTTCCGCCACGATTTTGTTCGTGATGTTGTATCTAGGGTATTTAATATCGTTGTCAAACAGAATCAAAATTAACATGGGCTAATTGAACAAATTTTCACTACCTCCTAAAATGACCGCTGGTCGCTTTCTGCTTATCATCGCGCCATTCTTAGTCAAATATCGTTAGCCTCCTTTGGACCATTTTTTTTTATATAATCAGGTAGGCAAATGACTCTACCCTGCAGAACAGACTAAGAATTAGAATTTGGTGCTATAGTAACTATATTCAGCTCAAAAATACCTATCCAACAATGTAACACTTATAGCTATTAGAAGGTGAGACCAGACTTCATACAAAACCTGGCAAGTATGACAGCTTTTTGTAGTTGTAGGTATGAAAGTGAATGCATATTAATAAGTTTAAAACTTATACTTAGGATACTCACATCACTATGCCTCACTGCATGTGCATCATATCTATCTTTAATCAGGAACCCCCTATAACATATAGTACACTTGTACACAGCGCTCTTGTAAGCGTACGTCTCTTGTCGTTTCTGTATCTCCGCTATTTGCTCCTCGTATGAAAGTGTGGTTATATTGAACAAAGATTCGTCTAAGCCATCACTCTTTCTACGTTTAACGTCTGATGTTTTGTACCTAAAAAAGGTACATGTTGGTAAATTCTAGAAAGGTCAAGTGTGGGCATGTGTAACAACACAAAGTGTAACATATGTTACAGAGATATTTCTCTGCCGTAGTCTTATTTGTCTATGATCTGTCTTGGTGTATTTTTTAAGTTTGATATGGCGCCATCTTAAGCAACTGTCGTCAGTTTAGATTTAAACAAAAAGGGAAGATACGGCACTCGGGCTCAAAATTGTGGTGTATGATCACAATTCGCTTTAGTCACAATTGGACATTCAAACACGCTGCATGTGCACTCAATATAACAATATTGCGTATATTTAGTGTTATAAAGATAAAACAATGACTTCGATGCTTTTGTAAAGAACACAAATAGTTCAAAATCAAATAACAAATGCCTCGGCAACACTTTTCATTTGTGAAACTGTAAAATCATATTTTCTCATAAATCATGTTTTGTCGTGAATGTTATTCACGTAATCGCCATTTTGTTATCAAGAAAAGGACAACGCTCGCGCTGCGTTGAAACGTACAATTTTGTCTAGCTCGCTAGATTGAATGTTTATTTACAGACGTGTGCGTGTGTGAGAGTTGCTTATGTAGTTGAGTTGGATCATATTTTATTTCATGCTAGTGTGAGCGTACCGTATCTTCCCTTTTTGTTTTAATCTAAGGTCATCAGACGTTACAGGGCCTGGTATAATACAGAGATACTCCTATGTTACACTATGCCCCTTGTTACACTGTACCCTACTTGACTCTAAATCATACGGGGTGGAGTAGAAGGGTAGGAGATAATGATTACAATATATGTACACTAGCCTGCAAAACTGAGTTTCACATTTATTTATTTAGTAAAAAATAGAAGTTAATGATTTTTATTTCGCAAGTATATCTTGTGTACTTAAAAATGTATTACAATTTTAAAAGTGTGATACATACTTTTGCAGGACTGTATAACAACTGATTAGAATATAAGAACTTTTTTTTTACTAGAAAGATTCTCATAAATAAAAGACATAAATAATCTATAACAATAATAACCTGCATGCATTTACTCACTTATCCATAGTGGAAGACGGATTCTCCTCCTCTTCATTCTTCCGTTTCTCCTTAACTTTCTTCCTGTCCCTTTCAATTTTAACTTTCTTTTTTTTCACTTTAACTTTCACTTTGGGTTTCACTACACTACCACTGTCAGTCTTATCAACTCTGTCGACCACTTCACTAAGTTTCACATTGTCATCGGAATCATCGAATTGATCACCCAAGTTGTCACCAAACTCATCGTAGAACTCTAAAGGTTTTTCAACTTTGACTTCTATGGATGCTATTCCACTGTCCAGAGGTTCAGCGATGCATTGTTCTAAGGCTTCTTCGGGATTTTCTTGTTCCGTCTTTTCTTGTTTCGCTGGAAGATAAACCCCGATCTCATGGTTGTATGACTGTTGCATTAGGCTGCTTTGGAGGTTGTAGTAAGATCTGCTGATTGATTTAATGTCCCTTAATTTGAGCTGAAATCAAAGAACATTTTGAGAAATTTGAAGTTCATTATTTATCTTTAGGCTATTATTGTCCTCCTTAATGGGACACAGGCCTGCCCTATGGAAGCAATAGGTGGAACGAGCCATGCCATGACACACCACGTGGGCCCAGTGCGGATTGGTGGGTGCTAACAGCCGGCACCAACCTCCTAACAGGCCTTCCGAGCCGCGGAATAGTTTGAGTTCACAGATCGCTCAAAGGGCGCTCATAGACTGTTCGTACGGGAACCGATGTCACAACGCGAACGTGATATCAGAAATAGTTCCGAAAGAAACGAAGATAGCTTGAGAAATTTGTATGATATCTCGTTCCCGGAACTACAAAGTTTCTCGAACATGATAGCGAAACGCGTACATGATAACGGAAATAGTTCCGATAGGAACGAAGATTGCTTGGGAAATGTGTATGCTACCTCGTAATGTGAAGGAACCGTTATAAGTGCAATCTAATAGAGAACATGATTTGCGCATGTCTAGTTCGCCTTAAGACATTCTATTAACGGAAACGACCTAGTACCGACGAAAGCTAATCTTTTCTCTCATTGGCCGAATTGTATTTAAGCTTTTCTCTCATTGGCTTGTTTTGTTGTCGGTAGGTACTTAGGCCAATGACAGCCCCGTTTCTCGTATGACGCAGCTTTTCCATCTTTGTTTTTATAAGAGATCGCAAGTGAATATAAATTCTAAAGTATCTTTGTCTATTTGTTATATTAAGATGGGTTTTAGTTTGATATGAAATTAAAAGACTTCAGAGAACACCTAAGGTAGAAACACCAATGACCGACCATAACCCCAAAATTCGAATTATTTTCGGTGATCGTAGGTAACTCATGGTGATAACTTATGACAACACCGAGTGTCTATAGCACTACCTTAAACGGTTAGTGCATGCGTTGACAGCAAAAGGAGCTGGTTCTAAACCAGACCGCAGCCTAAGCACGAATTTTGACAGCTCTGTAATCATATCATCATCATCAGCCTAAGCTTGGGGTCCGCATAAGCAGTATTTATGCGGGCTATTTAAAATTTTACGGCTCTAGAGATAGGTCATTTCGCCAAGTCAATCTATGGTTAAACTTCTTCTTCTTCATACAAAAGTAGGCTCTAACTATCACAAAAAACGGCTTATAATCCCGTGGGTAGCGCGCCCCGATCGGGGCGTGCGGTGTTTGACCTTGCGATGTATTTTTCGAGCGCTTGTTTATTGCGTGTGGTCTTATTTGTTGTTGTAATATCCCCACTGCTGGGGCACAGACCTTCCCTATGGATGGAATAGGGAGATTGGGCCATGACCCACCACGCGGGCCCAGTGCGGATTGGCGGATGCTAACGTGCCTTCAGAAGCACGGAGGAACTCGAGATAGAAGATTTTTGGTCACCCATCCAATAACCGACCACTGCAATCATATCGTCATCATCAAATTTTGTATGGAAGGAGCCAGTTTAATCTTACGTCAGATAGGGGCGCTGCTTAGTTTACGTAGAAACTTACACGATTACGTTATGGAGCTGAGAAAATTCGTGCTCGAGCCTCTGAAAAAATGCGAAAAAAATTGAAGATATAATACATAAAAAAAAAATTCAATATCATTTATTCAGTCTAGGCTGTTACAAGCACTTGTGAATGTCGAAAAGCTACGCCATCGGTTCGCAAATCTACGGCGGGAGACCTTGTACTGAGAAGAACCGGCAAGAAACTCAGCAAGGGCTGTTTTTTTCTCCCTGTATTATATACAGAGTCGTCAATTTGAAAAATGAGTTCAATATGAGATAACCCATGAAGTCACTTTCCATTACAAATGTAAATGATAAAACAATTATGACTATAAAATAAAAAATATAAAAAACAGATTTAAAAATGAAAAAAAGTTTAGGAATGCCGTGTCCCACTGTTTAGGCATAAAAACAAATGTACCATTAAAGTTAAATACAACGATTAATAGTACCCAATGTAGCAAGAGCAGACTCATCTCCGCTGGCAGCACCCGTTCACGGGCATGACGCATGAACCAGCCATCGCTTCGCTCAACCATTTTTTAGGGAACGTAACGACCCGCCTCTCACGACACCGCCGAAGAGATTTTTAAGAGAGTATGACTACCCATAACCACATATGGATACTAGATAGCAAAATAGGGGAAAAAAAAATTAAGTACCAGTGTACATTACTATAAAAAACTATAAACACAACTGTAGGACACATGCATGTGGTTACCTAAACACTAGTGTCGACTCTGCCACTACCCTCCAAACCCAAAACCAAACCCAACATCAGTGCCCCCCCTTCACTCTGTATAGAGAATGACAAGGATACACCGCTGCAAAACCAAAGTTCAGGTCTAGAGAACCATGCCAGAATCCACACCACCATTAAATCTTTATCTCAGAAATAATAAATGTTCATTTAAATTTTTTGTTTCTGATTGCTGTGCCATACAGTATAAATACAATTACAAATAAAATTTAACTTAAATAATTAATTATCATTATAATAATAATAAAGTAGTATAGAGCAGACTCATCTCCGCTGGCAGCACCCGTTCACGAGCATGACGCATGAACCAGCCATCGTTTCGCTCAACCATATTGTAGGGAACGCAACGACCCGCCTCATACGACACCGCCGAAGAGATTTTTAAGAGAGCATGACTACCCATAACCACTCAAACCAAGTAAAATAGTTACTTAGAATTCAGGTAATTTATCTGTACGACACTGCAAACAAATACAAAACAAATTTACAGTTACAGCCATGCAGTTTTGTCATTTAAGTATTCTTTAATAGTATAATAGCCTTTCTTAAGTAAACAATTTTTAATGTGACACTTGAACTCATTTATGGGTAACTCAAGAATGGCATCAGGAATTTTATTATAAAAATGTATACCTTGACCCATAAAAGATCGGTAAACCTTCTGTAACCTGTAGGGTGGCAATGCAAGCTTATTTCTATTCCTTGTGTTAAAATTATGCACGTTACTGTTTTTGGTATACAAATTGATATTATTTTTAACGAGGAGTATACAATTGTAAATGAATTGAGAAGCAACAGTCAAAATGCCGATTTCTTTAAAATTTTCTCTAAGAGATGTTCGGCTACTCAATTGATAAATAGATCTCACAGCTCTTTTTTGTAGAATGAATATACTTTCAATATCAGCTGCTGTTCCCCAGAGTATACTGCCGTATGATAAGATACTATGAAAGTAACTAAAATATACAGTCCTGGCAGTTTCTGTATCAGTAAGTTGTCTTATCTTTCTTATGGCATAAGCTGCTGAACTAAGTTTACCAGCCAAAAGCGTAATGTGATGATTCCATTGCAGTTTTGAGTCTATAGTTATACCCAAGAATGTAGTTGAGTCTACTAAATCTAATTTATTATTATTTAATTTAATTACAATATGTTCGACTTTTACATGAGGTAAAGAAAATTTAATACACTTGGTTTTATTAGCATTTAGCTTTAGATTATTAACATTAAACCATTGCAAAACTTGCGAGAGAGCATTATTAACATCGTCATAGTTGTTCTTGCGCCTGTCAACGTTAAATAATAAAGATGTGTCATCAGCAAATAATACTATCTCACACAAATTTTCTACAAAAAATGGCAAATCATTTATATATACTAGAAACAGAAAGGGACCCAAAATTGAACCCTGGGGAACGCCCATTTCCACATGATATCCAGATGATCTAACACCATTTACCTCTACAGTTTGAATTCTGGAACTGAGATACGACTGTATTAATTTATATGCAGTACCTTTGACTCCATAATGACTTAATTTCAATAACAGCGTGTGATGATCAACGCAATCAAAAGCTTTGGATAAGTCACAGAACACTCCAAGAACATTCTGCGACCTCTCCCAAGCCTCCAATATACTCCTTACAAGTGCAACACCCGCGTCAGTAGTAGATCTACCTCTGGTAAAACCAATGGTCAGATGTAATACTATTAAAAATAGACTTACTATCAGGAGTACTATCTGTAAATACATTATCCAAACAAGTTGCCGAATGTGATGTCACCCTAGTCGGCTCAAAAAATTAAAACATTTAAATAGTGATATTATACGTACTGACATTGAATTTTGTTCAAGAATATTAATATTAAAGTCACCGCAAACAACTTATTTTTTGACTTTAACTTTTTCAGTACATCCTCCATTACAGATTCAAAAATGTTAAAGTTACCTACAGGGGGTCGGTATACGCATACTATTATCATCTTATTTAGTTTCACACAAGATAGCTCAATGCTACGTTCAATTGAAAGGCCAGCTATATCCTTTCTATCCTTACATCTAATATTTTTGTTGACAAAAATCAATGAGCCGCCGTGTATCAGCCATACACGGCGGCTCATTTCTTTCGAACATAAGCACTCAACAACTGAAAATTGTTTATGTGATAAGACATTTCACAAAGCTTGAGCCAGTGTTCCGTTAAACATATAATGTGTATGTCCTCACTTTTCGAATACAATTCTAATTCTAGGTCTTTGCCAGCCAAACCTTGTATATTTTGATGAATATATCTTCAATTTTGATGTATTATATTACCATCAAAATATAATCTAATATATAAAATTCTCGTGTCGCGGTGTTTGTGGTTAAACTCCTCCGAAACGGCTTTCCCGATTCTCATGAAATTTTGTGTCCATATTGGGTAGGTCTGAGAATCGGACAACATCTATTTTTCATCCCCCTAAATGTTAAGTGTAATTCATCCCTAAATATTTTTTTTTCAATTTTAAATATATTTTTTTTTAATTTTTTTATGATACATCATACAAAAATACATACAACCCTAAATTTTCAGTCTTCCACCACCAACCCCTATTTTTTATGGTGGTACGAAGTTCGCTGGGTCAGCTAGTAAGACAATAAAAACTTACATATGACGTTGTCCGCAATACACCCATCAGTAGTTTATGACTTTTCAAAGCTTTATTGAAGAACTTGTGACAGGAGTACAGTCTGCCAGCACATTCCCAGCAAAACTTCTGCGGCATGCTATCCTTCTCTTCCCACTGATAATAAAATATTAAATATTAAAATAAATAAATACTTCCAACACTCACACCAATTCAAACTCTATGTTGTCTTTATGTTGGTCAGTGCATTCGCCCGGATTGCGAAGGGTGCGGGTTCGAGTCCCGTCTGCTGCCTGGTCCGCGTGGAATTTTTTCTAGTTATATTTTCTTTAGATTTAAACATCAAGCAGTTACATGCTTTAAAAATAATAAAAATTATAACAACTTTATGTTGCCTAAGTAGTTGGTGAAATTTTATTGACACTTTACACTGTAATGTACAGTCCCAATTTAATTGTATGTTATATTTGTATTTTACCACATTGCTGGGGCACAAGCACAAGATTTTAGTCATTTATATGTAATAAATAGTTGATATTTAAAAAAGATTTACTGTTATTTTTTATAACAAAATACTTACCATAATACCAAAGATCTGTTGGTACGCCTGACCCAACTGGTTCTCAGATATATTGTACATCTTCACATTGACGGCAAGGCATATTCTGCAAACCTATTTACATAAGGAAACATAAATATAACACACAATATTTTTGAAATGAAAATTCTTTTTGGAGTTTAAATGGAAAAATCCTATGAACAAGATGAAACGGAAATCGGCGTCACGAGCGTATATGCGCGTATGTGTGTGTGTGTGTGTGTGTGTGTGTGTGTGTGTGCGTGTGCGTGTGTGTGTGTGTGTGTGTGTGTGTGTGTGTGTGTGTGTGTGCGTGTGAGTGTGTGTGTGTGTGCAGCAGAAGGGTAACTCAGCGAAGAGTGTCGATGTAAAATGTTACAAAAACGGGTAAAAATATTCCATTTGGGATATTCCGTTGCGTGCGCTACGTAAACGATTAAAGTTACACAAAAAACATGTTTCGGAATTATTTCCGTTTAAAATTTCTATAAAAAACTTCTCACTGTAACCTTTACTTTCAAATTTGCGCGGTTAAAACCGCACGGGATCTTTAGTTGTGACATAACTGTAATAGTTAGACATGTTATCGCGGACTTTTTTTGTAGATATTTATGTCCTCTATAAAACTTTAGTACATCACTTTGCTTAATGACTTCCGCAACGTAAGGGATATAAGGTTATTTTTTGGTATGTTTTCCACAGCCTGGGTTACATTATCGAATATTTCATACGGAACCCATTTTTTTTTAAATAGCCTATGTTCTTCAGGGATAATGTAGGATTCTAAATGTGTAAGATTTTTTCAAATCGGTCCAGTAGTTTCGTAGCCAATTCAATAAAAACAAACAAACAATCATATCTTTCCTCTTTATAATATTAGTAGTATATGAAACTCTAATTTGTTTATAAGTAGAAGTGACTGACACTCAACTTGTGTTCGGAAATGTAAAAAGCCTAACTATGTCTCACTTTATCCGGACGCCTGGCAATGCTAATTGTATACTACAAATTTTATATATGTATATAAGTGTAAAAAAAAATTAAAGACATTGTATAAAAGGAGATTGCTCAGCTTCCATACATGTTTGGCCAAAAGACCAATAATAATGAAAAATTGTTTTCTAAATTCGAAATTATATATAAATTACTGTAGAAACGAATATTATTGACGGACACCCCTGAAAACTTCTATAAACCATATACACTGAACATACTAAAATAATAAAAAACAAATAAGTTATATAGTAAACTAGAGAAATCAAGCCAAGTACCGAAATTATGGATTAGATTCAGGTATATAGAGCATGTAGATTAACAGATAGTTGCCTGTTTTTAAAGTTAATGCTTATGAGTAACTTATAAAATCAGGTGTCATCTATGAATTTCCGGTTATAATAAGGTACTCTATCACAGAAACTGTGTGATGATTGTGAATGAGCCACAGATAAGAGAGAATTTTTAAACTCTAGTTAACCAAAGAAAGCTAAGAGATTTAGGTTATATAGTCATATATTCAGTAGCTTCATTATTTTTGTTATGTTTTTAATATAACCATATTTAAGATTTTTAGTGTATCACATCTTATAATTTTATTTATTTATTAATTTATAGTCAGGCAACGTAGGCCCATAGATACCTATATAACATATATACAGATTATAATGTGTTTATGGAGGTGTTTGGCTAAAAATGTATGGCAATAGACTTTGTGATGTCGCCTACCATCTATAATAATTGTCTGAGCACATTTGCATGTAGTGAAAATGATAATATAGTTGTGGATATTAATACCATGGTGTAATAAAAAAAAATATATCGATCTTTACAAAAGAGATTTGTTTTTATGTTATATAAAAAACTTCTATCAGTCTTTGGCTGAATGTTACTACACCCATAGCCATTAAAAATAATTCGTATGTTTTCCAAACCGGTAAAATTAAAAGTCCTTTTTAAAGTAAATATATTATACAAAGGTGTCCGTTGAAATCTAATGACTGTAAATTAAATTATAAATTACGCCAAGAATTACCGTGTATGTCAATATTTTTTGTGCGTTTGGGCCAATTTGAGCAATCTCCTTTGATCATCATCATCATCATCAGCCTATTAATGTCCCTACTGCTGGGGCACAGGCCTTCCCCATGGATGGAATAGGGAGATTGGGCCATGACCCACCACGCGAGCCCAGTGCGGATTGGCGGGTGCTAACGACTGCAGATACAGCCGGGACCAACGGCTTAACGTGCCTTCCGAAGCACGGAGGAACTCGAGAAAGATGTTTTTGATCACCCATCCAATGACCAACCACTGCGAAAGTTGCTTAACTTCAACCATCGCAGCCGAACGCGCTAACCACCTGCGCCATCGAGTTCCTCAAAATTTGTTAAATAAATGTATTATACCTTGGTGTAAACAAGGGATAAAAGGGTTGTATCCTTTTGAGGTACGTAAAAAGTTGATGTACTTGTTCTCGGAAAGCTACATTATATGTTACGCAGGGTTAAATGGGGGTAAGTGTAACAAAAGGAATATATCTGTATGAAACCGTGTAATTTTACGTTGTATTACTTTATGGTGATTCTGCTTATTATGGCGGCATATGAAACTAACAAAATAACGTCATGACAGACCATAGAAAAACAAGTAAAGGGCAGAGATATTCCATATGTTACACTGTACCACATATTTATTATTGGATGCGATTTTTATATAACTTTATAGAACTTACTCGTGTAGCGGCGGGAGCGTCTAGATCTTCCGATTCCTGTAACAAAAAATATATAATTTTCATTTCTTTAGGGTCATAACGAAACAAAAAGAACGAGCGAGCTTACAGTAGTCGCGTATGATGTGTAACATTTGAAACATTAGTATATATAATATTTGAAATATTAGTAAAGAAAGAAATAAAACCTACTACAAAAGGAATAAGTCATTTGAACATTATCTTCTAAATCAATCAATCAACAGCCTATCTTAGTCCACTGCTGGACATAGGCCTCTCCAAATGCACGCCACTCAGATCGATCTTGGGCTACTCGCATCCAGCTCCTGCCAGCCACCTTGCGCAAATCGTCACTCCATCGCGCCTGAGGACGTCCTACACTACGTTTGCCTAGATGCGGTCTCCACTCCAGAACTCGTCTACCCCAACGGTTATCGGTTCTTCGGCAAATATGGCCAGCCTACTGCCACTTCAACTTGCTAATCCGGTGGGCTATGTCGATAACTCTGGTTCTCTGTCGGATTACCTCATTTCTGATGCGATCCTTCAGAGAAACGCCGAGCATAGCCCTTTCCATAGCGCGCTGAGCGACTTTGAACCTGTGGACCAGCCGTACCGTCTGTGTCCACGTCTCGGCTCCGTATGTCATCACAGGTAGGACGCACTGATTGAAGACTTTCGTCTTTAGGCACTGTGGGATCGAAGATGTCAGGACTTGACGTAACTTCCCAAACGCTGCCCAACCTAGCTGAATTCTTTTATTCACCTCGTCCTCAAAGTTGTTTCTACCTAACTGCAATGTCTGCCCGAGATACACATATTTTTGAACAACTTCGAGAACGGCACTGTGTATTGCAATCGGTTCCGGTAGAACATGTTCATTGAACATGACCTTCGTTTTATCCAAGTTCATCCGTAGACCGATACGTATAGAAAAGTCAGCCAGGTCATTCAGCATCTGTTATAGGTCCTGCAGGGGCTCTGGTTTCTGTTTTTTCTATCTTCTAAAATCAAATCAAATAGCGCGCGCTTTCGCGACTTCCTGTTACACACTTCCGTCCCATTTCATGAAATGCAGGAACATTTCACAAGATGCCCACAAATTGCAGGAAAGCGAGAGGAAAGATAAATAAATAAATATTTCCAACACTCACACCAATTAGCCTAGCCCCAAAGTAAGCACTGTAAGGCTTGTGTTATGGGATACTAGGGTAACGGAACATATACTGTACATATATAAGTATATTTATATAGAAATACATATTAAACATCCATGACTGGAGTACAAATGCTCGTATTCATCACACAAACGTCTGCCCCCACCGGGATTCGATAAACCCGGCGTATAAACCAACTCGGCCACGGAGGTCGTCAAGTCATCGTCAAAGATGTTAAAAAGATAAACATTTAAAATAATAAAAAAACGCCCTACAACAGTGTCGCACTACGTCGCGCAATTAAATGTGTATCTATTTCGGTACTAAATAAAGCTTAACTTTTCGTATTGCTATCTTAAAAGTGCGCGGCAACGCGTATCGGTGTTAACTGTACCTTTATTACGAGTTCGAGCTCACGAAAACTATCATAGTTTTCGTAATTGTAAATTATGTTTCTATGTCCATTTAGGTGAAAAGTTACCAAATAAACTTAAAATTTAAGAAGACGCTAACGCTTTAATGATAGAATTTTAACACTGTTTATTTGTATTGAAACGAAAACAATAAAATCAGTACCCTTAGTACGAGTGAGAGCTCACGAAAACTATCATAGTTTTCGTAATTGTAAAGCTCGTACTAAGGATAATGAACCTTTTGGCGGTATGATTCACCGCATTAAGCCCGTCACAGACGTAGCTATAATATATAATAATATATCGAAATATATATTATATTATAGCAAACTACCACAGACGGGAGCTATACTATAATATATATTTTGCCCTCACTCGGTCTGCGGTCGTTTTTGCAAGCGCACGGTTTTAAAGCTTATTTTCTAGCACAGGGTGTTTTAATTTTTTGAAATAACGTTAAAATCAATCTTATCGAAATGTATACGACAAGAGCACTACTTTTAGCTTTAATTGAAAGTTCCTCAGAAGATGATTCTGATGCTGAATTTGATATGCATGTTGCCTTGTCAGGAACGAAAAATAGAACCATCTGGGTAGAGTCGCATATAAAACAAAAGAAAACTTGTGGCGAATTTAATTTGTATCGTGATTTGTCATCCAATAAATTTGCACAGTATTTTAGGAGAAATGCTCGTGCGCACTTGAGCCGGAGATCGGGTAGGCGTTCATAGAAAAGTTGAACATTCTGTATTAAAAATATATATACTACTACTATATACTAATATGCCAAAATATATCCCGTCACAGACGTAGCTATAATATATATTAATATATCGAGATATTATATCAAACAAAGTACCACAGACGGGAGCTGTACTATAATATATATTTTGGCAGGCATTCGGTGATAAATGGAACATTCTGTATCTTAAAAATATATATTAATATGGCAAAATATACACTTATATGTCAAAATATATCTGTCGACATATTTTGGTGACGTCATAGAAATATATATTATAGCTGCGTGTGCGGTCACTCGAAAATTTATATTGAAAATATGTTGTAATATGTCTTGCTATGATTCATATTAATATATATTATAGCTACGTCTGTGACGGGCTTTACAAACAATACATTCAGCATTTTGCTTGGATGCGGGGCGAAACGACTGATTCAAAGCGAGAGCAGGCGAGATACCCCAAAACATTGTGAGCGAGGCGAAAGCTACCACACACTCTCCCACTCAGATGAGGCCGTAGCCAATTTTTATATCAGATAAATAGTCAATACATAGATAGTCGACATTGAAAGCACAGCCAGGGAGAACTGGACCCAAAAAGCCAACAACAGGGACGCCTGGAAGGAAATGGAGGAGGCCTTCACCCTTTCAGGGGACCATAATTATTAGTATATAAAAAAAAATATCTTAGTTTAATTATGGTAAATAAAAGGCTTTTTATTTTATTCTATTTTATTATAGTTAGTCAATAGAACATAAGAAAGTTAAGGACTTGCTCGCGAAACGCTAATGTGATATAAGTCTTACATTTGTTGTGGGTAGAAATTTATATATTTTCAATTCTGCTTACCCCACCCAGGAGAAAGTATGGTGACAGATAGAACAAAATGTAGCAGCTTTAGCTTAAAACTAAATGATAAATTTTCATATAAACTTACATCAACAATGGGTACCGATCCGTGCCTCAACTTCTTCTGCCCCTGCTTGTCTTCATAGAAGTCATTTTTACTGAAGTGTTTGGAACAAACCACACTGTCATCTCTCACCTCGAACTCCATCAGGTATAGAGATTCTAACCAGGCTTGCCGTATATTCCGTTCTTTCGGAAACCTGTTTCAAATCATATGAAAAAAAAATTGTTCATACTTTTTACTAAATTAGACATTGTGTGAGACTGTTCATATAATATACACAAGTCCAGAGGTCTAAGCAGGAACTTTGACAGTTCATAATCATATTGTCATTGTCTAATTTTGTATGGAAGGATCCAGTTTGTTCTTATGCCTTAAAGGGGCTTTTTTTTATGTTATAGGGGGCATACGAGCAGACAGCTCACCTGATGGTAAGTGATCACCATCGCCCATGGACACTTGCAACACCAGGAGTATCACAAATGCGATGCCAGCCTTTGTACGCTCTTTTTTGAAGGTTTTCACAGTTCACTGCTGGTGACAATATATTCCACAGTTTTGTCGTATGTGGTAAAAAAATTCGACAAAAACGCGTGGTTGTCGATAGCCACGCATCAAGATGATGGGGATGAAATTTTTGTGAGCTCTTCTTAGTTCACATGGAATCATTAGTATATGTATTCCCTAGGGCCTTAGGTATAATAAATAATCTAAATAAACAAATTTCATTTCAATAACAATCCTAAACTATAAATATTTGAATACAGTCATATCAATAATGGATCAATAAAGACAAGATTCTTATTAATTTAAGATTAATAATTTTCATTATACTTATTAATTTATGATATGAACAAGGCCAGATTTAAGGCTCAAAGGGGACTGCTGGTCATGTCCACCTGAGGTAGTAGCAAATCGTAATGGCCCTGGGTGTCAGATTTTAAAATATGCCCACATTAGGGGCCTCTACTCCTTCATGGCCCCAGGGCCTATCATCTCTAAATTCAGCCATGGTTCACATTGGTTAAATCTAACCATTAAATATATTTCACTGAAATATAATAATTTAGGACACCAATTTTATTTCCATTTGGTATACTGAACAAATACATACAAATTTCTTTAGTATCGCCTGTGGGTGAAGGTCATTACTTCTTAATTCAGTTACACAAGTCATGGAATGCTTTTATGAAAAATAATTTAATTTCTCTGCAAAAATAACAAGGTTATAATGATAAAATGGAACATTAACTTACAGATGAAATGTGATTTCATGACTGATATTTCGAATTTTAATATCACCCGTGCAATTCTTCACAATGCATTCCATTTTTTAAATTATTTTCACACAGAATTAATGTTAAATATGAGTACATGTAAGTTTAAAATGCTTATATATTTATTCTCATGTCTTCTGTGATGATAAACATTTTAATTTAGAATTTTTGTACAGCGTCCAATTATTCATTGCACAAAACGAGCAAAATCCACGAATATTGAATAAATACAAAAATAATTGTTCCACAAAATAGGAACTATGGACAAACAAACAAACTGGCTGTCATAAAATATTCTCGCCATTTTATTTTATGCCAGCACTTCACTTGGCTAATCGTATTAGCTATTTCTAGACTGAATGTCTATCATTTTCATTCTTTAAAAAGCATACAGGCAGCTTAACGACTGTTATGAAGTTTACAAATAGGATCAAAGAATAGCCGAGTGAACTGCCGGCATTATAAAAATGTCAACAAATTGTCAACAAATACAATTTTTAATAATATTATTATTGTAAGTTATCACAATGAGAAAAATAATACTAAACGCATTTTATAGTCGATCGATTTCGATCTCCATCGGTTTTTAGTTGTTAAGCTGAGGCCTTCCTTAGTGTAAATAATATTCGATATCTTTGTCCTTGTCTTTATTAATTTTATAGAGCGGGATAGGCTATAAATGTTTTTCATTTGTATGTATTTATAGTTCGGCAAAATTAGAAATACAGGAACTCATAAAAGCTTCATCATGTATCTTTTTCTATTATATGCGATAAACTCGTCCCAAAGAGAAATAACGAAACCGAAACAGTGTTCTCGTAATTTATTAGGCCTATACAGCAGCATAGCGACTGACTGACAACTGAATAATCGCTTATAGGGACACGATATCGAATAGAAAGTATCAATACTGTACTCATGAGTAGTATCGGTAAAAAAGTATCATACTCGTAAAAGTATCGAAACAAAAGTATCGATACTTCAAAGTATCGAGTACATTTCATAGGGCCTTATCGTAGCCTCTGTGGCCTAATGATGAAACCTCCTCCCCCCACTCCCCGGTGTTAAGATTGAAAGAAAAACAATCGATTTTTATTATAGTACGTATAATCAAAAACAAAAAAAGGATATGTAAATTCACAAATTGCTTTTATATAATGAAAAGAAAATAGCTGTGATTTCTGACACTAAAAAAGTGTTCATTAATATTACATTCATAATTAAAATGTTAATTAAAAAGATCGAAATCTTAAACAATTGAAAAGTATGAAACTTTTCAGATTTGTTTCAAATTAAACTTACTTTTCTTGAATTCAAAATTGAAAAACATTATACCCACTTATGTTAACTTCAATCTGACACGTGGTTAACGGCTGCCATTGGCATGCTTCACTCAAGATTATAATTATAGAAGAGGTTACGTCCGTCTTTTTTTCAAGTGGTTTCAAATAGGTATACACAGCACAGACAGAATAATAGTGTTATACTTGAATAAATCAAATACAGTCAAGCGAAAAGCACAATAAACGGCGAATCAATCACAGTTCCTAACAAATATGGTCGCTTAATAAATATGAAACAAAACAAAGCGCAAAATAAACACAGTCACAGATTGGAAAGAATTTGAATATGTCAGTTACTGACTTTATAACAACGCAATAGGGCATTTGACAGTATTAAAAATAAAGTGCCAAAACAACGAAAAAGATATTAGTTTTCTTATCTATTGTCACGTATCCCAAAACGCTTGGGATTGGCGGAGCCTAAAATGACGTCACATGCAAGTAAACTTCCGGTCAAAGTGACATTACATTGTATCGTTTGACGTTTTCATAACAGTCGTGTGACGTCACACACTAGTAAGACGCCATATTGTCCAGAGAAACGTTTTCGCGGCAACTTGAAAATGGAGTTTTTGATTTGGTTATTTTTACTGAAATACACAACAGAATGATGAATATCCACTTTTTACGGACTCCATAAACATTAGTCAATAACGTGAAAGCGTTGCCTAAAACTTGTCAAATACCCTATGGAACGTTTTAGAAGGTTTGCTATGATTTAACAAAATGGCGTTGCCATCAATATGAGGCGCTTATCCAAATTTTTAAAGGTATCTATACTTGCCAAAAAATACTCATTTAGTAAAAGTATCGAATACAAAGTATCGAGTACAAAAGTATCGGTATCGAAAGGAAAAGTACTCGATACCACAAAGTATCGATACTTTTTTCGTGTCCCTAATCGCTTACCATTTTTTAAAAAAGCCGTAAAACTTACACTAAATACATAAGTTCGGTTTATAACTAGTTTCATAGAAATGATAACTAAGATTTTCAAATGAAATTATGTTTTTAATATTATAATTAATAATATTATAAAGTGTCCTTATCACTTTAAGACACCTTCAATGAGGATTTATAAAATATATATTAAAAACTTAACTTTTCTAAATATGAGGTGCTGCGTCCCTGGATGTAAAAATGACTCAAGATACAGCTCCAAGTCCCAAGGAATCACATTTCATGTGTTAGTCTTCCAAATTATCTAAATCTGTTGTCAATTACTTGCTTGCTATTGGATAATACCTATCTTCTTTGCGTTTCAGATTTCCCAATGAGCCTTCTTTGAGGGCGATTTGGTTAGAAGCTCTTGGTAAGAAAGAGACTTGGGAGCCCAAAGGGAGAAGTAGTGTGTGCTCTGAGCATTTTCTCTCTAGTGATATGTCCGTAACTAGGCATGGACTGCGTAAAATACGGTCTGGTGCTGTGCCTATAATATTACAGGTAATATATTGTTATCATCACAAGTCACTGTAACTCACTGGTTCTTAACCGATGGTCTGTCAGAAGCAATCGAAGCTGATTGATTTACAAATCCTAAGGGGTGGGGGGGGGGGGGGGGGGGGGTGCTGTCAAATTATAAGTGATGGTACGTGGCAACCCCTCGTCATTTAAAGGTTGAGGACGGACCAATGCTATAACTATTTATGCTGGCTTGCTACTTTTATTAATGAAACTGTGAGATTTTTTTTTCCTATGATGCAAACTTTTACCCCCTTATTTCACCACTCTCCAGTTTGATTTTTATGGCAAAAAGTAGTCTATGTTGATCTCCTTTGCCCTTGATCTTAACTTTAGTCTTACACCCATATTCTTAGCCGTTTCCTCGAGATTTTTTCCACTCGACTCAACCTCATTGGAGGAAATTCGTATGCTTAGACAACAAAAATATCCTTCACATGAGATATTCCTCACTCGAGTCGAGGAATAAACTGTCAAACTCAAGGTAGCTCTCGACGTACCTTAAGGCTTCCTCGAGTGGTGTTTTCAAGTTGCTTTTATCGAGAATTATGTCTGATTTTGAGATTATTGACGAATTTGTGGATTTTATTTATTAAGTATACGATTTATTTATTTATTTATTCAGTAACACATACACGATGATTAACCATATAATTATCCGGTGCGACCGTATTTACGTGATGCCGCAAATCCTTTTAAGGTTTACGACAATGATTCGTTTCAAAGAAGATTTCGGTTTAGAAAAGATACAGTCATACAAGTAATATTTCCTCTGTTAACTATTATAGAAATAAAATCCTCCAAATGATGACGTCACAATGTTGAGGAATTCTCAAGTTTGTTCAAGATACCAACTAGAATACCATTTTCGAGGTTATTTGGAGGAACTCCTTAAGGAGCCCTCGAATGAGTTTGAGTCGAGGAACATTTGAGGACGCGATAAAGAATGTCGGTGTTAGTAGCTATTAATTTGCTTTTTTGGATATTTGCAGGATACAAGCAACTGTGAATATTGGGAGACAGCTGCTTCAAAAGTAAGTAAAATTTGATGTACATCATTGTATTTTTGTCTGCATTTTATTGTTGTTATAATTTTTTCAATGTTACTGCTTCATGTTTAAATCTAAAGAAAATATAACTAGAAAAAAAAACACACAAACTTGACAGCATACGGAACTCGAACCCGCACCCTTTGCTATCCGGACGAATGCACTGACCAATTATGCTGCACACAGCTAACATTCAATAATAAAAAAAAATCCCATGACAACAGCTCGCAAGAGCCGAAAAAATCGTCTATGTATCTATAAAAATTACACTTATTTACAGGTGTGCCGAATATGTTTAGTGATGGCCAAAAAACTATTCCCAATCAAGACACATACATTTGAAACAGCATATGAACATTTGACTGGACAGTCGGTAAGTCATTAACTTTGTAAGTTTATATGAAAAGTGGTAAACAATCACTTATCCTGCCTGATGGTAAGCAGTCACAATACTTTTTTTTCATGTTAAATGGATGGAAAACAAGCAAGTAATCTGCCACCATAGCCTATAAACTACCATTAGGGGTTTACCAAACATCCAGTTTCAATTTCATCACTAGATAAACTTTAGATGTCTACTACAGGTTTTTAAACAAATTGACCAAAATACCAGGCAAACCAGGCAGAATTGTCGACATTGGCATCGAAACAATTGCCATTAAAAAGAATAGAATTGAATACCCTTAGGACCCTTTTAAATAACGACACAATTTCTACACGGGTCTAGGCACGGTTTTAAACACTGTCTCCATCCGGTCTCCAATTAAGTATGGGACATTATGGAAGTTTGTTAACAAAACCGGCTCTAGCGACAGTTTGGGGTTTGCCAAACTTACAAACAATTTATTTGCTGTTTATAGGGTAGATAATATAATTAACATAAGATAGGCTGGTCATCCAAAGCATTGTACTTAAGCCTATGTAACCAACGATATTTAATACCTATATATATAATATATCCCTCAAAATGTACCCAAATCAAGCATTTCTTGGTTCACAGCAACCTGCGGACTGTTGAAAAGTCAACATGCCGCAGAGCTCCGGAAAAAATATGAAGTGAAATTTCTTTTCTTATATAACCTAACATTAGGTGGTGCATGAGACATAAGGAAATGGAGCAGCGCACGCATCACTCATATATATCTATATATATAAAACTCAAAGGTGACTGACTGACTGACATAGTGATCTATCAACGCACAGCCCAAACCACTGGACGAATCGGTATGAAATTTGGCATGCAGGTAGATGTTATGACGTAGGCATCCGCTAAGAAAGGATTTTGATCAATTCTTCCCCCAAGGGGATAAAATAGGGAATGAAAGTTTGTATGAAACTTTCAATTTTAAACCGATCAGGCTGAGACTTCGCATGCAGGTATAAGAAGAATCATAGATGAATGTCATTGTGTATAATACAAGCCTGAGAACGAAAACTGTGGTCTACACTTCAGCTCTACACCGAAGCGAAGCGAGGGCGGGCCGCTAGTATATATAGAGTTTTTTGTAACAACCAATACCAAACTGCAGATTCACTACTTTGAATCTTTAGAAAATAAGGTACACCTGGCAAAAGAGGGACGGTCCAACCTACTAGTTCAGTAATATTAACAGCAATTAATCTTTATGTAGTAATTCGTAGTAGTTAATTTTATTTTTATTTTAAGCATTTAACTGCTAGATGTTTAATCTAAAGAAAATATTACTAGAATCTTCTTTGGAAAGTTTATTGCATCAAAAGGTATTTTCGTTTGATATTGTGGGTACCTATAAAGCAAAGAGATGGCGCTGCTTTGCTGCCTATGAATTACTAGAAGAAATTCAACACCATCATTAAACTGCTAGATGTTTAAATCTAAACAAAATATTACTGGAATCTTCTTTGAAAAGTTTATTGCATATGTAGGTAACCCACAATATCAAACGAAAATACCTTTTGTATTTTCGTTTGATATTGTGGGTTACCTACAATGCAAAGAGATGGCGCTGCTTTGCTGCCTAATAAATACTAGAAGGAGCTCGATGGCGCAAATGTTTAGCCCGTTCGGCTGCGATCGTTGAAGTTAAACAACTTACGCAGTGGTCGGTAATTGATGGGTGACCCAAAATTTACTATCTCGAGCTCCTCCGTGCTTCGGAAGGCACGTCAAACCGTTGGTCCCGGCTGCATCTGCAGTCGTTAGCACCCACCAATCCGCAATAGGCCCGCGTGGCAGTTAAGGCCCCAATCTTCCTATTTCACCTATAGGAAGGCCTGTGCCCCAGCAGAGGGGACATTAATAAGCAGATGATGATGACTCAGACGAAGTCGACAGCAGCCGCTAGTAAACTGTCACTTACATTTTTTTTAATGGAAAAAACATTATTTGAATTTAAACAAATAGCATTAAAATGCTTTAAATTTAAAATATAATACAACTTACTTGTTCACAAGGTATAGGCCCTCCTATCTTCGCTCTTCTTATCTCTCGTTTCCTCTGCTTCGGAGTATTCGGCTCTCTATCCTGTTTGTCTGTGGTTTGATAGCGATTTTTCTATTAAAACAAAAGATTTCCTTGAAAAATAAAGAATATCATGAAATCTTAATAAATTCTTCATTATGAATCTTAGATTATTTGTTTTAGATATCGGCAGAAACCCGATTACCTCAACAATTATGTGCAGAATGTACCCAGAGGTTGCAAAACTGCAATAACTTTCGTATCAAAAGTTTGAGAGCCAACACTCTCATGATGGGGTTACTTAAGAAACACGACCATGTAAGTATAAATATTATAGTTTAATGGGTCTATAATTAAAAAAAATCTGTGTATGGACCACACATTTCAAGTGAAACTGGTTTTCTTAAATAAACTAACATTAAGCGGTGCATAAGGCATTAGGTATTGGAGCATGGATCACTCATATAATTATATGTATATATATATCTTTGTGCAAATGGCACCACATGAGATCTTCTTAATAATATTAATTATTTAATAATTAATATATTATTTTATAAATAATAATATTAATTATTTAATATATTATTAAATAAATAATATATTATTAATTATTTTAAATATTAAAGGATAATCTAGACAATAAACGTAAGTGTCTTGCGCTCTTTCTAGATATGAAAAAGGCATTTGATACTGTTTCTATCCCCATCCTTGTTCACAAACTAGAGAGAGCAGGTATTAGAGGTACGCCATTGAATCTACTTTAAGATTATCTGAGTGATAGGATACAAAAGGTAAAAGTGGGTGGTCAGTATGTGAGTGGGGAGTCGGGTGTGGCTTACGGCGTTCCTCAAGGAAGTGTTCTGGGACCTACGCTATTCCTTATTTACATAAATGACTTATGTAACATCAACATCGAAAATGCCCAAGTCCTGTCATATGCAGATGATACAGCGGTGCTTTTCTCTGGTGACGGGTGGGATGCTGTCAGATCTCGTGTTGAACGGGGACTAAAGTAGAACTTTTTATTAGCTGCAGTAAAATGACGTTTTGTGGGTTACCGCTTTTTGAAGAAAAATAAATAGGGATGTAGCTAAGTGAGTAAGTGAATCATTCAATAAATGAGTGATCAGTTTGGTTTTGATTTAGAGATTTAATATTAAGTTGTAATGTTTTTTTATTCTATTTTTATTACTTTAGTAAACGATTGATCTTTTTCAGTGGAAGTATAAGGACGTACATCCAAAATTAAACAAAATTGTCATAACAATGTTATTTATTAATCAATCATTTTCGGAATCACTATCGCTTCCGGTCCGAGGTGGCACATTTTGTCTTCCTCTTTTATAGTGTGTGACACACAGTCACTCCACTTAGTCGGTGTCACTTTGATGATTCCTTCTTGGAATAAAGTTTTCACTTCCTGCATTTTATATGTTTTATTATTGTTTGCGACGTGCCCCTTTACCTGAGCTCAAACTAACTCGATGGGGTTCAATTCACAGTGATAAGGGGGCGGTCTTAAAAGTCTGATACCTTTTTCAGCAATCTCGTCCACGGCATATTTCTCAGTATGATTTTGTTGTTTCACAATATCTATGAGAGTGGCCTTCACCATATTTGGTTCAAATGTAATATTTTTAGTGGTCAGCCACTCTTGAATTCGTGCTTTCGTCCAAGACATCTTTGGGATTGTTTCGATCTTCCTAGAATGATAGGGCGCGTTGTCCATTACGACTACTGCATTCGGCTTGAGTTTCGGTAGAATGCCGCCGAACCACTCCTCGAAACACTCTGCGTTCATTTCATCATGGTAATCTTCTGTACTTTTCTTTGCTTCAAACATAAGGAGTCCGTCGTCCAGGAAGCCTTCTTCTCCGCCTATGTGACTGATTATGAATCGTTTGCCATTTCCTGTGGGATTTTTTAATTCCGTAGTTAGACCGTCTAAAAATGCCTGCCGAGAAGATTTTATACTTCCACCACTCAAGGTTTTTTTTTGTAGTAGGACCTGAAAGAACAAAAAATAATCATATGTTTCGACAGCTAAATAAAAGGGGATCAAACATAGAAAACTAAGAGTTGCCACTTACCAGCGTTGATCCAGGTCTCGTCTTGATAATATATGTATCTTTCCTCCCTACGATATTGTTTAATTATACGCAGGTAGCGCTGGCGCCATGATATATCTTGTCTATCAATAAGTACGCTCTTGCGTGATCGAGTAGCGAATTTGAAATTAAGATGCTTTATATTTTTTCTCAATGTCTCTTTCGAGTAGTTGGGCAATTCTGACTCATCATTTACAACTTGCAGCACCTAAAAATTATTAATTTATTATTACCTAATTGGTTAAAATTTCACATGAGGTGGGAGAAAACATATTATACCTAACGAATAATAATAAGATTAGTGATGACAGGTAAACTAACCTTTGCGATGGTGGGAACTTCATTTCTATGACAGAACTGTAGTACAATTCGTCTAATAGCGGTGAATGTGAAATCATCAAGTTTTTCTTTAAATGTAAGTTTTGGGCCAGAGTTTTCGGGAGGTTTTAGTGATTCACAGTCGTTCTCCTTGTGCTCCTTTAAAACGGAATAAACAGTGTGGACGGATATTCCCAAGACTTCAGCCACCTTGTTGACGCATTGACTTGGTTGCACTTAGAGCTACACGTGGCCTTATTTTCGTAAGAGATAAAAATGTATCTCCATCTTGTGATGTGCTCAACTGAGCATCCATGTCTTATTTTATTTTATTTTATTTATTAAGGGATAAAAAACGGTTACAATATGTGTTTTATAGTCATCTTTAGTCAAAGACTATTATATGTGGTACCATGGTACCATAATATCTAAGGTAATATTGTAACCCACAATATTATCCACCAATTATTAAATAAAAATAGTGCCTTGCTGATGTTACATTCAGTGAGAGTAAACTTAACACTGTTATAATTTTAACAAACAAAAAGTACCTAATTAAACATTTTTCATAAAAATATTAATTTATTTGCCACTAAAATTTGTCGAACAAATACAGGGCTACGTTGCCCTCTACATAAAATGGCTGAAACTTACAATACTTTGTTTGCAGAAGTGGATATATTTTCAAAAACTAAATATAAATTTAGGTATGATGTTATTAAAATATTGCATAAAGAGACATAGCATCTATATTTATTTATACGTATTAAATTCGCTTAGTGTAGTTATTTCTTATTATTGATGTAGTGATAAAATATATATAAAAATATTACCAATTTGTTTATGCTTGCGCAGTTCGAGGCACTTTGTAACTTATTTTATTTGTAATATCACTACAATCAAATTCGTTATTAACAATGCCATGCAATACTGTAACTTCTAGATATTTGCGTCTATCCTCTAGAGTCATCATATTATATTTGCTTAGCAACTGGGGATATGAAAAATAACGCCGAAAACACCTGTAATGCATAGCACGTAGATATTTACGTTGAACTCTCTCGATCTCCTCCTTGTATTTGTTGTAAAAGGGGTTCCAAATAGTTACAGCGTATTCAAGTTGTTTACGTATCAACGCTTTGTATAAGCTCAGATAGGTTGATACACGTTTAAATTCCTTCGTGGACCTCATAACAAATCCGTACATTTTAAATGCCTTATTGACGATACTCTGTGTATGCTGGTCCATTTTTAATTTACTATCGAATTGTACGCCGAGATCTCTGATTTTTACAACGTTCTCCAATTCTGCATTACAAAGACGATAGCTAAAGTGAATAACATTAATATTTTTAGTAAAGTGAATAAAGCACACTTTGGAATACTAAAACGAAGCTTATTCTTAGTACAGTAAGCTGTCAGTACAGTCTTCGATGTAACAAACAAAAAAATCTGACACGATTAACAAAAATAAGTAGTTAACGAAAAACAAACACAACGTTACAAAAATTTAAGATAACTAAAACAACTCGCAGTGGGCCAAGCAAAGTTATTCGTGCACTCAAAATAGAAGTAAGAAGCCGAAAAAGACAAGCGTCATCGTAGCACCGTAACTAAAAATCAGTACTAACTTGAGATTTTATACAGCCTTTTATTTATATGAATAATAAATAGAATTAAGTATGATCATTATGAGTTAGTTATGAAACGATTAGATTTTCTGTGAATCTAAGCACATCCCTATTGAAATTAGGCTGTCAACATTATTTTACAGAATGACATTTTGAAACGTCATTTTACTGCAGCTAATAAAAAGTCGAAGTATAGCAACAATTGCAAAGTGGCTAGGCAAAAACCTCCTTACACTTAATACAAATAAAACCTCCTATATGTGTTTCTCCATAAACAACAGCACACAACCGCTGGCTGACTATGAAATTAGGATCCACAGTGGCTCATGTCATCAAAACCAATACTTTAAATGCAAATGTCCACTTATAACTAAAGTAGCTAGTTTCAAATATCTTGGTGTTATGCTGGACCAGAGACTCTAATGGTACTCCCACATTGACCTGGTTGCGGCAAGACTGCGAAAGCTCATGTGGATCTTTAAAACTCTACGACATGTAGCCACTAAAGACATTTTAAATCAAATTTACGTTGTAGTAGCTCAATCGGTTCAGATTTACTGCATAAGAGTGTGGGGAGGTGCACTTAAGTCTAAATTTCTAGAGGTTGAACGAGCTTAAAGAGCTCTCATAAAACTTATGTATTTTAAAAAAACGGGATTTTTCAACAAATTTGCATTATTCTCTAGGCCTACTTACTCTAAGAAAATTGTATATACTTCATTCTATTTTAAGAAAGCACACTTTAATTACATATGATCCTAATATTATAAAAAAAAGAAGAAATGACAGAGTAGCTATAATCAAACGTACAAATACAAATTTTGCTCGAAACCAAAATCCACATCTTTCATCTATCTATTTCTAATATACGAGTATATATAAAACTGAAAGGTGACTGACTGACTGACATAGTGATCTATCAACGCACAGCCCAAACCACTGGACGGATCGGGCTGAAATTTGGCATGCAGGTAGATGTTATGACGAAAAGAAAAACATCCGCTAAGAAAGGATTTTGATCAATTCTTCCCCCAAGGGGATAAAATAGGGAATGAAACTTTGTCCCCCAAATCTCTGCAACTAATCAAATGCGACGATTATCACTAAAAAATTTCACTTTACACTCGACAGTGAACAAAACTGTGCTCCATTCACTTATGTCCCATTGAAGGTGCAACCTTGCGAAAGATACGGTGTACATTAGTCAATGGAATCCGCTCACAATCAGTCCAGATGTTTAAATTTACTTGTGGCCCTTATTTTGTTTTGACTAGTATATATACTCGTAGCGTTTCACCCTTCGCCGAGTTAAACTCCAACTTTCATGCTCGTCGGAAAGAGCTACGCACGCATTCCCCCCGACATTATATATATGTGACGCTCGTGACGCTTTTCCGTTTCTTCTTTTCCATTTACTGAAATTTATCTGAAAAAAAATTTCACTTCAAAAAAACACGCTTTTTCACAGTTAACCATCAAAAACATACAGTCAATAAACCGCGAGAATAACCAGCTCTCATCAAATCTTACCACAAGCACTAGAATCGATCACTTTGACTTACTTATAATAGAAGACAATCAATCAGAAGCAGATTATCTAGAAAATGACCAGTTAAACGAAGATTTTAAAAGCGAGGAACAATTGCTTAAAGAAGATTTTTCTATACCAGCCCCAGACGTAGTCACAGATAATAACGAAGAAAGCGACTACGATCCGGCTCCCGAAGAAGAAAATTCCAACCACGAAGATTTCGATAATACTAAAGATCTAGATTATTCTTCAGATGACAGGCTTCCATTAGAAGTGACTGAATTGAAAAGTCGTGGTGGCGGCAAGACGAAGAAAGCCTGCGTAAGAAAGAGAAAAAATACTGAGATAATTATACCGGACACACCCAAAGTAGACAGGCGAAGGAAACCTTTCCTGAACGACGATTTGAATGAAACTTTGTTCACTATAACCGATTTGACTGTCGAAGAACAGATTGCTGATATAGAGAAGAGACGGGACAGTTTTAACTTTAAGAATAGCATATATAAATGTTTGGAGTGTTATAAAGGATTTCTGGATAAGGACGCTTATAATTCGCACATGTCCAGGCACACTACAGTAAGACCGATTTTAAGTTGTCAAAAAATTTAACTACATGCTTACTCGTTCACAAATTCTATGTCTTCATCATCTTCTTTTTTCTTAATTTTTTCTATTTTTGTATGAAAATCTTAATGCGGTCACAGAATACATCTACTGACCAAGTTTCAACAGTATAGCTCTTATAGTTTCGGATAAAGTGGCTGTGACATACGGACAGACATGACGAATCCATAAGGGTTCCGTTTTTTGCCATTTGGCTACGGAACTCAAAAAATCGTAAAGAATACGCAGCAATGTATACAAACTATGTTAATACATTTTTTGAGCAAATGTGTCAACTTTTCTTTTTAATGAATTTCCTGTTTTAGCATAGAGGTTGATATAGATAAAGAGATTAGTTAAATATGATGTTTTATTCATATTTGTTTCTTAGGTTTTCACAAACAAGTTTCAACGGGTTAGATGCACTGATTTTATTTATATATAGACGTTTCGCAGCCTTTTCAGGAATGCTTCGTCAGAATAGTGATTTTTTATTTACTTTGTCGAGCTACCTACGAAAGACTTTTATAGACCGTTCGGATATTTCATTGGAAGATATCCGAACTAGAACTTCTTTTAATGAAATAAATAAAATCTGTGCGTCTAACCCATTGAAACTTGTTTTATTTAATGTTTTATTCAATTATAAAAAAAATATGATTATATAATAATATGTTCGTTCAGGAATGCGGTGACCACCGTTGCAACATATGCAAGACCCACTTCAAACATCCCAACGCACTCCGTAAGCACATAACGGCTCATCATACAAAAAGATTCAGTTGTAACCAATGTCTGTATGTCACAACATCTAGACTATCTGCGAGGTTACACGTGAGATGGCATAAAGGAATAAAATATAAATGTCCTCATTGCACCGATGAATTTCTGTAAGTAATATTTTCAAAATACTTCTATTTAACTTGCAATGTATGTATGTATCTAGTAATTGGTGCCCAGAACTAGGTCTGCGTTTCACCCCCCTTTGACCCCGTAAAGGGTGATTTCTAATTTAAAAACTATCCTATGTCCTTTCCCGGGATTTGTACTATAACTATACCGATTTTCATCTAAATCAGTTCAGCGGTTTAAGCGTGAAAGGATAGACACATTTCTGCATTTATAATATTAGTATGATGTAAAAAAACTGAACAGTCAAGTTTCTCTGCACATATTTTAAATTTAAAAATTATTAATAATCCATTATTGGAACAAAATACCATATTTTAGCAGCCCAAATTTTTCTTCATGACCCCGCATATGGGCAAGCTGTGTACTGGTGTATTTACCTGCAATGTGATTACATAAAATCTGCTGTTTTGTTGACATTGCCCCGAACGGATTGTTACTAAGGACGCCTAGCCTGTTGCTAGGTACCTGCTACTTCACAGCCAATAGCTGGCTTGATTCGGACTGGACTTCACCTTCACTTAACATCAGGTGGGGTGGCGTCATTTGTCGGACCTATCTATAAAAGTCTATTTGCTCCGGCGGCCAGGCAACCTTGACGGACTTAGGTAACGACGCATGCGTCTTGTTACCAAAAGAAGCAGCTGTCATATTTTGACTTTGACTTTTTATGTTTTCATTTTAAGTTTCATTAGTGTACGTTTTAAGTTATCATTAGTTTAGCTGTGATGTCTTTGTGTGTGTGTGTGTGTGTGTGCGTGCGTGCGAAGCGGCTGAAAAAGCTAAAGCATGCAAATACAGGGGTCTAGGCTCCGAATATGATTTTGTCCCATTCGGTGTCGAGACCCTTGGTCCGTGGGGTCCAAGCGCTATAAAGCTTTTTAAAGAAATAGCAAAAAGGTTAGTCGACATCACAAGAGACCGAAGAGCTGGCAGCTACCTCGGACAAAGAGAGAATTAGTCTAGCTATTCAAAGGGGGAACGCTGTCAGTATCTTCGGAACCTTGCCTAAAGGGACTCCTTTTAATAATATATTTTATTTTTACAAAAATTTTATTTGTTACTTCGTAAGTTTATTGTTTTTGCTGTGAATATCAATATCATATATTATTTTATATGTTTTTCAATATCACTTACGTCTAGTTTAACCCAAATTATGTTATAGCGTCAGATGACTTATATAATATAGTTATAGCTTCCAATAAAAGTTACGGGTTTGAATCCCGGTGGGGGCAGATGTTTTTGTGATGAATACAAGCATTTGAACTCCAGTCATGGAAGTTTAATACCTATTTGTATAATAACACAAGCCTACAGTTCTTACGTTGGGGATAGGCTTTTGTATGAGTGTTGGACATATTTATTTATTATATTTGTTTCTTAGGTTTTCACGCACATCACTCATTAAATAAAACTAGTTTTAACGGGTTAATGCCCGTTAAAACTAGTTTTAATTAATGAGGTTAATGCTTAGCGACACACGCGGCGGCCAATCTAATCGAAGGATGGCACGTGTCAAACGAACCCTCCTTTGCAGACCACCGTAGGGTATGTTTCCAACTAAAATACAGACAGACAGACCCTGTTCCATATCGCAACCCCCGAAAAACAGATATAGCAAGGTACATAGAACTCTCGACCAAAGCATTAAGCGAGACACAAACACACGATGAAATTCTTGACACAAACAACATAGAAACAAACGTACAGTTCTACACTTCAGCACTTCTTAAAAGCTACGAACTGACGTGCCCTACCATCGTACCGAAAGACCTGGGTAAAAGTTCCTGGTGGGGGCCTGAACTTGAAAAACTACGTAAGGAACTCAGGACACTTTTCAATCGAGCGAAAAACACCAGAACCAATGAGGACTGGGACAAATACAAAATAGCACAAAAACACTACAAGAAGCGAATCAGATTCCGGAGTAGAGAAGGTTGGCGCGGATTCTGCAGTAGTGTTAATTCAACAAATCAAGCTGCCAGACTTAAGAAGGTTCTGTCCAAGGACAACTCCAACCTTCTTGGGTCTCTAAAAAGGAAAGATGGCACTTATACACAAACAGAAGAAGAAGCAAATGCGCTGCTTCTGGAAACCCACTTCCCAGGATGTCAAATGGCGCCTGGCCTTGAGTGGTCGAATGAGCACCACAATGCACCAACAACCCAGGAATGGAACCTGGCAAAAACGATAGTAACGGCGGAAAGGATAGAATGGGCTATAAAAAGCTTTCAACCATTTGAGTCGGCAGGACTGGATGGCATCTTTCCGGCGCTACTACAATGGCAACTTGGCCAGGCAATTAAATACTTACAACCAATCTTTAAGGCCTGCTTGGCCTTCAAATATATACCGAAACCATGGAGGGAGGCAAAAGTAGTCTTCTTACCGAAACCGGGCAAAGACGATTACACACAAGCCAAATCCTTCAGACCAATTAGTCTAACCTCGTTCCTTTTGAAAACATTGGAAAGACTGGTAGACCGACACCTTAGGGATGGAGCACTTAGTAAGGTCCCGCTGCACCCTCAACAACACGCCTATAGAAAAGGCAGATCAACAGAGTCGGCACTGCATGCGGTGGTCCATAAAATAGAGTCGGCAATCACAAACAAAATGTCAACATTGGCAGCTTTCATAGACATAGAAGGTGCTTTTGACAAAACGATGCACAACAGCAATAACCACGCCCTAAGAAAACTCAAGGTGGACCAAGTTACCAGGAGTTGGATCACCGAACTGGTCGGCAAAAGGGCGGTTCAGATAGTGGGGAATACTTCCACGCGTGCGAAGGTAGTAAGAGGATGTCCTCAAGGGGGAGTCCTATCACCACTTCTCTGGAACATAGTAGTAGACAGCCTAAGGAATCTGAATGATAGAGGATACACTACTATTGGTTATGCGGATGACCTAACAATTCTGATAAATGGGAACGCTGAAAACGTCCTGTGCAAAGTTATGCGTTCTGCCCTTCAGATTGTGGAAAAATGGTGTGACGAACATGATTTGTCAGTAAACCCGAATAAAACAGAGCTTGTCCTTTTCACCAACAAAAGGAAGCGGCCCGAACTACAGTTACCAAAACTGTTTAATACCAAACTCTCCCTATCAACACAAGTGAAATATCTGGGCGTAATCCTTGATAACAAATTGAACTGGGCGAGTCATATTGAATTTAAAACAAAGAAGGCCTGCATAGCTTTTAACCAGTGTAGAAGATTAGTTGGTAAGAAATGGGGTCTTAGTCCAAAGATCACTCTTTGGCTATACACAGCAGTTATCAGGCCAGCAATAACCTACGGTTCAGTTGTTTGGTGGCCCAGAACCCAACTGACCACAGTGAAATCTAAACTCCAAAGTCTGCAGCGCTTGGCGAGCGTAGCAGCAACTGGATGCATGAGAACAACTCCATCTGCTGCATTAGAATACCTCTTGAACTTAAGACCTCTAGACCTGGTCATACAAGAAGAGGCAATAGCAGCAGCCTTGAGACTAAGATCTTTGGGCCTATGGAGATCAAACACTGTAACAACACACTCCAATGTTCTCCAAAGGTGCATGAAGGAGATTCCACTCCTGGAGGCACCTATGGATAGAATATTGGATCAACACGTCTTTGATCGAAGATACAACATCCAACTTACCGCGGAAAAGGTAGACTACTCTGGCGCCGGGGAAGTTAGGATATACACAGATGGCTCCAAAACCAACATTGGTACTGGAGCCGGTGTCTTCTCGAACGACCTAAATATAAAAATATTCACAACCTTAGACAAACTAAGCACAATCTTCCAGGCGGAATGTATTGGCATTACCAGAGCGGCACAGGCGGTTGCAGCCAGAGACATCAGAGAGTTCAACATTAAGATCATCTCTGACAGTGCATCCGTGCTTCAAGCCCTAAGTAGCAACACAATAAACTCTGTCCTGGTAATGGAGTGCCACAGTGCACTTCAATCCATTGCGGTAACCAATACGGTAACTCTGCAATGGATAAAAGGACACAGCAACTCAATCGGAAACGACGCAGCAGACGAATTGGCTAAGAGAGGAGCAGACACAAAAGTGTATGGTCCGGAACCTCTTCTGCCTATACCTCAGGCCCAAATTAAGACGTGGCTGCGTGAAAGAACTCGGAAACTACACTTGACTGAGTGGAAAACAGGTGAAGGATGCCGGCAAACGAAAAACGCAGTTCCGGAGGCGAACAAGAGACTTGCCCGCACCCTTACCAGACTTAATAGGGACAAACTCCGCATAGTCATGGGAACCCTGACTGGTCATTGTCCCCTGAACAAGCACCTATACACATTAGGAGTGACAGACAGCCCCCTATGCAGAGGATGTATGGAGGCAGAGGAAACGCCACAACATGTCATTATGGAATGCAGGAGTGTGGCCGACCAACGGGCACGACTTCTCCAGTCACCCGCATCGCTTCCGGAAGCTTGCAGCAGTCTGTCAAGACTGCTTTCCTTCTGGACTAACCTAGGCTGGCTGGAGTAAACGGGAATGTTTCAAGACACGCACAATGGTCCAATGATTAGGACTAAGTGCGGAAACCGCCCTGAAAAACTAACTAACTAACGGGTTAATGCACGAAACTTTATTTATTTATTGACGTTTCGCAGCCTTTTCCGGTCTCTCATTCTGACGAAGCAGACCTGAAACGGCTGCGAAACGTCAATAAATCAATAAAGTTTCGTGCATTAACCCGTTAAAACTAGTTTTATTTATTTATTATTGTTATTAACTTTCACATTCAGTAATATTAGTTAGGTTTTTTATGATGGAAAAGGAAATATGTTTTTTTTGTAAATAATTTTAATAAAAACTACGTTTTGCAGCAAACTCACAACATATCTGGGTCATATTAGAATAAAACACCCTTCAGATTTCGTTTGTCAACTCTGCGGGTATTCTTTCGTGAGTGAAAAGGGGATAATGTTACACAAAAACCTTAAACATCGACAGGAAAATACCACGGTGAGTAAAAGATACTAGCATTTAACGCTATCGGCTTAAGGTACAAAGTCGGTTCTTTCGTAATAATGATTTCATCGCGTCAGCACCCGTTCTCGAGCATGACTCATTAATAAATTATAGCGACCGCTTCGTCCCCGCTCTTTTTAGTTTTTGGAGAATCCCTCAGGAAACACAATTTTTTTTTTCGGATTAAAAAGTAACTTATTTCCCAATTCAGGTTTTACCGGCTAACGTGGCTACGTGGGTGAAGCCCTAGTTGGGGTCGGGAGCGATTTAATCACAGTATACCCAGAACAGTAATACGTCTTCATGCAAACTGGCCGCTGCCAATAGGGTATTTGACAAGTTTTAGAAAACGATCTCACGTTATTGATTAATGTTTATGGATTCCGTAAAAAGAGGATATTCATCATTCTGTTGTGTATTTCAGTAAAAATAACCAAATAAAAAAACTCCACTTTCAAGTTGACGCGAAAACATTTCTCTGGGCAATATGGCGTCTTACTAGTGTTATTAAAACGTCAAACGATACAATGTAATGTCGCTGTAACCGGAAGTTTACTTGCGTGTGACGTCATTTTAGGCTCTGCCAATCCCAAGGGTTTTGAGTCACGTGACAATAGATAAGAAAACTATTATCTTTTTCGTTAGTTTTTAATAAAATTATGAATATTTTTTTTTGTAAAAAAGTAAAAACCCCTGCCAATATTTATTCTAAACACAGATGCCAACAATTGGCACTTTATTTTTAACACTGTCAAATACCCTATTAGAATGTGTGCTTCCGTACTCGGCGCCGTGTAGGCACGCACTGTGACCCACACATTGACAACAAAACGGGTGCATAAGGTTGCGGCAGTCTGGGCCGTGCGTTCTGTTATATGGAGCCTCGAGATTCTTGTTTTAAAAAAAGATTTATTTTAATTAAGAACTAAATTTATTTGAATGCGAGTTACAAGACGTGTGTCTGGGACGCGACTGACGAGCCACGCAGGGCTCGCGCGGATGTGAGGCTGCATTGCTAGGTCAGCATGTCTAGTAGCCCTGTTAGAAATAACCCTTATACCTCGTTTAGACTATGCCCATGCCGCTGCCCCTCGCATTGCCGGCAATAATTCCCTAAATATTGCTGCGGCATGATTGAGAGAAGTATGTGTTTACATACTGCCCTACCTCTCACTTCGCTTCAGAGTTTCGGCAATGGCAGACGTCGAAGTAATTACAGCGGCCGCGCTGTGTCTTTTTGCAATCCATAATTATGTTCGAAATTTAAAAATATATCAAGTACAAAAAAAAAGTTCGTCATTGAAGATGGTGGATGTTATCTATCCATCGTAATAGAACTTTGTAAGTAGTCACACAATTACGCGACGCGCACAGTGTGAACACGCATTGCCACTCCTTTGACTTCCGCACAAAAAACCGCTGTTTTGGGGAGCGCCGGGCAGAGCGAGAGGCAATGGCAGTGGCCTGACGAGTATCGTGTTTACATACTCGCGCTGCATGTAAACGAGGTATTACAAATACCATATGTAACAGTTCGGTGTTATCGCGCGTGTACAATGTGATTGCACGTTCGCTCGTTCCCTCCCGGCACATTCGCGCTCGCAGCCGCCGCTTTAGTTTATAGCGCAATTTGATATTAAATTAAAATAATGTCTTTGAACAAAGGCAGAAAATATTGTAGTGTCTTTGGGTGCCTCAATAAGTACTTTGTCTGCTAACAATAAAGCGTTCCGAAAAGCTGAAACCGAAGAAAAAATTAATCAGTTTCAAATTGATTAGTTTTTCATTAAAAAGACTTTTATTTATACCTCATTTTGTTAACTAGTACAACATTCATTATTATAATATACTAAATATTCGTAAATTTTAAAATAATTAGGTCGTTTTACCCTAACGCTTAGTAATTATTTTCTTTTATTCACACAATTCTGAATATTGTACGTAATCTTAAGTAAATTATGTAAGTTTATGAATGTTTCAGTCTGTGGAAACTTTACTGGTTTATGAAATAGTAATAAGTGTTACTTAATTGATTTGTGTAAAACTGTATGTTTCCCAAATGAAAATAAATAATAATTAATAACTTTTCAATAAAATCATTAAATAGAAATATTGTATCGTGTGATGTTTTAATAACAGTCCTGTGACATCACACACTAGTGAGACACACACATTATGACTTGAAAATAGTTTTTTTTTTCTGATTTACACAACAGAATTAAAAATCTCCACTTTTTATAGACTCCACAACTATTAGTAAACTAGCTGTTGCCCGCGACTTCGTACGCGTGGAATTAGTAATTTTAAGTAGCCTATTGTTTATCCAATCTGATTTTTCTCAGTCTGTTTACGGTTTGTATTTGAGTCAAGTTTTAAGTCTCTTAATTTACCCAAGGAATAAGATTTTTCATACAACCTTTCATTAAAACCTAAAACCCCTATTTGAAACCCTTCGGGGGAGGGGTGAGGGGGAGGGTCCTTCTTAGTGCACCCTTAGACCGTGTATTGTCATACTTTCAATAAAATATTTTTCTCAATTTCTTTCAATAAATAAGAGCGACAGGCGGCCAGCAAGGTCCGCCTCCTCGTCTCGCCCGCCGCCGCGCCACCAGCGTCTTGTCTTGCTTGCATTAAAAAACTCTATGGCCCATAACTCATTAATAGGTACCAACTCTCAACATCTTACACACGTGATAACTTTTAAACGAAATATCCGATTGAGATGAAACAAAAAGTATTTTACTTCTACATAAATTTGACGATCTCCGTGGCCGAGTGGTTCGTACGCCGGGTTTCATGGTGTCGCCGACTCGAGAGGTCCCGGGTTCAAATCCCCGAATGAATACAAGCATTTGTACTCCAGTCATGGATGTTTAATAATTTATTTCTATATAAATATTCTTATATATGTACAGTATATGTATTCTATCCGTTACCCTAGTATCCCATAACACAAGCCTTACAAAGCTTACTTTAGATCTAGGCTAATTGGTGTGTGTTGGAAATATTAATTTATTTATTATTATTTATTTATAAATACTCTTGATAACATAATGCTTAATTTCGATAAAGATTAATATTACGATACATATTTAACGTAGTTTTTTTTTCTTCACACGATTTAATAATTATTTTGAACACAAAATCGGTTATTGTGGTTAAACCATGATAGCTAGATATATGTTCTCGCGGACTTTTTTGTAGGTCTTAATGGGATCTACAAACCCGTAGTACATCATTTTATTCTATTGTCAATAGTTTTTGCAGCGCACGCAAAAATAGGTTTTCGATTTTACACCTTGTGTTACAAAATATCAATTTTATTACGGATCCCTAATTTTGAAAAAAAAATATTGCCTATAGCCTTCCTCGATAAATGGACTACCCAACACTGAAAGAATCATTCAAATCGGACCAGTAGTTCCAGAGATTAGCGCGTTCAAACAAACAAACTCTGCAGCTTTATAATATTTGTATAGATAACATGAAATCGTTTTCTAAAAGTTGTCACACCGCCATATTTCCGCCGTTTAAAAAATAAGGGCAGTAGAAGGTGATGACAACAAGTCAAAGGTACTCACAGAAAGTATCTATTATATCTAGCTTTTGCAAGTGATCTCAAACTTTTTTTGATGTGTGTATGTACTTTGACAAATCAAATATCTGCAGATGAATTCGGCTATCCATTCATTGGGTACGATAATGTTAAACGGAAATCCCGACCAATCCCATGATCGTGCGGTGTGTTGATCACAGTTTTTTCGCCCCGCCCACTTGATCGCATTTTGTGTGGAAACACTTTTTAGTGCCGTTCGTATTCCATAAAAAATCTAATTCGTTGTAAATGTACCTAAAAACATTGTTGTAGGTGTACTATTGTACCTAAAAGCATTGTCTAAACAATTTTATTTTTAGATACCCGAAGATGGGCCATTATGTGAACTGTGTAACTTAAGGTTCATAAACACTGAAGCTTTAAAACGTCATACAAGCGTCTCCGCTCGCCATCAAACCACAGACAAACAGGACAGAGAGCCGAATACTCCGAAGCAGAGGAAACGAGAGATAAGAAGAACGAGGATAGGAGCGTCTATACCTTGTGAACAAGTAAGTTGTATTATATTTTGAATTTAAAGCATTTTAATGCTATTTGTTTAAACCCAAATAATGTTTTTTCCATTAAAAAAAATGTAAGTGACAATTTACTAGCGGCTGTCATCGACTACGTCCAAGTCATCATCATCATCTGCCTATTAATGTCCCCACTGCTGGGGCACAGGCCTTCCTATAGATGGAATAGGAAGATTGGGCCCTAAACTGGCACGCGGGCCTATTGCGGATTGATGGGTGCTAACGACTGCAGATGCAGCCGGCACCAACGGCTTAACGTGCCTTTCGAAGCACGGAAGTGTAAAAGATAATAAATTTTTGGTCACCCATGTTATGACCGGCCGTTGCGAAAGTCGCTTAACCCAATCACTTGCTCCATCGAGCTCCGCTTTTAAAAACTTAATTAAAGAATAGTAAAACTTGCCGTGAATGTGTTTTTTTGACTATTATATTTTTAAGCATTTTAACTGTTAGATTTCTAAATCTAAAGATTTATAATTCAATTTACTCTGAGACAAATAAACCAATGTTTCTAAAAGATTTCTATAAGAGTAAAGATGGCCAGTGTAACCAGACTGATTACAAAATTTCACATTTCAACATCAATTTATTTTCGATTTAGTAGTATTATAATGCATTCGAAGCTACAGTTTTAGGTATTTTTAATGTCACTTTTTGTTTTCATTATAATTTTATATGCGACATAATAGAAAATTCGTTTTATAGTTTCTTTATCTTTTGTCTCTGAGAATGTTGAAGAGAGTATAGATAAAAATTCCACTCGACCCGAGGTTTCTGACAGAATTCGAACGTGCACCTTCTGCATTTCGACCGGACAGAAACCTGTCTGATATCTTATTTTTTTCTTCTTTTAAAAATGTTATTTATGAAGTGATAACTTGTTATGGAAGGGCAATCGAAAAGGGAAGGGAAGGGTTATCTATCGCTTCGTTACGTAACGCGTTACGGTGCCAGTCTGCCTGGCTTCCCTCCGCCGCGAAAGAGATAGCCGCCACAGCCCGCCCAGCTACCAGAAGAATGTCCCTAGACACACACCACTCCCTCACCCATCAATCCCCACCATCACCCACCAATCCTCTATTATCAGCTTACAATCCCCACCATTACCCGCCAATAACCTATTATCACCCATCAATCCCCACTATCTATATAATATATAAAACTCAAAGATGACTGACTGACATAGTGATCTATCAACGCACAGCCCAAACCACTGGACGGATCGGGCTGAAATTTGGCATGCAGGTAGATGTTATGACGTAGACATCCACTAAGAAAGGATTTTGATTAATTCTTCCCCCAAGGGGATAAAATAGGGAATGAAAGTTTGTATGAAACTTTGTCAATTTTAAACCGTTCGGGCTGAGACTTTGCATGCAGGTATAAGAAGAATCATAGATGCATGTGATTGTGTATAATACAAGCCGGTAGCGAGACCGGCTATATCCGCAACATTAGGGGTTGGAAATTAAAATGAAAAATGAATTCCCAAGACGTATAAAAGAGCAATCACACAGACAGAAAATAAGGAATATATTAGCCGCCTTACCTTATTCCCTCGAACGAATGTCCCTCAGTTCCAAGACACACTAGAAAACACGGCACTTGGGAAATGAAAATGTCGAGATGCTCGGTGCAAAGTAAATAGGGATACGATCACGATACAAGCCTGAGAACAAAAACTGTAGTCTACACTTCAGCTCTACACCGAAGCGAAGCGAGGGCGGGCCGCTAGTCATCCATAATTCTTTTATTATCACCTACCAATCCGTTATCACCCTTGAATCCTTTTCACCCTCCAATTCCCTTTTCACCTACCAATCTCCTTTGCCCATTTAGTATAACAACTTTCTGATGTAGATACTCCTCTCTCACTCAAACACGAAGCGCCGCGCCGCTTAGATTAGTTTAAGTTATAACTTTATTTTTATTGCTTGTTTTCTTAGTGCGGCGTGCAACTACAAGATTACACAGCATACCACAGCCACTTTAGACGAATGCACCCGGACAAGAACCGAACCAAGTTCCCTTCGATAAGGACGCCTCTCATGTGCGAAGTGTGCGGTAGAATGTTCCAGGTAGGTTTATTCATGTTAAATATCAATTGATGTTTGTCACTTTTGTTTCCGAAAAATATTTAAGTATATATCATAGCAGGGCAATAGTCTTTTAACCTGCCACGATAGTATTACCCTTATATTTATAATTTATATCGACTAGCCATTGTCACTTTTATTTCCGAAAAATATTTTAGCATAGATCTAAGTCGGGTACAGCGGTAGTAACCTGTCACTGTTGATTTAGGCTCATTCTAATGCTTTGTATCAGCTGACTTTATCACTTTTATTATGTAGCTAAATAATTTGCGTTGCTTTGTACTTGATCTTGGTGTCAACTGTTTGGCTGCCTTGCGTTGAGCTGCTGTAGTGCGGTGTCCTGCTTCTTCAATTCAATGTATTAACATTATAAATATTAAAACATGGTTAAATACGTGCCTGTGGCAAATGACAATGACAGATTCTAACCCACCTTATACAGTAATATTAAATTTATGAAAAAATATAAACGACTATTTTTCTCGTACTAATTTAATTATTACTTTGTAAAAGCAGCGGATTCGAAATAAATATTAAAATAATTTGTATCTACTGTTTCCGTTAGGAGAAGAACGAAAACATGGCATATGCGTTTTGTTTCACGACAAACAATAAAATGTCAGTCAAGTTTTCGAAAAATATCGTTCTTTTTTTATAATTATGGATAAAATAAGCATTTCGGTTATAAATATAATTAATTTATGTTTATAAATAAGTTTGACAATTCTAGTACCTTTTATTTTTTATGCGCATACACATTATTAAGTGGTAGTACCTATGTGAAACTAAACGTTATTGATTGATTTAAATATCCTTTTGTTTGACAAAACACAAATACTTACCCTACCCAATAGAATTACGTGATTATTACCTTTGAAGATATATATAAATAAAACAAAGAAGCTAGAGATACTAATGAAAGGCTGAAATGGTGAAAGCTACGGCCAGTGTTGCCAAATCTACGTCTTTTTACGTAGATCTACGTATTTTAGGCCTTTTTTGCAAACCTACTAACTTCAGTCCCAAAATCTACGTATTTTCTTTAATTTGTACAAATTTGCAAAATAACATAACTCACTAGAATAGGGAAGCATATTTTCCGTTACTTATAAACTATACAAATATTTATTTCTTATAGTTTTTGGTACGAGGAACTTAAATACATCGATTTCACTTCATAAAATCAGAAGATGGCTGTAGTTATCTAATTTGAAAAAAATATTTTTAGTCTATACTTTTTAAACACTGAAAACGCTGTCCGCCATGATTGTGACGGTACAAAATTTGTAAACAACTAAACGTCATTGTTACTATGGTTTCTTTCGTCGGATTAAAATATATCTAAAGACTCTTATATCTTGTAGAAGAGTTTCCGTTTATTGGTTTTGTTGACTAAATTATTGCTGGACGCCGAATTTGTAAAAGCAGAAACGACAAAGCTCTCTTACTTAGTAGGTACTTACATTAATAAAAAAAAATTAAACTTAAAATATTATTGAATCAGTACTTACACCGAAGCGATCTTTGCAAAAAGACATGACTTTCAGTCGATAAAGTTACAGGATTTAGCAAGTTTTAAACATGTGTTCATGTGTAGATATGTTTTTCTCTGGGCAATTTAAACCACAACTTTTCTGGAGTCTTTAATGTTGTGATTCTACATTCTCGCATAATCATGATAATTACTACAATACATCTTTTTCGGTGTAATATAACAATTATTAACCATTTAAAACATATTTTCAAAGTGTCAACTACCCTATTTGGTAACAGTTTATTCTTGTCATTCTTTATACAGAATGAAAAGGAGAGACTGATGTTAAATTTAGTGCTAAGTTTAGAGAATTATGCCAAAATTGACACCTAGCAGCGTCTGTGTCTGATGGTAAATGTCTACTACAGCATGGTAAATGCTGCCAATGTAGCGTCTTCTCCAAGAATTCTATGTTCTATTTCCTTTTTTTAAATAAATTGTATAACAAAATATTCGTTTTAACGAACTTACTTCTCTCAGAAAAAAATACGTAGATCTACGAACTTTTCATATGCAAATTTTACTAATTCTACGTAATTTTGTCACCGGACCTACGCCTTTTTCAAAATCCGAGTTGGCAACACTGGCTACGGCCGTAAAACAAGAATTAAAAAAAAACTGTTTGACATTTCCTTTTCTTGTGACTGTGCTGCGCTGCGACGAACAAAGTGAACCAAACGAAAATAATACGAATCGGCTGTTTTAACTGTTAAATAATTACGACTTTTGCTTTTAACTACGGACTCGATCACGCCTTTTATACGACCCTGTGGCTTTGTTCTAAGGATACCGATTTATTGTTTGTGATTTGGAACCATGTTGAGATGCATTATTTGTTATTTATGTGTCGATAGAATACAAAGGCATGTCGTTTGTACACTATCGGCTACAATACGGACACTGCTGAATTCATGGATATCGTTACAACAGGTTTGATTGATAATTTAATAAAACAAGATATAACGAAGTGCATTCTCTTATGTAAACATTTTATTGAAACATAAATATTTAACTAAACTGTCCTTTTAGCTACCACCTGAAGCAGTAGTATGTCATGAATGTTACTTGCGGTTAAATGGGCATTGTCGCAACGGAAACATGGAAGCTGCAAGGGAACTGGGCCATACACATATTTGTTTGGGATGCGGACGATCTGTTCTGGACAGTAGAAGACCTGTCAGAAACCAGTGACCCTATCATAGCTATTTTATGTTCCTGGAATGCATTTAATGAGGTAAACAACCTACACAATTTGTTATATTTTACAATTAGCTGTTACATACTCGTATATAATAACATACAAAAGACAAAAACAAACTGCAGTTCATACTAAGTTTATATTTTTACATTATCTAACAGCCTTTTTTCTTATAGGTGATATCAAGATCATCATTTGTTTGCCACGTTTGCTGGATGCGTGCTAGTCGGCAGATATTGAGAGATCAAAACAGAAACATTGATCATCCGGGTGATATTGAACAAGATGTGGTCAACCCAGAGCAGCCAATTCTACCTGTTCCCCCAACTCTGCCTCCAGTCCGTCAAGAACAGGTTTTAATTGCTCCAGCAGGGACTATCATTTTGCCCCACTATAAACGTGCTGCAAATACTTCACGACATTGCATTTATCAGAATTGTGCAAACCAAAGTGGTCATTTAATACCTGGATTTATTAAAGTCTTGCTTCTTAAGCAATATCGTATTTATGTACCAATATACTCACGTGTCTGTGAGTCACATTTATACAGTAATGAATGGGAAGTATTGAATCAAAATAATAATTTCACAAATAGCTTTACAGCTCTCCAAATAGAGGATTTAATTAGAATCTCACAAACAGATTCAGATTTTATGGACTTTGAAAATGTACATGAAATGCCTAATCACACTTGTCACTATTGGACTGGTCTGACAGTAATTGAGTTTCTAGATTTATATAATGAAATACCTGTCTTAGAAAGTTTGAAAAATGGAAAAACTTGTTTAGCCATATATTTGACTAAACTAAGGACTGGTGATAGTGATAATAGATTATCAACACTTTACAATATGCCTCGCTCTACCTTAGAATCATATTTAAATAAAATGCGCCATTATTTCAAGCATCATTTTGTACCAAATCATATTGGTTTACAGCACACAACTAGAGAAGAAGTAGTGCAACGTAATTTATTAATACCCAATAACTTGTTTGGGAACCCAAATGCTACCATAGAAGAAATGCCTTCTATTGTTATATGTGATGGCACTTACATATTTATTCAAAAAAGTAGCAATTATTGTTACCAAAAAAAGACTTACAGTTTGCATAAGTATGACAACTTGATAAAGCCATTCCTTGTAGTAGCTTGTGATGGGTACATTGTGGATGTTACTGGGCCATATGCGGCAACGCAAACCGATGCCGAAATAATGATGCATTTATTTCAAAATGAATCTGGGCCTATGAGGTCATTTTTCAGAGCTGAGGATATATTTATTCTAGACAGAGGATTTCGTGATGCCATTCCATTTCTGGAATCTCATAATTACAAAGTTTTCAAGCCTGAATCAGTAAATGAAGGTCAAACACAGCTTACAACATTACAAGCAAATAAAAGCCGCTGTGTAACATTATGCAGATGGGTAGTTGAAATTGTTAACGGGAGGTTCAAGCGTGATTTCAAATTATTTCGCCAAGAATTTTTTAACAGAGCTTCATCACATTTATGGGATGACTTTCTTGCTGCAGCGGCTTTGATCAACCGCTTTCATCCACTGATTTGGGACCAACCATATGCTGCAGATATTGTACAGAGAGCACTGCGTTTCTTAAATGAGACCAATTACTTGGCCCAGTTTGTAAATGATTTTCATTTGAATAGAAGGCGGACAATGTTTTCCCGTATTGATGGAAATCTACCACAGCTGCAACATTTTCCCATTCTCACCTCAAGTGATTTAATTCTAATTGCTTTAGGGCCGTATCAGATCAAGCAGGCCAGATCCTACTATGGTGAGCATATGCGGGAGAATGGTTTATACCTGATAGAAGTGTGCCCAGAAGTAGAATATTCTGCAGAGATGGTGGCACACATTGGAGGAAACTGCCCATTTTTAATAAGAGGCAGAATAAAATCAAGGCATATAGGCCAAAGGCATTATTTTACTTACATTTTAATAGATAGGGATCCTAATAATAATGTCAGTGCAATCGATTCGATATTGGGATACTGTTGCAGCTGCGTTGTAGGAAACCGAACTGTGGGATGTTGCTGTCACGTAATGACAATCATTTGGTACTTGGGTTGGGCCCGGCATCAAAATAATATAGATCCTCCCGCAGCATTCTTAGACAATGTATTGATTTCTCTAGATGAGTAAATAAACGATATAAGGTTAAAATCAGTGTTTTATTTATTGAAAAATCTCAAATGTACAACCTCTGCTCTTAAGCGCTGTAAGCAAATTATTAGTAAAAATATAATATACTACTACTACAATAGTCGCGATATAATAGCTAACAAATAGTGCCATAGTTAAGTCTTGTATAACTATGGCACTATTTGTTAGCTAGAGATTTTGCTAGATCTAAAAGATTGTTGCTTGTGAATGAAGATGTACAAGCAACAATGTGTCCCTTTTTGGAATCTATACACATGTAATATGTCTCATGTAGCGAATATATATATTTCATATTCGTTATTATTACATTTATTTAAACTATGAAGAGAGCGATTTGAATGTTTGCCTTTAATGAATAAACTCGGAAAACCTCACAGACTAATAACAATCGAAAAACAGACGAATAGGTACCTAGAAACTACCTATTCATTAAAGTTATGAAAGCGCCTAACTAATAATTTATAGCAATTCCATTTTTCTGCTCATATTACAGCTGGAGAAACGTATGATAATTGTACTCTTTGTTAGGATATAATTCAATAACCGCATCTTCTAGAGAATTTACAACTTTACTATTTTGATTTTTTTTTTTTTTTTTTTTTTTTTTTTTATGCTAAATAGGCAATGCGTTTGACCACAATCTCACCTGATGGAAAGCGATGATGAGGCCTAGGATGGTACACGCCTGCCTAGAAGATGCCTGTTCACTCTGGCCTTGAAGATGTCCAGGTTATATTGGTCCGGGAAAACAGACCTCGGCAAGGAGTTCCACTCCCTAGCCGTTCGTATAATGAAGGCCGAAGCAAATCGCTTCGTGCGAATAGGAGGAACTTCGACAACATAAGGGTGGAAGCCCTCGCCGCGCCTGGTCGTCCGGTGGTGGAAAGGGGAAGGGGGGATCAAATTATGTAATACCTCCGCACACTCTCCGAAATGTAACCGATAAAACACCGAAAGGCAAGCTACACGTCTTCGGTGGTCGAGGCTCTGAAGATTAGCCTCAACGAGAGCGTCATTGCCTATGAGTCTCTTCGCACGGTGTTCCACCGAGTCCAGTGCATCCAAGCAGGAGCGAACTTGGGCTCGGTAAAGGTTAAGGAGCTGCTCAGATGTAAAATATCGCCTGACCTTAGAAAGTATTCCAAGTTTTCTGGCAGCGGTTTTAGCAATGGACTCGATGTAGGGACCGAAATTGAGGCTGGATGAGATTCCATACCCAAGAGCTCGAGATGGTCTTTAACCGGCACGGAGACATTTCGGAAAGTCGGAGTCAGATGGAATGGACTCCGTTTCGTCGAGAAGAGACAGGCCTGTGTTTTAGAGGGATTGAACCCAACCAAGTTGGCTTCACCCCAGAGGGAAACAGCTTCCAGGGTTGCATTCACTCCCTCCACCATCGCCTCCCTTAATGATCGGACATCTGCATCAGACTTCACATCAGGCAGACACCGGCATTAATACCAAGCAGATCCGACGATGTGCCATTAATGACCACTCGTATCGATCTGCCCCTCAGAAAATCTGCAATCCAGTTGCAAAGTCCGACAGCGATTCCATATGAAGGAAGCTTGCCAATGAGACTTGCATGCCAGACCCTGTCAAAAGCCTTAGAAATATCAAGAGACACGGCGAGAGCTTCGCCGCGTTTCTCTATGGCTTCACTCCATAAGTGGGTAGCATACACAAGAAGATCCCCAGTAGATCGCCCACGGCGGAAACCGAATTGGCAGTCACCGAGGAGATCGTTATCTTCGAGGTAAGCGAGGAGACGGTTGTTCAATACACGCTCCATAATCTTACAGAGTATGGAGGTGATTGCAATAGGTCGATAGTTGGCAGGGTCGGCACGACTACCCTTTTTGGGCACTGGTTGGACATTGGCAAGCTTCCAGGTTTTCGGAACTTGGCCAATCTCAAGGGATAAGCGATATAGGCGAGTCAGAATAGGAGACAACTCAGGGGCACAATTCCGCAGGACAATAGCTGGAATGCCATCGGGCCCACTGGCTTTATTCACGTCTAGAGTGCTTAGCGTTTTTAGTACCTCTTTCTGATGGATGCGAACTTCCAACATGGCAGAAGAACACTGAGGAAGCTTAGGTGGGTTTACGCCAGCAGCATCTAGCTGTGAGTTATTCGCAAATATAGAGGCAAACAAGTCAGCCTTCTCTTTGGAGGTGTGAGCCAGCGATCCGTCAGGTTTAATTAAAGGCGGCAGCGACGACCGGCAAAAATTGGCTTCGACTGTTTTGGCTAGGGACCAGAAAGCCTTGCTTCCGGATGGAAAGGAGGCTAATTTGGCTCCTATACGGCCAATGTGATCGAAGCGGGCCTTGCGGAGAACACCTTTACAGGACTTGGCGGCACTGTTAAAGGCCTTCTTCAGACTTCGAACATTTGGTGATTTGCGGGCTCGAGCATCCGCCCAGGAGCGATACGCAAAATGCTTAAGCGCCTCCGCTTTAGCACAGTCCGCATCAAACCAAGGGCGGGCGCTAAACCGGCGTGGTACGTCAGAATATGGAATAAAGTACTCCATAGCCTGACGCACCACGTCAGCAATGGCATCCGCGCAGCAAGTCGGGTCGTCCGAAGAAAAGCAGGTGCGACGCCAAGGATAAGATGCAAAGAAATGCCGCATCTCATCCCAGTCTGCTGAACCATATCGCCAAACACGCCTAGTTCCGATAGGTTCCGGGTCGATTCCTAATATTACAGCTATCAAATGTCATTTATTACATTCGTGTACACCAATTTTATCGGGTGGGTTATAGAACTTCTGGCATTGTCCTTTCCATCACAATCAGAATCTATTCGTTGTTGTAAATGTAATTCATCATTCCATAAGGCTTGTGTGGCCATACCCAATACCGCATCATCATCATCAGCCTATTAATGTCCCCATTGCTGGGGCAGAGGCCTTCCCTATGGATGGAATAGGGAGATTGGGCCATGACCCACCACGCGGGCCCAGTGCGGATTGGTGAGTGCTAACGACTGCAGATGCAGCCGAGACTAACGGCTTAACGTGCCTTCCGAAGCACGGAGGAGCTCGAGAGAGTAATTTTTGGTCACCCATCCAATGACCGACCACTGCGAAAGTTGCTTAAGTTCAACGATCGCAGCAAAACGCGCTAACCACTTGCGCCATCGAGCTCCTCCAGGTACCGCATCAGTGAAGGATAATTGGACATGCCCTTGAGGCAAACTAATGGTCCCCAGGGTGTACAACACGTCGACACTGGTCAAGGGAGTGGCTGAGGATTATGTTGCATATCCTGGTCCAGTTTGTTCGGAAGGTCCAGCCTCTTAACACCACCGAAGATCTGAAGCTTGACTTCGCTTGCGCATAATTCTCAAACTCGAGTCGAACGCTGTCGGTTGTGATAATGTGTCCCTGAAAATGTTGACTATATGACCCTACCGCACACGTATTCATGGTATTATTAGTAAATCTATAATAACATCGACATTTCCTGACTAAATACTTATCCAATTTATGTATGATAATATTGAAAGGTATTGTATTTATTATTATATAACTAAATAATTTTACGAGTATGTATTTCTGTTTTTTTTTTTCGATTCTTATATTTCTTTTTTGCGATAGTCAGTTCTTAAAGTAACCATAGGTGTCAACTGAAAACCAGCGTCAGGTCGCACAAACCTGACAACATGCTGAATTGACAACCTGTACCCGTAGCACGAACCAATATCGAATTCGTATCGTTTGCGAGTCCGAAATGTCATTGTCAAATGTGTTCTGATTTTTAGTTCTCGTTACGTACTTTGTGCCGCTGCTGTTCAAGTTCTATAAAAAATTTGACATTGACATTTCGGTTTGCAAACTATTCGAATTCGATAATGGTTCGTGCTAGGGGTACTGTTTGGCGCAGCCGCGAGATAGCAACAGATTAAATCACCGGTGGTAACGAAATGTATGAAAAATTGTGTTACTTTTTTACTGTGTTGTTATCCTATTGTTTACGATGATTTTTCATTTTTTTTTCTTGTCTTTTTTTGTTGCTAAAAATCTTGTATCAGTCTCGTTGTTTGTGTCAAAATAAATGTATTTTCACTAAACATCGCAACTTTAGCATTGATCATATTTCTGGTAAAAAGAACTAGTAGGATAAGATATGGATTCTTAATTACGATGTGAAAAGAATTAATTATTTGTTCTCTTAAGAATCAAACCCTCCTCGAAGACCACCGCTGGGTACACACGGACGAACGTCCATTCTCCTGTGAATCTTGTGACAAATGTTTCCGGACGAAAAACCGTCTAGTGGCCCACAGACTGATACATAGCGACCAAAAACCCACCTACCCGTGCGTGCTATGCGGGAAACATTTTAGCACGCGCAGCAACAGGCACAGGCATATGTTCGTGAGTATATTTTTGTAGTAAGATTATAATAATAAAGTTATGAATCGTTAAATCTGCTTTAGTTAGTACTTAGTACAAAAACTGTGTTGCAGAATTAACGCCCATTCCCGTATAATATGAAACAGTGTTCCTATCAATGTATAAAATTAAAACGAACTGTATAAAGAGAAAATTAAAATGAGACAAAAATATCCACAATTTAGAATCCATCGAAGGTAATTTCAAAACAAAAAGTATTTCCGAGTGCATTTTTATCAATATTTAACTAGGGTTGCAACGATATAACGGAATATCGATAATATCGAGACCAAAATATCGATATTTCGTAGACTAAATTTGAACACATTAATATCAATTAATTTACCTGCTATGACTATCTAAATTGAATAATATCAAAATAACTATTGCTTTGAAATCGCAAGAGCTTATAGATGTATTAAAAAAATCTTGAATCCCAAGAAATATACTAAACTGGTGTGGCTTCTGGCATGAGTCTCTAAACCTAAAATTAAATTTGACAACAGTGTATCCTTGTCATTCTCTATACAGAATGAAAAGGAGAGACTGATGTTAAATTTAGTTTTATGTTTAGATAATCATGCCAGAATCGACACCAACGTATAATCGTATAATCGTATACCTTATGGTAACTCATGCACTTAAATGAAATCCTTGCCTCTCTTTCTAGATAATTGACAACTACTGATTAATTGAAATTTAATATCATTGTAATATAACACAAAATAAAATTAAGAATCTTATACAAATCGTAAATTTTTTAAGCTCGCCAAGTCAAGAAAGTAAGATAGGTATAGTAATTTTGGAAGCTTTGGGCTTACCCTATTCTGAAGCCATGGGCACGTCCCTGATGTGTGGAAGACTAAACAATTTGCGTATTTGATGTACGCTAAAAAAAAAATGGTTGCCTGTAAAGTCGGTTTTACGGGCGAAGATTTTACGTGACAACGTCTTTTTCTCGGTAGAATATTTATTGATATGAATATAATTAAATTGCACAATAGGAACAAGGAATTGAATGAAAATAAGAATTGCACAAATTTTAACTATAGAAATATATTTTGTTTACTAAAACATTGTACATGTAAACTTAAACTTAACACGAGAGACTCATCGTAACGTTACCGAGCGTTACACTTTTTCATAAGTGACTCCCAGCCGCAACCTAATTTAAGACGTTGTCACGTCAAAACCGACATAGCTTGGAAAAGCACGAATGTAGTGGAAACTTAGCAAAGGCATTCGCAAATGTCCCACATATGCGGGTTGGCGCATTCGTACTAACGAATGTGAGTGATCTGATCAGGATAATAATTTTAATTTTTTTGTTTCCTGTCGTGGCTGAAACACAAACCGTGTGAGCCAGTAAAAAAAAACCTTGGCGCGATTTCATCAAGCGTGTTTAACGAAAAAGCTGGCTCAATGCATTTTGCGAGAAACTCGCCATCAAACATATGAATGTGTCACACTCACCCCGTATCCTAATGTCAATAAAAAATATATATATATATCGATAATATCGAGTTAAAATGGTCGATATATCAGATATCGATATTTTCCTAACTTCGATAAAAATATCGATATTTCAAAAGACTTTGCATCCCTAATTATAACAAACCAATACTAAATTTTACCAAAAAAATGAAATTAAGGACTTAAATATAGCATTTGAATTTTTATGCTCACATTAGAAAGACGTAAACACAGATAATACAAATCAATTAAAAATTACAATATTAAACCTACCTGGACACACCAATAAATCATGATATAGAATAGTTAAATTATCCAATACAAGACTCAATTTCGCACACATCGTACCAACATCACTGCAAAAAAGTTAATTTATAGCATACGAACCTCATTATTGTGTTTATTAAATAGTAGAAACGTCCAGCAGTACCATACTAGATTCTAGATTCACAGCTCCGATAAGAGATATAACTTCAAGAATAATGGAATGGATAACTTTGCAAACGTAGATTTTAGTTATAAACCCCAAAAAGAGTAGGACTTCATATATTTAACTGTTCACTCAATCATTGAAAAAAATATATACACGATATGATATGTAGATAGCTCATAATTTTCAATTGTAACCTACAAAACTTGTAACTATTTTGTTATTGGAAAAATTATTATTAAGGTTTTTTTTCTTTCTCAATTTTATCTATCTGAACTCCTTTATATGTTTTATATTTTAGTGGAAACTTTATTGATGTAGGTATGTTTTGCTAATTAGATCTAGGTATAAGTATTAATTCATTGTTTGTTTCCTAAAAAAGATAAAATAAAAATAAAAAAAATAATAAAAATGAAACACGTTAATACTTTCCAGCTCCTATTTGAGTTTGCGGCTTTTATTATTGATTAACATTGTGATTATTTAAATTTAATATCTTAGCGTTTCTTTAATTCATTTGTTATTATATCATTTTGCTGTGCCATCATTAGTCTATTAATGTCCCCACTGCAGGGGTACAGGCCTTCCCTATGGATGGAATTGGGAGATTGGGCCATGACCCACCACGCGGGCCCAGTGCGGATTGGCAGGTGCTAACGACTGCAGATGCAGTCGGGAGCAACGGCTTAGCATGCCTTCCGTAGCACGAAGGAATTCTAAGGTCAAGTTAAGTTAAGGTAATTCTTCTAAGGTCAAGTTGTGAGTGGAGGAGCTTGATGGTGCAGCTGGTTAGAGCGTTTGGCTGCGATCTTCAAAGTTAAGCAACTTTCGTAGAGGTCGGTCATTGGATGGGTGACCAAAAATCTTCTATCTCGAGTTCCTCCGTGCTTTCGATGGTACGTTAAGCTGTTGGTCCCGGCTGCATCTGCAGTCGTTAGCACCCGCCAATCCGCACTGGCCCGCGTAGTGGGTCATGGCCCAATCTCCCTGTTCCATCCATAGGGATGGCCTGTGCCCCAGCAGTAAGGAAATTAATTGGCTGATGATGATGTCCCCGACTTCATATAATAACCAACTCTACTGTACAAGATAGCAAATGCATTAAACGTTTTAAAGTTTGAAGGGTAACCCCACAGAATACAGAAAGAGGTTAGAAGGGCTTTATATGTGTGAGCAAATGCTCATAACTTGAGCAAAACTTGGTTCGATTGTTTGATGTCGCTTCGTTTGATTGGCTATATTTTATTATCTATTAAGTGGCAGTGTAGTGGGGGCGAGCCTGCGACATCGGTTCCCATACGTATGGTTAATCACTAGAGATGGGCCGACTAGCCGCCAACTATTCGGGAAAGACGACTATTCGGCATAGTCTATAGTCGGCGGCTATTCGGCATAACATGCCGATTATAATCGGCACATAACAATGAAATAAAACTCAAAGCTTATGCATCTTTTGAATATTTAAACCTACCTACTTACATACCTAGAGTATTTAAAGTTACCTACAGTCTTAAAATATAAAAAAAATAAGGTACCGTAAGAAGAATTAGGAACTTAGGAATTTGTCAGTAATTCAGATAACTTAAAACAATGAATATCGCACATAACAAAATAGCAATGGGAAGTAAGTGTGTATTGAGTAAAATCTTAAGTGCTAGCGAGTCTTAAAGAAGTCCACTGGTATTTTTTTTCTTAGAGGCAAATTTCGATGTTGAAACGTGAATATTTCGGCTTGATTTGGGAGACTCGTGTCGTGCGTGAGCAAGCTGAGTAGTGACGAAATATTCCGAACTCCTTCCTAAGATAGGTATTAGAATGATCGGCATTGCAGAATAGTCGGCCGACTAGCCGGCAATTCGAAAACCGATTACTCGGCTAGTCGGTTAGTCGGCATAATCATAATCAATCATAATCAAAATCATTTATTTAGTTTAGGCTGTTACAAGCACATATGAATGTCTAGAAGCTACGCCATCGGTTCGTATCTCTACGGCGGGAGACCTTGTACTGAGAAGAACCGGCAAGAAACTCAGCAAGGGTTGTTTTTTCTCCCTGTTTTATCATTTATAGAGTCGTCAAGTTGAAAGATGACTTCAGAGATGATTCATGAAGTCACCTTTCATTACATAATGTGAAATTATACATTAATTGTTCACCTGCATTTTTATTGCTGTGTCACACAGTATAAATACAAACAGAGTTATTTATAATAAGTCTAATTAAACATTTACATTTTAAATATCAAAGTAGTTAGGGCAGACTCATCTCCGCTGGCAGCACCCGTTCACGAGCATGACGCATGAACCAGCCATCGCTTCGCTCAACCATATTTTAGGGAACGTAACGACCCGACAAATACTATAGTCGGCCCATCTCTATTAATCACCCCTCTGACCTCCTTCTGTGTTCTGTGGGTGACACAGTAGAACCTTTTTCCTCATACTAACGCTGGTGAAACCGCGGGACACTACCAGTTAATCATATCAGTCTGATTTCTCTCTCAGATCCACACCGGACAGAAACCGTTCAAGTGTGAAATGTGCGGTAAAGGGTTTAAGAACGCGAGCGAGAAGCGAACGCATATCTCCTACGTGCATCTGAAGAAGCCCTGGCCAAAGCGGAATAGGGGGAAACGAAGAACTGATGGGAGACAAGTGAGTATTGGACTGTAACCGACTACCAAAAGAAGCAGATTCTCGGTTCCGATGTATCTAAAGAAGCCCTGGCCTAAACGGAGTAGGGGGAAACGAAGAACTGATGGGAGACAAGGGAGTATTGGACTCTAATCTACTACCAAAAGAAACAGGTTCTCGGTTCCGATGCATCTGAAGAAGCCCTGGCCTAAACGGAGTAGGAGGAAACGAAGAACTGATGGGAGACAAGTGAGTATTGGACTCTAACCGACTACCAAAAGAAGCAGGTTCTCGGTTCCGATGCATCTGAAGAAGCCCTGGCCTAAACGGAGTAGGGGGAAACGAAGAACTGATGGGAGACAAGTGAGTATTGGACTCTAACCGACTACCAAAAGAAGCAGGTTCTCGGTTCCGATGCATCTGAAGAAGCCCTGGCCTAAACGGAGTAGGGGGAAACGAAGAACTGATGGGAGACAAGGGAGTATTGGACTGTAACCGACTACCAAAAGGAGCAGGTTCTTGGTTCGTTATTTTATTAACATATAGTTTTTTTGTTGTTGATCGCGCATATATCCGAAGTCTGTTGACCTATTTTGATGATTATTGTCAATTGGAACTTCTTCGGCGTGTAAATGGAAAAATCCTTTGGAAACAGATGAAAAGTAAATGCGTCACGAGCGTCACACGAATATATATATATATATATATATGTGTGTGTGTGTGTGTGTGTGTGTGTGTGTGTGTGGGATGCGTGCGCAGCTTTTCCCGACGAGCATGAAAGATGGAGTAAAGATGGAAAAACTTAATTAAAGTTAATTTTAATGTGGCGAAATAAAGAAATGTTCAATAGCAAAGTGTAATTTAATTATAATAAAATGACTTACCAGTTAAGGTATATCAGTAAAGTTAGTAGGGTTGTAAAAAGTAAGGTCACACCTTAGGGTTGAAAATTGTTAGGTTTTTTAATGTAAGGTTTCTCTTTGTGAGGTTCAAAAAAGTGTGGTTGGCGAACTTACCTACCAAAAATCAGAATACAATAGGTTTTTAGGGTTCCGTACCTCAAAAGGAAAAAACGGAACCCTTATAGGATCACTTTGTTGTCCGTCCGACCGTCCGTCTGTCAAGGCCGTTTTTCTCAGGAAGGCGTGGAGGCATCAAACTGAAATTTGGGATGTTTTCACGATTTTTACCCTAATTAGTTACTGTAGTTAGTGCACTCGTATATTTGCTCGTAATTCGGCTCTAATCAGCTGATCCACAACAATACCAACAAACCGCCGAAAATACGTCGGCGAACCGCCGTCCTTTTTCCAAAATAGAATCCGAAGGGAAACGTGCGAAGCTGATTTTGAAATTTTTTTTCTAAATGGCTTCGCACGCCTTGTTCATTTAGCCAATGTCAAGTGTTAAATGTAGGTATACAAATACTAATAGCACTCGTGGTCAAAGTAATAAGTCAAGTCAAAGTCAAGTCAATCCACGTTTCCCCATGTTTCATTAAAACTGTGGGGATTTACTAGAACCTCCCCGTCTACCTCTTGAGGGAACGTCGAAAGACACTTTCCGCTATTTTGTTTCACTTGCCAACACTTCTGCATGTTCCCGAACACTTAGTGGTTAATAATCCACCATTATTAGACACTAACATCCGCCACAACACAATTTTTAACAAGAAAAACAAAACTGCTACAGTGACGCTTCCTGATCCCGCCAAAAAGTCCCGATTTTGAATTTAATTTTTAAATCGAATCTATCTTTTTTTTTTAAGATTCTCCTCCCTTTTCAGGGAAGGCAAAGGGAACAATGTATACGGGCATTATATATTTTAAGATTCCACAAATTCTTCAGTTGCGCAGTTGGTTGTAACACAAATCACACCAATTTTATTTAACAATATCCACTGTGAACGAATTTAAGAATATATAAAATAAGACGCCAACCGCACTCGATGAAATCCCACCAAAAACTCCCTATTTTCTTAGTTGCCTCTTTTAAAGAGAAGGCTATGGGCAACGGTCAACAGTCAAAAAGCCGCTGCTTGGGTGGACAAGATGAAAAAATTAAACATTTTTGTCACTTCCGAAGCGGAGGAAAAGAAAATGATCACTTATATCAACGAGGAAATTTAATTTCAAATAAAATGCAGCTTTTTTATGTCACTTTGGAAAAATACACGATTATTCGATATGGGAAAAAATAATACAAAAATCACTTGGTAAATTTAACAGGGCCATCCACCACAACAATAAAGAGCACCTAATTAGTTTTTTTTTTAATAAGTCGAATAAGAACAATGGTAAAAACAATGCTACTACCAACATAACAATGAAGTTTTACAGTTACGTTGACATAAAGCGGTTCGATATCATAGACAAAACATCATACCGACGTGTGCCAGTGCACAGCAACGCCCTGCCCAAAAACAAACATTACAACACTCAATAATAAATTATATTAATAAATAAATATTTCCAACACTCACACCAATTAGTCTAGCCCCAAAGTAAGCACTGTAAGGCTTGTGTTATGGGATACTAGGGTTACGGATAGAATACTTATATTGTACAAATATAAGTATATTTATTAAGAAATACTTATTAAACATCCATGACTGGAGTACAAATGCTCGTATTCATCACACAAACATCTGCCCCCACCGGGATTCGAACCTGGGACCTCTCGAGTCGGCGACACCATGAAACCCGGAGTACGAACCACTTGGCCACGGAAGTCTTCAAAAAAAATAAAGTATAAAATGTCTTTTTTGAAAAAATATTTCCTAAGTTATTCACCCCCTGCTTAGCAAGTTAGACCCTCCTTCAAGTTTATTTAGTGCAAACCAATTTCAACCTTATCAACAAAACCTTAGTATAGTATGTTTGGTGCAAACCGCCATGAGTAAATGAATGTATTTATATCATTCAGTAATGATTGTGAGATTATTTAATTAATTAATCGAGAATTGTCATACAACTATCTAAATTGAAGATGAGAATGGGATAGGTAAAAAGAAATTGTAATTTTTAATATGGGTGAACTTATTGTGCCTAAAATAAACATTTATTATTATTGTTATTATATCTACAGGAAGCCACCGTGGATGACGAAGAGGTAGAATTTGAAGACGAAGAAGAAATCGACAACAGCAACTAGGGACGGCAGAAGTTAATTAGATCTTTAAATAATTCATAACAATGAGGGTTTTCTAGAATGACGGCGCCAGGTGGCAACACTGAGACGAAAAGTCTACTCATCCGTCAAATCACCCATGTCAATTTTTTATAATAAATTAGTTTTAGTTATCCTCTGGTTTTATTTCAGTGAAGCCTGCTTCCAATATTTGACGAGTAGTAATGTTCGACGCGGCTAATTGGGCCGTGGTAGCATAATGGTCAGTGCATTCGCCCGGATAGCGAAGGATGCGGGTTCGAGTCCCGTCCGCTGCCTGGTCCGCTGGGATTTTTTTTCTAGTAAACTTTTTTTTTTCTAGTAAACTTTTCTTTAGAGTAGTAATGTAGTTTTGTGTTTAGATCTGAAAAAATTAGCCGATCCGAATTAGCCAAAATCATAGTATCTCTCTCTCCTACTAAGATATTAAGTGGTAACACCTACGAAACTAACAACAGCAATGTCGCCGTACTCATCAATTTGGCTCGATATTTTTAATTCCATTGTTAATTTTTCAAAAGAAAATAATTTCAAACGTGCAGTGCCGTCTTTGACCTATAGGAGGCCCCGGGCATATTAGGATAATGGGGCCCCTATGACTTCCGTTTGGTGATTTAACAGGAACTAGGGATTTTGTATTTGATCTGAGGGGGCCACCTATCGATCGCGGGGCCCTGGGCACTTGCCCAAATTGCCCACTGGGTAAGACGGGTCTGCAAACATGTTATTTTATCTACCGCATTAATAGAAGTTTTGAATCCAATAACTAAACAGGCAGTTGCAGTTCGTGCCTTATAGGATTCAGGCAGCCAGTCATCTTTCATTACAAAATCATTGCAACAAAAATTATCATTGCAAACAAAACCCACTTCAATTAACGTTGTTGGAATTGGAAATAATTCAGTAAATAAAGTTAACGAAAGTTGTGTTATCCAATCAAAATATCATAATTATTGCGAAAATCTACATTGCTTTGTTCTAGAGAAACTTACAGGATATCTGCCAAAGGTACCAATAAGTCTATCTGAGTTAAACATACCTTTTCAATATAAATTAGCAGAATCCAATTTTGACCAACTCTGCCCTATTGATTTACCGATAGGGGCAGACCTCTTTTGGAATATTTTATTATGTGAACAAAAACCATTGGGTAAAAATAAACCTAATCTTCAAAATTCTAAATTAGGCTGGCTTATTAGTGGCTCTTTCAATTTAGATTTAGATCCATTATTTTTTACTAGGTGCAATAGTTTTGCTGTGTTTAAATGTCTCAAGAAGAACAGATTTAATGGTCTCCGAAGTTAATGAAGATGAGTTATCTGAAGATTTTTGAGTGTAAAGTTTAAGAATAGTTGATATTATTAATTGTAAAATACTGTCTGACTGTAATAAAGATTAAATTTGTTTTTCCTGCTTGTTATAAGGTAATTTAAAAACATCAGCATAAGTTTTTTTTTATATTTGGCATTTTTTTTTTTCTATTTCTTCCTTCTTCTTAGGGCATTCAGTACCCTTACCCGAACTCCACGAATGACTACAGTGATCTCTGTCAGAATAGCCGGTATATTGCAATTAACTTGGAACTCTGAAAGGGATTTGGTATTGTTCAAAGCCATGTTGGCTAAGCCTGGTCGCTCAAAAATGGCAGCAACTTTGTATCGATTAATTCGTTTGATCCCCTTATTGTGTCGTTTAAGGACAGTACATGAGATGCCTATCACCAATGGACTTAGATTCTGTAGTACTATCGTAAATTACGAGGTATTAAAAGTTGCCCCCGTCCTCAGGATATTGCCTACAATAATTTTCAATTTTATAGGGCTTATACTTATCGGTTTCATTTTCGTCCGAGTCCGACCCGAAGGAACCGGATCCCCGTCTCATTTCGGTTTCTTCCTCTTCCCCATTATTAATTTACATATATACTTATTTAATTATATACAAAGGGCTATTTATAATAACTTATAATCTTATTTACAAAAGTTTTATAAGAGTTTTCAAAAAACGCGCCTTGTCGTCTTAAAGTTTTCCCGCCCTTATTTCTATGAACAAACAAACTGGCTGTCACAAAATATTCTCGCCATTTTATTTCATGCCAACACTTCACTTGGCTAATCGTTTTAGCTATTTTTAAACTGAAATTTCTTTCCTTTTTTTTTGTTCAGTGGCTGTTTCCGTTTTACACAGAAATTTCGCCAATATCCCGTAGTGAGGTTTTCTTTCTTTAAAAAGGCATGATAAGGACAGACTGTTTTCAAGTTTACAAATGGGATCTACGAATGGCAGAGTGAAGTGCCGGCATTATATTCGACAAATACAAATTAAATGTATACTGGTATCGATTCTGGCATGATTCTCTAAACCTAAACTTAAAATTGACAACAGTATCCTTGTCATTGGGCCCAATTCTGGCGTGCCAACTTATATCTAAAACTAACTAAAATTAGATATAGAGTTGTCAAATTCAATTTCGTATTCTGTAATGACACTCTATCTCTAAATTTAAAATTACCTCAGATTTAGATGATTAAATGGTATTCTGAAACGCGTTCTAAATGTCATATTTTCTCTAAAATTAGAAATGTCACACTAAATTTAAGAAGGACCTATGGAGGTCCTCTCTAAATTTAAATGTGAATAATTGGGGCCAAATATCACGTAAATGATTGCTGTACTTAAGTTTTGAACTTGTTGTTAAGGTTGGATATGGGTTATAATGAACAACGATGGTAATAATAATATATTAGCTAGATCTTTTTTTTTTTTAAAAGGTAGGTGGATCTATGTTACGATGCGGATTTATTATAAGCTTAATGTGTCCTGCTTATAATAAATCCGAGCTGCAGCGAGCAGCAACATAGGAACTCGATTTAATTTATTTTGGGTTGGTCACCCATCCTAAGATCGGCCATTGTGAAAATTGCTTAACATTCACGATCGCCGAACGAAAGCGTTACACTTGCGCTATTGTGGTCTTTCGTAGGTAATGTACACGTATATCTTGTATAAAATACTAAATAATTTAAGGTAAAATCTTATAGAACATAAATAAAAATCCACTTCATATAAAAACAACCTAAAAAGGTAAAAAATCTATGTACTAATTCTATAAGTAATACTTACAGATCCTACTTACATCTAAAGTACATAGTCAAATAATTAACAAGATAATAGAGGTATGGTGTCAGTGATTTGCATTCCATCCAAATGTTGTTTTGTCTTTAAATGAAGGTACTTTAGACTTTAATGTATTATTTGTTCCTTTGTTTTATGTGGTTTTGTTTCTATGAAGCAGTTTTAATACCTTTTAGTTAGAAATGTTTTTATTTCCAACTTTTTATAAGCTAATCATATTTCTTAAAATAACCAAACGAAATAAGTACCTACTGTTTGTAATTGAAAAGTTTGTTTTTATATATCCTAAACTGGGCATCTTCACCAAATGAATAATTGGGGTGATCTCGCCAAAAACTGATAGAAACAAAAAAGATAAAAATAGGTTACGCATCTCGGATTATACAATAAATGAGAATAAAATCTTCACAAAACAGCCGAAGGGATAATTTTACAACCTCTTACCGAAACCGAAATTATAGGTATTAGATAGATACGCTGGTTTGGGAATTTACGATGCGAGAAATTTTCAAGGATGGTTTACGTTAGACCCTGTCGGCCGTAGCAGAGTTAACTAATCATCATCATCATCATCAGCCTATTAATGTCCCCATTGCTGGGGCACAGGCCTTCCCTATGGATGAAATAGAGAGATTAGGCCATGACCCACCACGCAGGCCCAGTGCGGATTGGCGGGTGCTAACGACTGCAGATGCAGCCGGGAGAACGAGGAACCCGACATAGAAGATGTTTGGTCACCCATCCAATGACCGACCACTGCGAAAGTTGCTTAACTTCAACGATCGCAGCCGAACGAGCTAATCATCTGCGCCATCGAACTTCTCTAGTTAACTAATATTAAATAATTTATTTTACATGGATTATGTCCATAATCCATGTAAAATATAACATTCACGCTATTTATACGCTATATGCTCGGTTGTCATGCAGTAACCGACTGACAACCGAGCAACAAATGAAACAACGGTCGGAAAAAACTTGGTCCCGCCTCGGCTCGACCACGGCCCGTTGCATGAATACAGCGCTGGCGCGGTGCCGCCGGGCAATCGTAGTGATACATCAGACAAAACAATAAACGTTTTTGCTCGGACGAGTACACTTACCTTATTTACTTCATCTGAATGATTAGACTGCATCACGGCGCAATGGTACCTACCTAATTGCTCGTTCGATGCACTTCTTTGTAATTTTTTTTCGTCACATCGTTTAGCCCAAGTAAATACTTGGCTTTTTCAAAGAAAAAATATGATTCCTTAAGTTCTCCCCGCAGATTACATTTCTTCAAGTTCTTATTTTTCCCCAAAATAAGGATAAACACTCCCAATCTAGAAACCCTAAGTACCACAGAGTAAGCAAGTATTCACTCTTTAATATTATTGATTCATAATTTCTCATACAGTAAAATAACAAAGTTATGTTAAGTTTTTATATTTCAAAGATGATGAAGAACAACAAAGATTTACTTAAATAAAATAAAAAAAATAAGTCAAAATCACTGAATAATAAGTAATTATTGCTAATTTGAGTAAACCGATAATTACCGGTTCAATGCTTTTACATAATCTGTGAATTCAATTTAGATGCTCGTTTACAGCTGTCAACTGTTCTCTTAATTTAGTTAGCAATTTCAGAATACCAATTCTCTAACCCTAAACTAAAATTAGCACTCTAATTTTAAGTTTAGGTTTAGAAAATGTAACGCCAGAATTGGTCCCATTTTCTACATACAATGAAAAGGAGAGATTGATGTTAAAACTAAATTTAACATCAGTCTCGTGAGTGAGATATGAGATAAAACTTAACGCATTCATAGTCGATGGTTTTCGATCTCCATCGGTTTTTAGTTGCTAAGCTGAGGGCCTCCCGTAGTAAATTATATTCGATATCTTTGTCCTTGCCTTTATTAAATAAATAGAGCGGGATAGGATATAAATGTTTTTAATTTGTATGTATATAAAGTTCGGCTAAATTAGAAATACTCGAACTCAAAAAAGCTTCATCAGTTTATCTCTTTCTATCATATGCGATAAACTCGTTCCAAAGAGAAATAACAAAACCGACAAAGCGTTCTCGTAATTTATTAGGCCTATACAGCAGTATAACGACTGACAGCTGAATAATTGCTTTGCATTTTTAAAAAAGCCGTAAAACTTACATTATATACATAATTTCGATGTCTAACCAGTTTCATAGAAATGATAACTAAGATTTTCAAATGAAATTATGTGCCCTTATCGCTTTAGGCCACCTTCTCAAAAGATTAAAAAAAATATTTAACATAAGTTTTGACTGCTTTCCGAAGATTTAACAAGTTCTAAATATGAGGTGCTGCGTCCCTGGATGTAAAAATGACTCGAGATACAGCTCCAAGTCCCTAGGAATCACATTTCATGTGTTAGTCTTCCAAATTAACTAAGTCTGTTGTCAATAGTCTCTTGTTATTGGATAATACCTGCTTCTTTGCGTTTCAGATTTCCCAATGAACCATCTTTGAGGACGATTTGGTTACAATCTCTTGGTAAGAAGGAGACTTGGGAGCCCAAAGAGAGAAGTACTGTGTGCTCTGAGCATTTTCTCTGTAGTGATATGTACGTAACTAAGAATGGGCTGCGTAAAATACGGACTGGTGCTGTGCCTTTAATATTACAGGTAATTTATTGTTAACATCATTTGTGTAACTTGTAAGTATTTTTTTATATAAGACTAACTGTGCCCCTCGGTGTTACCCGCGGTTTATTAGAGATATTTGCCTGCAGTAAAGCTCCCCGTCCCATATTTCCTGTAGCCTGTGTGTTAATCCAGGGTGTCAGCCAACTCCATACTAAATTTTATTAAAATCGCTCCAGCCGCTTAAACGTGAAGTAGTTACAAACATACACACACTCGCAAACTTTCACCTTTATAATATTAGTGTGATAGTATCGGTGACTCATACAAATACACCTGGCGTAGCGGCTGTTCCTAAGACACTGTAACTCACTGGTTCTTAACCGATGGTCTCTGGAAGGAACCAAAGCCTGGGGGGTTGCTGAGAATTGTAAGTATTGGTAGCAATCCCTCGTCATTTAAAGGTTGAGGACCACTATTGTAACTATTTAAAGTTAGGCAAATTGTGATACTTTTATTAATAGAAACTGGGAGAAATTATTTTCTTATGATGCAAACTTTTACCCCCTTATTTCACCACTGTCCAGTTTAATTTTCATGGCAAAAAGAAGACTATGTCCTTTCCCATTCTCCTTTGCCCTTAATCATAACTTTGATCGTAGTTAAGTTTATTTTTTTTTTCTAGTAAACATTTCTTTTGATCTTAGTAGTTATGAATTTGCTATATTGGATTTTTGCAGGATACAAGCAACTGTGAATATTGGGAGCCAGCTGCTTCAAAAGTAAGTAAAATTTGATGTAGTTCATTGTATTTTTGTCTCTTGCTATATTAGATTTGTATGGCCAAGTAATAGCATGATTTTTAGTGCAGTAGCCCAGGCAGCGATGATTGTTCAACTCTAGCTTTATCATCGTCATCATCAGCCTATTAATGTCCCCACTGCTGGGACACAGGCCTTCCTATGGATGAAATAAGTAGGCTGAGCTGTGACATACCACACAGGCCCACTGCAGATTGGTGGGTGCTAATGCCTGCAGATGCAGCCGGAACCAACGACTTAACTTGCCTTCTGAAGCATAGCAGAGCTTGAGATAATAACTTTTTGTTCACCCATCCAATGACTGACGATTACGAAAGTTGCTTAACTATCACGATCACAGACCAAATGCACTAACCACCTCGCCCTTGAGCTCCACTGCACCATCGACCTCCATCTTAACACCATGGATTTTTTTCTAAACAAAGTTTCTTTGTATATATATAGATAAGTAATTTTTTAATATGTAATTTCAAAGAAATAAATTCTTTATTAATGAATTGAAAACAGTGATGACAACTTAGCTACTTTATAGCTAGATCTGTTAATAAGTTGGTGACACACAGCTACCAATCAATAAAAAAAGACCCCCACAACAATGGCTAACGAGAGCCGATGTCTGGGTCTCCGGTGATGCTGTAAGATCTGCGACCAACAGCATACACACAAAAAAAAATTTTGCTATCCTTTTGACTACTTTTTTTTAATTCGTTAATTGATTTTCAGAATTTGTGACTTTATGACCTACTGTAACATTTAGCCACTTCTAGCAGTATTTGTAAGATGTTTAGCAACTGATCAAAGCTAGTAGTTGGCAACACTGATTGAAAGCTATCTCTCTATGTATGCATCTATAAATTTATACTCATTTGCAGGTGTGCCGAATATGTCTAGTGATGGACAAAAAGCTATTCCCAATCAAGACACATACGTTTGAAACAGCATATGAACATTTGACAGGACAGTCGGTAAGTCATTAACTTTGTAAGTTTATATGAATAGTGTTAAACAATCTCATTTCCTGCCTGATGGTTAGCAGCCATAAAACTATTTCATGTGAAACATGTTATTGCGCACGTAAAACCGATTTATGGCGTGGCGACCCTCGCTCGTACAATGCAATATATTATTTATATGCTATGGTGGCTGCTTACCATATGCTTAGTTTGCCACCCATTTTACATTTATTTTGATGTTTTGGTTGATTTTTGTCTGTTTTTTATTTAATAAAAAAATATGTGAGCCACCACGGGACGCCTGGCAGATGTAAAACACTGCCAGGTTTACGATAAATACTCTCGGAGAATTGCTCGGGATGCGTGCGGTAAAAAATGACATAGAACCTGCCTCGAAGGGCGCTGGTGCCGTACTGATCGGCGAGTAGTTGAGCACTGGTATCAACGATATTAAATACCCTAGATACACCAACACGAACAAAATCATGCCCGAAACCTGTCCACAAGGTACATTGGACGATCCACGGAGCTCCGTAAGATGATCGCGTAGTCTAAACAATATGAGGCATTATTTAAACATTGAAAATCACCTTTAAAGCATACTGTATAAGGTCTTAATTAAAACGCACGCGTCACAGATTCATGACAGTCCGATATGTAAGCTCGTAAAACTTTACGACTTATTGCTATATGAAGAACAATAAAGACCTTATTTCTTTGACTATACGCGCAATTCTGAATGCGCTGTTAGTAATATGGCAGGTACGGTCCGGTACGGTACGGGGAAAAGAGACGGCTATATTATCGACCATGCATTTGAATATCACAAATATTTTCTATTAAATCAGTTTATAGTAAGTATTAAAACAAAATTTACTTCAAATGCGTTAAATTAACAAACATTGATTAGATACCTGTCGAAAAAACGACATTTTACATTCTTTATGTATTTCTTTCGCCTGATTTCACGGAGCTCCGCGCGTGTCTGTGAATCAAGAAGTGCTTGAGTCGTGTTCAAGCACTTCTTGATTGGGACACATTTTGAGCGCTCGTGGTGTATCTAGGGTATTTAATATCGTTGACTGGTATATATTGCATTATTACGGGCTCGCTACGCCAGAAATCGGTTTTACGTGCGCCAAAAGATGTTTCACATCATAAAATCTTGCGTAGTTTAGGACCTATTGTACCGAATGCATCACTCTGCTGATCTGCTTTGATAAATTCTTGTATTGGATAGTACATTTATTAGTGCATTTATCGAGGAAGGCTATAGGCTATATAACAACGGTTAAAGTTACAGAAAAATCATGTAGAACGGAATTGTTCCCCTTTAAGAATATTTTTTTTATATATTTTTTTTTCATACAAAAAACGGCGAACGACGAACTTACACAGATAACAGTATAAATATTTCATATGGCAGTTGTTTTAATCAATGGCTAGATAGCTAGTCCGTTTTTTCCTCTAAAAATTGATATAAGAATGTAGGTGATAGCCAAATTAATGGCGCATGGGGCACCAGTCCGACTTTCGTATGGTAAATCGACCGACTTTCGGTCGCGTGCCGCATGTCGGGGTAATGTCAGAAACCAAAATTTGGTCGATGGCCGCCTGAGAGGTTAGGCGGTGCATAAGGCATAGGGGAATGGAGCAGCGCACGCATCACTCATATATATATATATATATATGTTTTTTTTAACAACCAATACCAAACTGCTCATTCACTATTTTGAATCTTTAGAAAATAAGGTACACCTGGCAAAAGAGGGACTGTCCAACTACTGGTTCAGTATTGTTAACAGAAATTTATCTTTTTGGAGTAATCCATAGTATTTTATTTTATTTTTATTTAAGCTTTTAACTGCTGGATGTTTAAATCTAAAGAAAATATTACTAGATCTTCTTTGAAAAGTTTAATGCTTTAAAAGGTATTTTCGTTTGACATTGTGGGTTACCTTCAAAGCAAAGAGATGGTGCTGCTTTGCAGCCTAAGAAATACTAGAAGAAATTCGAATTCACTATCATTAAGGTCGCGGTAGCATAATTGGTAAGTGCATCCGCCCGGATAGCGGAGGATGTGGGTTCGAGTCCCGTCTGCTGCCTGGGCCGCGTGGATTTTTGAAGTGAAAACTTCTTTAGCGGCGACACCATTTTTGTAATGGGTAAAAAATGTTAAACTCGCGTCAGGACACGTGGCCTGATCGAAAATTCGTAAGACGAAAACATTAAAATTGGAAAGGTTTTTGACTTTCAATATATTGGACGGAACTGTAATATTTTATTTTATCGTATTATAATAATAAGTCTCTAACTAGGACTTCCAGGTGGCAGCTTTATTGCGAAGAAATTGCATTTTTTTTTACAAAAGATGTCGCTAGGTGCGTTTAAATGTGATTCATGTAAGTTGATTTTTCTGAGAGATAAACTTTTTAATGTAATATAAATTGTCATGTTTGTGTACGATAGCGCAATAAATAATAATTGTATTCTACCACATAAATGATAGTACTTTTATACTGATAATTAAATCAATTCGTGCAAAATTATTCCCTAACATTCCAAAATATCAAAAATGCACAATGTTAATATTCAAGTTTTCACTTCTGCCAGCACTCCCGCAGGGCAACCCGTTGCTTTTTGTTGTATTAAAACAAAAAAATCCTTAAAAAATATCATGAAATTAATGTGAATAAATTCATCATTATGAATTTTAGATTGTTTGTTTCAGATATCGGCAGAAACCCGATTACCTCAAAAATTATGTGCAGAATGTACCCAGAGGTTGCAAAACTGCAATAACTTTCGTATCAAAAGTTTGAGAGCCAACACTCTCATGATGGGGTTACTTAAGAAACACGACCACGTAAGTTTAAATGTCAAAGTTCAAGACCCCTTTTAATTAAAAAAAATGTGTGTACGGACCACAGATCTGAAGTGAAACTTCTTTTCTTAAATAACCAACCTAACATTAGGCGGTGCATAAGGCATAAGGTATTGGAGCAGTGCACGCATCACTCATATGAGAAGCTGGCGAACAAAACGGTATAATTACATAATATTAAATTTTACAAGAGTTGTATAAAACTGAATGACATACCTCCAGTGAACTTTTAGCATGGTTTTTAATTTATAATTTTTGTAATTTAAACACTGTTTTAGGCGGTTTTGATTGAAAATAATTTGAGATTCAAATTCAACGGTCCCGAAACCTCAGCACTGAAAAAAAAGTAGTTTGACTAGATGCGTAATTATACCGTTTTGTTCGCCAGCTCCTTATATCTTATAAAATTCTCGTGTCGCGGTGTTTGTGGTTAAACTCCTCAGAAACGGCTTTCCTGATTCTCATGAAATTTTGTGTGCATATTGGGTAGGTCTGAAAATCGGACAACATCTATTTTTCATCCCCCTAAATGTTAAGGGTAATCCACCCCTAAATTATTTCTTTTCAATTTTAGATAAAAAAAAATCATTTTTTATGATACATCATACAAAAATACATACATCCCTAAATTTTCAACTTTCTACCACCAACCCCTATTTTTTTATGGTGGTACGAAGTTCGCTGGGTCAGCTAGTATATATATAAAGAGCTACGCACGCATTCTCCCCGACACCATACATATATATGTGACGCTCGTGACGCTTTTCCGTTTCATCTTTTCCATAGGATTTTTCCATTTACACCCCATCTAAATAGAAATTTCACTTTAAAAAAAAACACGTTTCGTCCACAGTTAACCATCAAAAACATACAGTCAATAAACCGCGAGAATAACCAGCTCTCATCAAATCTTACCACAAGCACTCGAACCGATCACTTTGACTTACTTATAATAGAAGACAACAAAGCCGAAGCAGAATGTCTAGAAAATGACCAGTTAATCGAAGATTTTAAAAGCGAAGAACAATTGGTTAAAGAAGAAATTTCTGTACCAGCCCCAGATGTAGTCACAGTTAATAACGAAGAAAGCGCCGTCTACGATCCGGCCCCTGAAGAAGAAAATTCCAACCACGAAGATTTCGACAATACTAAAGACCTAGATTATTCTTCAGATGACAGTCTTCCATTAGAACTGGCAAAATTGAAAAGTCGTGGTGGCGGCAAGACAAAGAAAGCTAGGTGCATTAGAAAGAGAAAAAAGACTGAGAAGATAATACCGGATACTCCCAAAATAGACAGGCGAAGGAAACCTTTCCTGAACGATGACTTGAATGAAACTTTGTTCACTATAACCGATTTGACTGTCGAAGAACAGATTGCTGATGTAGAGAAGAGACGGGACAGCTCTAACTTTAAGAATAGCATATATAAATGTTTGGAGTGTTATAAAGGATTTTTGGATGAAGACGCTTATAATTCGCACATGTCCAGGCACACTACGGTAAGTCCGATTTAAAGTTGCATCACACATTTGCCACAAATTCATCTATGTCTCATGGTCTTCTTCTTTTTCTTTTTTGTTTTATTTTTCAGTTTCATTTTCATTTTGGGCTGATAGTTTTTAAGCATTAGTTTTAAACGTCAAATATTATACTTAGAGTAAAATAATCATGCATGCTGCATTTGTCAAAATTTTATTTTCAATAAGTTTATGTAGATGATTAAATAATGTCTATTCAATTAAATGAATTTCTTATTTTAGGGAGGAAGTTGATATAGATAAAGTGATTAATCAAATATGTTTTTATATTCAATTTGTTCGTTCAGGAATGCGGTGACCACCGTTGCAACATATGCAAGACCCATTTCAAACATCCCCACGCACTCCGTAAGCACATAACGGCTCATCATACGCAAAGATTTAGTTGTAACCAATGTCTGTATGTCACTACACATAGACAATCTGCGAGGTTACACGAGCGATGGCATAAAGGAACAAAATATAAATGTCCTCATTGCACCGATGAATTTGTGTAAGTAATATTTTTAAAAGAATCTCTTGAATCTATTAGACAAGTCCGTCCGTCTGTCTGTGGTGCTGTTTCAGCGGCCAAACTGTAAGAGATAGATAATGAGAATATTTAAGTTATAAGTTAAGAATAGTCTGATAAGACTACAAACCGGATTTGAGTAACGTAGCACTTCCGGTTTTCGAGAAATCAGATTTTGGTGAACATTTGGTTCACTGGTTTGCTAGTTCTATTTATTTTGCAACTTATGTACGAGTATGTATGTATCTACTAATTGGTGCCCAGAACTTGGTTTGCATGGAAAAAAATATTTCCCGATACCAACTGTTTTCACTACCTCCGTGGCCGAGTGGTTTGTACGCCGGGTTCAAGGTGTCGCCTAATTGAGAGGTCCCGGGTTCGAATCCCGGTGGGGGCAGATGTTTGTGTGATGAATGCGAGCATTTTTACTACAGTCATGGATGTTTAATATGTATTTCTATATAAAATACACTTATATTTATATATATCAGTATATGTATTCTATCCATTGCCCTAGTATCCCATTACACAAGCCTACAGTGCTTACTTTGGGGCTAGGCTAATTGGTGTGAGTATTGAAAATATTTATTTATTATTATTATTAACTTTCACATTAAGTAATATTAATTGGGATTTTAATAAAGTTTTTTTGGAAATAATTTTAACTACAACTTCGTTTTACAGCAAATTCACAACATATATGGGTCATATTAGAATAAAACACCCTTCAGATTTCGTATGTCAACTCTGTGGGTATTCTTTCGTAAGTGAGAAAGGCATAATGTTACACAAAAAGCTTAAACATCGACAGGAAAATATCACGGTGAGTAAAGGATACTAGCATTTAACGCTATCGGCTTAAGGTACAAAGTCGGTTCTTTCGTAATAATGATTTCATTGCTTTAGCACCCGTTCTCGAGCATGACTCATTAACATAAATATACATAATATAAAGTATAGCAACCGCTTCGCTCGCTATATTTTTTTTATGGATAGATCCGACAGATGACTCCACCCCACCTGATGTTAAGTGACGGTGAAGTTCAGATGAGATTTTGTTTTAATTTGGAGATTCCTTCAGGAAACTCATTTTTTTTCGGAAGAAAATGTATACTATGCCCTAATTCAGATTATTAACTACATGTGTGCCAAATGTCATCGAAATTAGCTCAGCTGTTTTTGCGTGGTTGAGTTACAAACGGTGCCAACGCGGCTACGTGGGTGTTTTTTCATAGCGAGGTAGGCAAATGACTCTACCCCACCTGATGTTAAGAGCCCTTTCACATTTTTTGCAAAAAATCGTAATTTTTGAACGCCTCGTTTAACTCCTTAGAAAAGATTTTGACTATTTCCAATAAAAGTAAACAGTAGATTTATTCTTCCCATTGTAAGTTAATGTAGAATATTTGCAAATACTATTTTTTTGTACTGATCGTTATACTGCAGCTAGTTTACGGAAAAAACGATAATATGCACAACTTCAAACGCCTCAATCTCTCAATAATGTTCAATAAATTAGATCAAACTAATTACAACGATATCAGAAATATGTGTTTGTTGTAACATAATGTATTAGAATTTTGATTTTCCATCTCATTAATTGTCAAAAAAAACATCTAACCTCCGTGAGCATTCCCAAATAATAATGCAGGTTTACCTCATATTTTGATATTGAAATAAATAGAATTACTATCTAAAACTTACAAAAAACTAATCTTCTATCATTGAACTACTGAAATAGGTATAGGTTTTTATAATTTGTTCATTAATAATTATTTTATAAGACTCGAAACATCACCCGTAAAATGCAATATATACTAGTGCAAATCTACCTAAATCAGTACGGCAGCGGCGCAATTTTGTAAAAGGGCTCTTAAGTGGTGATAAAGTCCAAACGCGAAGATAGCTGGTACAGCAGTTATAAACTGCTACACCAACTATCGTCACCTTGCCGGCCTGCAGAAATGCTTCTTCACGCCTCTCTTAAAGGATCCCAGATTGTAGGAAGGATGGAACACGTGCGCGGACAACGTATTCCACTTACGAATAGTACGACAAAGAAATGAGTGGGTGAAGCCCTAGATGACACTCTGGTGTCGGGAGCGATTTAATAGGCTATTTGACAGAATGAAAAATAATGTACCAATGAGGGCTATCGCGTCTGAAACCGCCGCTAGAGGCGCTTGTGTTGCGTGAGGTCTCCGAAATGTCAAATGTTATAGCTTGCGGGTTGACTACGCGGTTTTTTTCTAATTAAAATAATAGTTGTGAATATTTGGTAATAAATCAGACTTATTATGGCAAATATAAGTTACGTGTCAATGATTGTCAGTTATTTAAAAGCGGAGCTAAGAAAAAATATTGTCCTTCTTTTTTCCGAACAAAACGGGACTGCGCAACACTGTGGCATGGGCGATTATGTTTAAGATACGATTCTTTTGTATTAAAATGTAAACTTTGATATCACGAGCGTATTTACTAACTTTAAAAGTTAGACTTCAGGACCTCACTGAACAGTGGCGCCATCTGGTGAGACAAAAAACGATAGCCCTCATTGTTGGCATCTGTATTTAATATGAATATTAGCAGCGATATTAATATTGTAAAAGAACAAATAATTAATAACTTTTCAATAAAATCATTAAATAGAAATGACGTTACATTGTATCGTTTGGCGTTTTAATAAGAGTCGTGAGACGCCATAATGTCCAGAGAAACGTTTTCGCGGTACGTAGATCCTAAAAGTAGTATTATTTGAATACGGATGATGACTATTTTTTTTCTTCGTTTATCAGGTAGATTATCAAAAAGTATTGGACACGTATTTTTTCTTTTTTCACATAATATAAACATTGCAGAGACATATTGATTTGAAAAGTCGCATGACGTCACGTTTTGGTACAATTTTCACTGAAAAGTGACGTCACGAGCCTCTACTCCCAAACTTTGACACGCTATAACTTTATCATTTTTTAGTTGATTGCCCAAAGAAAAATACGTGTCCATTATTTTTTGATCATCTAACTGACGGACTAAATAGAATTTCGTGTACTGTACCCCGTCCTCACCCCTATTAATGTATGACAGTTAAAATTTTTAAGGTTACATAAATGCACAATTATTGAGTTAACTATCAATTAAAAATATATGCATTTTATTCTAAAGAAAATTTACTAGAAAAAAATCCACGCGTATCAGGCAACAGGCGGCACTGCTGTCCAATCTACGTGGTTTTCTTTCTAGTAAAATTTTCTTTAGGTTTAAACACCTAGCTTAAAAAAATCCAAAAATATAATAAATACATTGGTTTTTTTTGCGGAAATATAAAGTTTTCGGAATGATTTAGTGTACTTTCTCAGGTAACTCAAAATTTTGCAAATATATAATTAACAAATTAAAAGTGATATGATAACATAACTCTATAACGAACGCCGCTAAAACATGGTTCTAAACTCATACAACTAAACTTCAATACTAACGCGATATGCAAACAGACAAAACAACATACTTTGACAAATCAAATACAGGGTGTAAAAAATCCGTTAACGAAGTCGAAGGCCACGTATTTTCTACATAATGACGATAACTTTTTTCTTGTGGACCATACCTGGGAAATGTCACATTTTTTTTTCAAGATTTATATTATATTTTCAAAATGTTATTTAGAAACTTTTTTATCGAAGCACTTACACACACACACATACACACAGGCACATTGTTTGCGAAACTCCATAATAGGGCGCCGTGCTATACATGCGTACTGGAAAAAAAAATGATTTTTTTACCTTAAAAATACAAATGTTTCCCACGTATAATACTTTGTAATATTACTTGTTTGGGTGTATAGGATGCAGTTTTAGTCTTTGTCATAGGTTTTTTTACATCCTGTATCTGCAAATGATTCGGCTATCCATTCAATGGGCACGATAATGTTATACGGAAATTCCAACCAATCCCGTGATCGGGTGATGTGTTGATCACAGTTTTTTCGCTCCGCTCATCTGATCGCATTTTGTGTGGAACCACTTTTTAGCGCACTTCGTATTCCATGTAATTTCTAATTCATTGTAAATAATAGTATAAATATTTGTTTTACAAATTGCTTTTTAGATACCCGAAGATGGGCCATTATGTGAGCTGTGTAACTTAAGGTTCATAAACACTGAAGCTTTAAAACGCCATACAAGCGTCTCCGCTCGCCATCAAACCATAGACAAACAGGATAGAGAGCCGAACAAGCCGAAGGCGAGGAAACAAGAGATAAGAGACAGGGAGAAGAGAAAAAGAGATGAAGAGAGACCTGAAGGGCCTATACCTTGTGAACAAGTAAGTTGTATTATATTTTATATTATTTTCATTTGTAATGGAAAGTGATATTATGAGTTACCTCATAATGAAGTCCTTTTTTAATTTGACGACTCTGTATATAATACAGTGAGAAAAAAACAGCCCTTGCTGAGTTTCTTGCCGGTTCTTCTCAGTACAAGGTCTCCCGCCATAGATTTGCGAACCGATGGCGTAGCTTTTCGACATTCACAAGTGCTTGTAACAGCCTAGACCGAATAAACGATATTGAATTTTGAATTGTTTGTTTTTTGAATTGAATACCATTTGTCGTTCAACGAACAAACACAAAACATGGAGTAACTAATCCAAGCTTATTCTTTGTTTATTAATAAAGGGCATTAAGTTTAACAACTTTTTGAACTCCTTCTGTCTCACTCAAACCCGCGGCGCCGCGTAGATTAGCTTAAGTTATCACTTCTGTCTTGCGTCCCGAGACGCAAACGATTTATTTTTATTTTTGTTGGTTGTTTTCTTAGTGCGGCGTCCAACTAGAAGATTCCAGAGCATACCACAGCCACTTCAGACGAATGCACCCGGACAAGAACCGAACCAACTACCCCTCGATGAAGTCGCCTTGCATGTGCGAAGTGTGCGGTAGAATGTTCCAGGTAGGTTTATTTATGTTTAATATCATATGGTATTTGTCACTTTTGTTTCGTACGTACTCGACACCGTTCATTTACACTTAGTCGTTTACCCGAATTCCATTGGCACTCGTATTCGGGCTAACAACCAAGTCTAATCGCGTCATAAATATGGCTTCGTGCACCCCAATACGGGATGGGGTGTAATCGAGCCATTACAAACATCACAAACTTTCGCATTTATCATATTTAAGGTAAGAAGAATTAGTAGGATAAGATAGGGATTCTTAATTACGATGTGAAAATAAATATTTCCAACACTCACAGCAATTAGCCTAGTCCCAAAGTAAACACTGTAAAGCTTGTGTTATGGGATGATACGGCAACGGATAGAATACATATACTGTACATATATAAGTATATTTTTATAGAAATACGTATTAAAACATCCATGGTTGAAGTACAAATGCTCGTATTCATCACACAAACATCTGCCCCCACCGGGATTCGAACCCGGGACCTCTCGAGTCGGCTACACTATGAAACCCGGCGTACAAACCACTCGGCCACGGAGGTCATGTAATAATTAAATATTTTTTTTCTCTCTTTCTTTATTTGAGGAGCTCCTTGGCGCAAGTGGTTAGCGTGTTCGGCTGCGATCGTTGAAGTTAATTAACTTTCGCAGTGGTTGGTCATTGGATGGGTGACCAAAAAATTTACTATCTCGAGCTCCTCCGTGCTTCGGAAGGCACGTTAAGCCGTTGGTCCCGGCTGCAGTCGTTAGCACCCGCCAGTCCGCACTTGGCCCGCGTGGTGGGTCATGGCCCAAAACTCCCTATTCCATTCATAGGGAAGGCCTGTGCCCCAGCAGCGGGGACATTAATAGGCTGATGATGATGATGATTTGTTCTCTTAGAGTCAAGCCCTCCTCAAAGACCACCGCTGGGTACACACGGGCGAACGTCCATTCTCCTGTGAATCTTGTGGCAAATGTTTCCGTATGAAACAACGTCTAGTGGCCCACAGACGTGTACATAGCGAGCAAAAACCTACCTACCCGTGCCTACATTGCGGGAAACATTTCAGCACGCACAGCAACAGGCAGAGGCATATGTTCGTGAGTATATTTGTAGTAAGATTTCTAGCTTCACAGCTCCGAAAAGAGAGATACAGTGGATTTCAGGTATAATAGTACATTATGATATAAGTGCGGTAAGTTGAGAATTACAGCCGAGGTGATATTGTTAGCCCGAGCCGTAGGTAGAATAAGAAGGCAGAGGCTGTAATTATCAAACCGCACGTATGTCATACGACGTTTTATAACACATTTGCGAGGAAATAATACTACCTACTTACGTACTTTCTGAAAATGAATTTGCACCTTTGTTTGTTTTCCATAAGATGAAATTTTGATACGCTTGACTGTAAGTGTCTATCCGTAGATTTTTCGGGCAAGAGGCTTAGCGTAGCGTTTTTCGACTTCTGACGGTGTCAAATTAATAAATTCGTTACTACTTGACAATATTTTCAATAAAAAACAATACAGCGAAAAGAACAAGAAATAACTTTTTCACAGATTAGCGATGCGCGCGCATCGACGCTTTTTTTTAGGCAAAGGAACAAAAAACAGCCAGTGTTACTAATAAAGTAAATTCATATTTCATATTTTTGTGAATTTGTTACCGATACATAGTTGTTATTTATTGTCAAAATAAATCAAATTAAAGAATTAAATGTTTATATATTATATTTTATCTCCCAAAGTTAATTTTATTAAGAAAATGTTGGCTACCTTTCTGACATAAAAAATCTTTGGCTATAAAAAAGTATCGTTCGTTTTTAGACGGAACATAATAAACCGTGCGTTTACTTTACATTACCGCACGCGTGTGTAATGTGGTAGATTATGATATTGAAATTTGGGCAATAAAAGACGCTTTACCAGCAAATGTGAAAAATATAATTTATTACGACGAAAGGACCACTCTATTTTTGTCGTTATAACCGGAAGTCGTTACAGGCAAAGATACAGACACGTACACGTGTATAGTTTATATTCATTTGTAAACGATTTCCGCCTTTTCTTTAACAGTAGATGTGCGTCTAGCAACCATACTTATTCAAAAGATTACAAAACCCAGTTGATACTTAGAATATCACTTTGTAAGTGAACCAAAAATTTAACTCCGAAACGACCCTACCTACTTAGCTGATATCTACAAACAAAAGGTAGAAGATCTCCACACTTGCTGGCCAACTGTGTGGATGTAGAACAACGATAAGATATGTTTGTGAAAGGACGAAATCTTTGTGTCTTTGGCGGCCGACTCCGGTCGCAATATCTGCATGGGATATCTAGGAATTTGTTACAAATGATCCATTAAAAACAGCCGCTACATCCAAAGTCGTTATAGCCACATGAATTTTGTCCTAAAGTATGCTTTAAATTCAAGGGACTTAGATTTAACGTCGCTATAGGTAAGGTCGCTACAACCAAAGTCGTAATAAGTGAAATCCACTGTAACTTCAATAATAATGGAATGGATAATTTCGAAAACAAAGATTTTTAAATACAACCAACGATATTAAATACTCTAGATACACCACGTGCGCTCAAAATGTGTCCCAATCAAGAAGTGCTTGAACACCACTCAAGCACTAAACTTCCGGTTAAAGTGACATTGCATTGTATCGTTTGACGTTTTAATAACAGTCGTGTGACGTCACACACTAGTAAGACGCCATATTGTAAAGAGAAACGTTTTCGCGGCAACTTTAAAATGGAGTTTTTGATTTGGTTATTTTTACTGAAATACACAACAAATAGATGAATATCCACTTTTTGCGAACTCCATAAACATTAGACAATAACGTGAGATCGTTTTCTAAAACTTGTCAAATACCCTATTATGTTGTAATACTTACTGACTGAATAGAAATTATTTGTGATATTCAAATGATGGTCGGTTGTATAGCCATCTCTTTTCCTCGCGGGCCGTACCTGCTTTATTGCTAACAGCTCATTCAGAATGGCGCGTAGAGGTAAAGACATAAGTTCTATATTCTACCGCATATAGCAATAAGTCGTAAAATTTTACGAGCTTGCATTTCGAACTGTCATAACTTTTTGACGCAAACGTTTTAATAAGGACCTTATAAGATATGCATTAAAGGTGAGTTTCAATGTTTAATTAATGCCTTATATTATTTTTAACTACACGATTATCTTACGGAGCTCCGTCACGGTAATAATATCATACAGTATTCTATCTTCATACAAACGGTCGGAAAGCGAGTCATACCTACGCCACTCGAGTTTGATGTGCTCTCGGCGGGCACCCAGTCGCGAATGCGCCGCCGCGCCGCAACGACGACCGAACGGTCTGAATTGTTTTTTATGCAGTTAGCCGTGCTTAAATGTGCGTTTTGTATTGTAAATATTTGATTTAATTAAGTAGATACCTACATTTTTTTTATGGGCATACGAGCAGACGCTCTCCTGATGGTAAGTGATTACCGTCGCCCATGAACACTTGCAACACCAACTACATAATTTAGTATGGAAAAGAACAAACGACGATCAATATCGTACAACAGCACAATTGCTGTTTTTGGTTGCTTGAACTCTTCAATAACACACCCAGAGATATCATTTTTTAAATTACCTGAAATATTGGAAAGCTGTCTTAGCTTAATATTTTTTATATACCTATCTACTAGTACGTAATTTGTTTCTAAAATTTAGGTATTTCGGTTTTTCCATCGGGCAAAATGTCTGGAATAATATACAAATAAGTGGTTAGCATGAAAAAAGAGACAAACGAGTAATCTACCTACACTCGCGTTAAAAACAAAACTACATAAAATACTGTAGGCTGGCCGCCCTACCGCGTGCTAACGCAGCGCTCGGCCGTAGGCATTTATTTTCAAGGACAGGGCGGAGTCACAATACTGTATAGATAATATTACCGTGGCTCCGTGGATCGTCCAATGTACCTTTTGGACAGGTTTCGGCCACGGTTTTGTTCGTGTTGTTGTATCTAGGGTATTTAATATCGATACATACAACCTCAAAAGACTTTAAGAAAAATGAAATTTATTATTATAACTTTTATTATTGATTAACATCATGATTATCAACATTTAATATCCTAGCGTTTGATTAATTCATTTGTTGTTGTATCATTTTGCTGTACCATATCCGGGGTCTAAGTCTAAAGTCAAGTTGTGAGTGGAGGAGCTCGATGCCGCAGGTGGTTAGCGCGTTCGGCTGCGATCGTTGAAGTTAAGCAACTTTCACAGTGGTCAGTCATTGGATGGGTGACCAAAAACTCTTCTATCTTGAGTTTCCTCCGTGCTTCGGAAGACACGTTAAGCCGTTGGTCCCGGCTGCATCTGCAGTCGCTAGCACCCGCCAATCCGCGCTGGGCCCGCGTGGTGGGTCATGGCCTAATCTCCCTATTCCATCCATAGGGAAGGCCTTTGCTCCAGCAGTGGGGACATTAATAGGCTGATGATCTGATGATTAATATGATGATGATGAGTCCACACAAAGTAAAATGTTTGAAAATGACATGTGAATGGAGAAGTCATATATAAATAAATATTTCCAACACTCACACCAATTAGCCTAGCCCCAAAGTAAGCACTGTGGGCTGGTGTTATGGGATACTAGGGTAACGGATAGAATACATATACTGTACATATATAAGTATATTTATATAGAAATACATATTAAACTTCCATGACTGGAGTACAAAGGCTCGTGTTCATCACACAAACATCTGCCCCCACCGGGATTCGAACCGGGACCTCTCGAGTCGGCGTCACCATGAAACCCGACGTACAAACCACTCGGCCACGGAGGTCGTCAAATATATTATATAATGTAATACTATACGTAAAGAAAGTACTCGTATTTGTATTTATTTCTTGAATTCTTTGCCCGCGCACGTGTTCCCATCCTTCCTACAATCTGGGGTCCTTTAAGAGAGGCATGAAGAAGTATTTTTGCAGGCCGGCAAGGTGAGGATGGTTGGTGTAGCAGTTTATAACTTCTGTACCAGCTATCTACGCGTTTGGACTTTATCACCACTTAACATCAGGTGCGGTAGTCATTTGCCTACCTGGCTCTATAAATAAAATAATATTACTCTGGTTTCTCTCTCAGATCCACACCGGACTGAAACCGTTCAAGTGTGAAATGTGCGGTAAAGGGTTCAAGCACGCGAGCGAGAAGCGAGCGCATATCACTTACGTGCATCTGAAGAAGCCCTGGCCAAAACGGAGTAGGGGGAAACGAAGAACTGATGGGAGACAAGTGAGTATTGGACTCTAACCGACTTCCAAAAGGAGCAGATTCTCGGTTCTCGGTGTATCTGAAGAAGGCCCGGCCTCAACGGAGTAGGGGGAAACGAGGAAGAGTATTGGACTGTTGACGAGAACCTGCTCCTTTTGGTAGTCAGTAGACTACCAAAAGGAGTATTGGACTGTTAACGAGAACCTAATATAATAATAATATGTATTTATATAAATATACTTATATGTGTACAATATATGTATTCTATCCGTTAACCTAGCATCCCATAACACAAGCCTTATAGTGCTTACATTGGGGCTAGGCTAATTGGTGTGAGTGTCAGAAATATTTATTTATTTATATGTGTGTGTGTGGGATACGTGCGTAGCTCTTCCCGACGAGCATGAAAGATGGAAGGTAACTCGGCGTAGGCTGAAACGCTACGAGCGTCACACGAGACAATATACCTAGTCAGGTCATAAATTCTGTCACATGTTAATATAAAATAATTGAAACAAGTTTATTCATTATGTAACCATTTATATACCAAAATGAACTTAACAAAACGTAGATTCTTATGACGATAAAGTTTATTCAAAATGACCTCCGTGATTTTGAATACAGGCCTTCTATCTGCGCGGCCAGTCTATGTCAATATCGGCGGCTGCCATAATCAAGGATGTCTTGAGTGACTCCAAATTGGGATGAGGCTTTGAGCACGCCTTTTCCTCCAAGTGATGCCATATCTTGTAATCTAACGGACTCAAATCTGGACTGAAAGAGGGCCAGTCTTCATGGCGGATGGAGTCGATTTCACGCGCCGCCAGCCAGTCTTGTGTGCTCTTCGCTCTATGAGCTGGCGCCGAATCTTGTTGGAATACCCAGTGCCTGTTATTGAACATGGTATGAGAATCAGGTTCCACAAGGTTCATCAGGAATGTATTTTGATACACAACTGCATTCGTTTTTACACCTTTCTCACGAAAATGTACCTCTGTTAAGCCCCAATAAGAAACTCCCAACCATACCATGAGCGAGGATGGAAAATGACCTCGTTGGACACGCGGAATTCGGTTGCTCGCTTCTTATCATTTTGTTTGTTGTAGCTCTCTTCTACGGTAAATTTTTTTTCATCCGATAAAAGAATGTCCCGATATTTTTTTCCCGCGTACCGCTTCAACAAAGCGCGGCATGTCTTCAGTCTCAGTTCCATTAGACGAGCATTCAAAGATGTCCTGTTTTTCTTCGATATGCCCGAAGTCCTAAGTCTTCATTTAACACCCTTTTCACTGTGGTTCTGTTTAACCCATCTGAAGAGCCAACAGTTTCTGCTTACGTTTGGGATTTCTTTGAATTGCGCCTTCACAGCTTTTATCACTGCTGGAGTCCTAACAGACCGAGGGCGACCACTTCTTGACCTGTCATCTACACTAGAGTCTTCGTTGTATCGTTTGATGGTACGATAAACGAATCTTTTAGTTATATTCAAATTTTTCAGTATGTCAAAAATTTGAATTGGCGCGTAACCGCAATGATGCAACGCAATAACTGCAACACGGTCTTCTTTAAGCGTCCACTCCATATTTAAAAATGAGTAAAATTTCAAAAAAGTATACATTTTTATTTTCATGAACAATTCGAAATTCGAATACAATAAACTTTTTTGTGGCCAGCATTCTAAAAGAAAAGTTTTTACTGTGTGACAATACTTGTGACCTGACTGTATATATATGAGTTATGCGTGCGCTGCTCCGTTCCCTTATGCCTTATGCACCGCCTAATGTTAGGTTATTTAAGACAAGAAGTTTTTAGTTATATATTTTTTTTAAGCATTTAACTGCTAGATGTTTGAATCTAAAGAAAAGTTTTACTAGAAAAAAAAATCCACGCGGACCAGGCAGCGGACGGGACTCGAACCCGCACCCTTCGCAATCCGGGCGAATGCACTGACCAATTATGCTACGAAGTTTTTATTCAAGAAAACAAGTTTCACTTAAGATGTGCGGTTCGGGCACACTCATTTCTTTTTCTACTGGGAAGATATTAGCTTTCTATGTATTTACATTCTAACTGAACTGGAATCAAACAAAAATATTGCATTCCTCCATGCGCAAATTATACACAAATAATATCAAAGGGGCCGTTCAAGTATTACGTAAGCACTATAGGTTATACACTGTATATTATTGTTAGATATGTATTTATGTATGTATATATTTGTCTGTACCTATTATATATGTTGCTATAATATATATTTATATATGTATGTATAAGTAATTAATGCTTTTTAATGTTTTCTCTGTTCTTTATCTGGTAGAGAATGCCATACTGGCATTAAGTTCGCCATTTGCATTGTAAAGGCAATAAAGATTAAATAAATATAGGGGGCAGGGGGGTCTTTGCTTTGCTTATTTTTGATGACATGGGGGGGGGGGGGGGGTCGAGATAGTGATTACGTCAGCATCATGGATTCGGGTGTCATGGGCTGAAGACTTTTAATTTGAATTAATGTGTAAAAATTCGAAGGAATTTTGTTTTGTTCATAATAGTAATTTATAATATTACTTGCAGACCCAGCGAACTTCGTACCGCCATAAAAATAGGGGCAGGTGGTAGAAGAGAAAATTTAGGGTTGTATGTATTTTTTAATACCACATAAAAAAAATTGATCAAAAAAAAATTATTGGTGTGCAACATAGTGTTCTATCAATTTCCTGGGATAACATTCCTCCTAACCCATATGAGAACACTACGTTACAATACACAATAGTTTGAATATTTTCGCGATGGCGCATTTTAGGTTTCAGAACACTACGTTACAGATGGACAACCATTATCACTTAAAGATATGAGAAAATAGATAGTAGCCGATTCTCAGACCCACGGAATATGCATATAAAATTCTTCTTCGTCGGTTCTTCTCAGGAAGGTCTCCCAATTTTGGAACCGGTGGTAGTTTACGGTATTTAGGGTCAAATAAATAAACTCAAAATTACAAACAAGAATTTTAAATAAAAATCTTCCAATGAAATAACCGAACGCTCAATATAAGTCTTTTGAAGGTAGCTCGACAATTTTAAATAAAAAATCATTATTCTGACGATGCAGACCTGAAAAGGCTGCGAAACGTCAATAAATAAATAAAGTTTCGTGCATTAACCCGTAAAAACTAGTTTTATTTAATGAGTGATGTGCGTGAAAACCTAAGAAACAAAAAAAAACAGAATACATTAAAGGAAAAAGACATTTAGGTATCAATGTTTACGTAAGCCTGGGGAGTGGGGGTAAGAGCTTTGCTTACTTTTGCTGACAAGGGGGAGGAGGGGGTAAATAATTGTAATAAATCTGCTTACGTAATACTTGAACGGCCACAAATACAAATTCTTGTACGGGTATTAATCTAATCTCTTATCTATTAGACAAGTCCGTCCGTCTGTGGTGCTGTTTCAGCGGCCAAACCGTAAGAGATAGATAAAGAGAATATTTAAGTCATAAGTTAAGAATAGTCTGATAAGACTACGGTTTGTAGTCTTGATTGATTTGAGTAACGTAGCACTTCCGGTTTTAGAGAAATCAGGTTTTGGTGAACATTTGGTACACTGGTTTGCTAGTTTCTTAATAATGTAATCATTTTTCCACAACAGTTACCGATGAACAATCAACAGTTGCCGCCGCCGGGGGCTACCGAAATGGACATGCAACAACCAATATGGAACTGCGATCCTAAAATGGACATAGCATCGGCCATAGACGACAAACCGTTCTACACTCTAAAGATATAAGGTCGGAATTGCCTTAACACTGTTAATTTTCCAATTTATAGCTATTAAGAGCCCTTTTACAAAATTGCGCCGCTGCCGTACTGACGTAGGTAGATTTGCACTAGTATACATTGCATTTTACGGATGATGTTTCGAGTCTTATAAAATAATAATTAATGAACTAAGTATAAAAATATATACATATTTCAGTAGTTCAATGATGGTAGATTAGTTTTATGAAAGTTTTTGTCAGTAATTCTATTTAATTCAATATCAAAATACGAGGTAAACCTGCATTATTTTTTGGGATAACTCACGGAGGTTAGATGTTTTTTTTGATAGTTAATGAGATGGAAAATCAAAATTCTAATACATTATGTCACAACAAAAACATATTTCTGATGTCGTAGTAATTAATTTGATCTAATTTATTGAACATTATTGAGAGATTGAGGCGTTTGAAGTTGTGAATATATTTTTCTTTTCGTAAACTAGCTGCAGTAGAACGATCAGTACAAAAAAAAGGAAAATAGTACTTGCAAATATTTTACATTAACTTACAATGGGAAGAATAAATCTACTGTTTACTTCTATTGGAAATAGTCAAAATCTTTTCTAAGGGGGTAAACGAAGCGCTCAAAAATTACGATTTTTTGCAAAAAAAAATGTAAAAAGGGCTCTTAACGGGATTGTTACCATGTTAGAGTCTGTGCGGAAAGAGAATGTGATTTAGATTTGAGGGCGCAGTAGTGCTTTTCTTCTGTATTTGTAAGGTTTTACCCCTTTTAGACATGATTAAATACAAAAAACGGCAAGAAATCACAACAACAAACAAATCAGTATCAATACATTTTATTTTTTTAGTTCTATTCTTCTCTATTGAGAAATAGACCGGGAGATGATGACACAAAATACTTGGTCATTTGTACCAGTATGGCGGTTCTTCAGGGGTCTAATTACGTAAAGGCAAAAAGGAAAATGATGGTCATAGCGCTCGCACCGGCGGCCCAATCGCGTGGGCGTTAATCGAACGCGTCGGATAAATAAGGAGTGTCGAACGATTTGTTCCACAAAAATGCTTATATTTTCAGATAGTCGAAAAAAAGAAGTAGGCGGTAGCGTAATGCCATACTTCTCGGGTGTGACTTACAGCCCGCCATACCGACGCGAATACATTAATTTAAATAAAACAATTCAACCATTTGTACCAGGCTAATTTTTGCACAGCTAATCATCGTCGAGTAGCCATTCACGAAAATCACCTTGCCATACTTTTCCGACAGTTCCCAATGGCCGCCATACCGCTGCAAAGGAGTAAAATTTTTTTTTTTCGCCAAACGATTTGTACCACCCTGAAACTTTTTTTAACAGTTCCCCGTATGATCATAAATAGAAGTCTGATAATGCCATACCTGTGGGAGGTG